AGTTCACATAATGGAAAGTCTTGGTTTGAATGTAGCTTTACCGCCTTTTTTAAATGGCCGTCGACAATTTACCACAACCGAAGTAAACCAGTCGAAATATGTAACAAAGGTACGATGGGTGGTAGAAGCAGTGAATTCAAGAATTAAACAGTTTAAGTACCTTGCAAATACGATACCGAATTCTGCATTACCGCACCTAGAGCACGATGTGTCTATTGTATGTGCGATAATCAACAGATATCGACCTCCAATAAAGACTTCGAATGCCGAGGATGTTGCAATTGCCGAGAAAATGATCTTATTACGTAGTCGAAAAAACAATTTTGAAAAAGTAACCGCTATATTTTATAACCTAGTTAGAATAGTATTTCCATTTCAAATATCTTAGTTTCTTCAAAGAAATAATCTAAAAAAATCTTCATCGAAATGGCATGCAATAGATCATATAGATATCATTGACGAATTTCCAATCTTATCTGAGGGTGAGATAGTGAGTAATATTACATTAGGTACCAAATTTTCTCTTGCGTACTATTCTAGATAAATTGAATTATCTCTCATTTACTAGGCACTTTCCAGCTAAAACGTGCTCGTTCTTATGCAGAAGAAAACGCCTCGACTACAGATCTGACAGGATCTGTGAATTACACGATTCACCGATGTCAAGAATTTCCTGATATCATCCGGGTACCAACTCAGTCTGCACATGTCAGTCGAGCACAATATCACCCAATTATTCGATTCACACGAGAAGAAATATTAGATTGATGGTGCGACTGTACTGCTGGAAACTGTGTCATAGGCTGTTGTAGCCATATCGCATCTGCAATCTGGTTCTTATCATTCGAGCGCTGGCAAACGCAATCGAGTCCAAAGCCACCAGGAAGATTTATCAATTTCGTTGCCGATGCTGCCGCGCAACAAGAATGATCTGATTCTACAAATGACGATGAAACTGAAGATGAAGATTAGTTCAGATCAACATAGAAAATCTAAAACTTCTAATCATTTATCATTTGTTTTTCTCAGGACTATTTTCAATAAGACTTCCTATTCCCTTATTCCATCAACCTATTCATGTATATATTCTCCGCTAGAAATCGACTTAATGATTTCATAATCCAACAAACGTTAACTATCTGGATTATAATTTCATTCGGTATTGCATATTCAGGAATATCGATACATCTAGGCTAGCGATAACGTTCCGTTACTAACCATATGACAGAACAATCCATATACACAGTGCAGGTTAACAAAAATTACAATCGACATTTTTTCCCGATATTTTTACATAAAGTTCTAGATCTAATCATGATCTATCTTTTGATATAAAATTCATAATGGTTCCGATTAAAATCGAGATTATTTTCTTAGCCATTTTATCAGAGATCAGGATTATTTATCAAAAAATTCGATTTGTTCCTCTTATCGTGACCCCGAGGCCAAGGTTTTTTTCACGATATTTTTACATAAAATTCTAGATCTGATCAAGATCTAGTGAATGAGAAGTGCTAGAAGTTAAAAAGTCGGTGGATGTTAGGCGTATTTAAAACGTAACATAAGGTTAAATCCTCATGTTGAACATTAAAGTTCGAGCTGTCTGTGCCTACAAAACATATAATATATTGAACTGATTTTGGTATAAAACAATTTTTGGCATCGTTTTTGATAATTTTGGTAGAGAAAATTCCGATTCCTAAAGGGGGCCGATTTCGGCTCTTAACGCCACCCGTCCATTTACTAGATAGAGGTGGCTCGAAGACCTAGCTGTGCTAAACTACATATTTCATATATGATATATAAAATAAATCGTAATTCAAGATGAATTGTATGTTTTTTTGTCCTTTGACGCATTCCATTTCGATGAGCTGCTTTCCATTCATTACAAACACCTATTCTAGTTTAAAGAACAGATTTACCATGTAGAATTTCAGTGAGATACAAGTAGTTAGTTGTGACTAAGTGAGTGGGTTCATATGAGCATGCATTCGTCTAGAAAAGATTATAATCCCATTCAACCATTTGTACACATGCCTAAATTTTGACCTGAAATCCATACACACTGTTTTCTTCGACCATATATGTAGTTCTCACAAAGAACTTGGAGTATCTGAATCTAGAATTTCTTAAACTCAATCACATTTTATGCATATTTTTCTATAACTCGGAACAAAACTATTTTGCTGTTTAACAAAAATAAAGTTCTGTCATTTTTGTCTCGTTTCTTTATAAAACGAAAGTGTTTTCTATTACAAGTTCCAATTATTTGTATAACAATTTTTCCATGTAAGATAGCTGCGCTGATGGCAAACTTTAAAACGAATTTCATCAGAATAAAATTCAATAAATTGGGCTTGGCCTAAGTGAAGAAGAATTTGACATTATTAGACTTTCGTATCGCTCTCATTCATTTATCGCCCAATCAATTTGGAAAGATTTGAAAGTTATATTGATTTAAAAATCAATTTTCTACTACACAAATTCCATAAATAATTACTATAAATGATATTTATTGAATAAAAATAAACTATTTTCGATATTTTCAAATGAAAAAGATGTAGAAATTTCAGTAAATAGAAATGAATTCACTAAGCATTTATTCAAAACTTGTATTTTTTTTTTATTTGAAATATCTATTTCGATCAGTTATTTGATCGTGCTTTGCGTTCATCAGAATTGGAATATGAGGAATACAAATAGAAGGGAAAAAATCAATACCAAATCACCAGTTGATGATATCTACATGATAACAGAATCAAAGTCGCTAAATATAAAACAATCTCATAGTGAAATTCAAATGCGTCGTTGGGATTTCTTATTCGAAAGAATGAAATTCTCATGATTATTCTGTTGATAAGTTCATGATAAAAATATCCTCTGGTGTTCATATTCATGCTTAAGTTGTAATGAAATCTGTTCGTCTTTTGGCTGTTTTAGATAAATAGATAAAAAGTAGAATAGTTTTTCGATTAATTGATGATTCGCTTGTATTTGTTGCAATTGATTTATTTCATTTGATTTATATTGATTTAATTGTTCATCAAGAAATTTAATTAAATCTTCATATTCAATTCCAACTTGTTCTGATAAACGTTGTGATTTTTCGCAGATTATAATTTTATTGTGAAGTTCATCGATCCTCGAACGAAATAAAGCTACTTCACGATGAAGTTTATCAACAAGTTGATTATCATTTTCCATTGAAATTTGTTTAGCTGAAGAATAAAATGGTAATAAAAGATTTATACGTTCACCAAGAAGAACACTTGACTGTCGTTCAAAATCTTTTAATGTTATTCGACCATCTAAAGAAATAAACAGATTAATATTATCAGATCCTTGCTTAACTTTGTTTTAACGACAAGATGCATCAAACATTTAGTATATAATCAAACAGAAAGAAAATGATATTTGCCTTTTCTTTTTCATAATATCATTTCTAAAATTAGAGTTTTGTTGAAAATTATGTTCACATTAGACCTAAGAAAGTTTTATTCGAATATCGATAGTCATGAATTAGCCGTTGAATTCTTTTCAGTAGAAACTTTTCAAGTAATTTAAAATTAATTTCCTGATATTTGTTATGCAAAAGGGAAAAACATTACTTTTATTCTTTTGGACAAAATCCTTTTGTAAAATGCTAACGAAAAAGTGAGTCTTCATAATTTGACATTCATTAGAGTCACTTCACTATACTATAGGGTACTAGTTCCTTTTTTTTGTTTTGCATAAATTTAAGGAAATCTCGCTAAAAAGGTGACAAAATCAAGAAGCAACAGACAAATCAAAAGGATAATAGAAAACAAATTTTTTTAACCTGCATTTGTTTGTGATAATTGTTGAATAAATTGTAATTCTCGTGTATGATCTTTCAATAATAGTGTCGGATAGATTTTCTTAAGTAACGCAACAAGATCAATTAATTTAAACCTTGAATTCAGTAATGATTGAAGTGCTTCATGTGATATATCAAGTCCTCTTAAAATTTGATCACTTTTATATTGTTCTTCTTGATGATTTTTTTCTCGAAACGATAAATTAGATGCAATATGCCGATGTTTTTCATGTTCATGATTACGTCTATGAGATGATCGTCGCATTTGCACGTCATTTTCTGTTGTTAAACTTCGGTTGTGAGAATTTTTTCTATTTTTACTCGAACTAAAATTAAGACTTTGATAAATGTCTTCATCATCGTCAATCGATCTTTCTTCATTCAATAATTGTTGATACTCTTGTGATGATAAAGGCGGAAGAAAATGCTGCACATGAAGACGAACGTGATTTGTTATCGCTGCTGAACGAAGAATATTAACAGCGTGTCTCCAATTGATACCTATAATTGTTTCATCGTTGACCGATAAAATTTGGTCGCCCACCTAAACGTAAAATAATCTTCTATGAACATTGTTGTTTAATTAATTTACTTTTAATCGTCCATCTCTTTGTGCTAGACCACCATCAAGTAGTTGTCTTATATAAATACCCGATTGATTCGTAGCACGCTTAGTGCCTAAAATTCGGATGCCAAGTCCATTGCGACTGTTCAAATATACTATGAGCTCGTCTGTTGTCATCATTGATATTATTACACAAATCGAGATGTTGTCACCAATTGAGAAAATACAACATTGTGCTTCAAACTTTCTATTCTAATTTTTCAACCTTGAGTGCATCCATACAACTGTAGAAATAGAGAGAGGGTGTGAGTGAATGAGCGAGTGAAAGCAGTTGTTGAATTGAAATTCAATCAATCATACTCATTCAAGTTTTTATAGGATATACAAACATGCAATCGTATTTTGATAGATGCGTCAAATGAACACACTGTTGCCATCATCCTCATTTCGTTGTGTTGTGTGTGTGTGTGATACATTAATTTAATTTAATAGTGTAATGACTCTGAAAATTAGCTGATAGTTTTTCCTGGCTACTCTCTCAGGTTCGGATAAGCTATAGACTTACATGTAGGGTACCGTTGCATGTTAGAACCAATCGAATTACTTTCCTGTTTTTATCCTCATACATCCAAAAATTGTTTGATGTTAACATGCAGACATGAATATTAATACGCAAGAATTTATATAAATAAATTTTAATTGAGTTATTGGAAATTGTTTTAAATTAATTGATCATGTAAATACAATTAAAAAGCAAGCTAAGCAATAGATTATTTTCATTTCGATAGATTATTTATTTTTAGCCTGTTACCACTGAAAACTCAAATATGAATCAAATGAAAACTTGATTTACAGATAAAAACAAAAATAACATATTTAATGAAATTTCTTTTTGATAGAAAAGAAATGCTAATTAATTAGGATACTTTTGTAGAGCTTACCATATCAATAAAATTAAAAAGCTCAATTGATTATTTTATAAAAAAAATCTTATGACAAAATATTGAACCTGATTGAATAAATATCAGTTGATTCAACGTATAATTTTCAAATGTTTAATAAAAGGACGAAGAAAAGCATTTTAACTTTTTTGATATTAGATACTGTTTTTCTAAATAAGTCATTTTCAAAATAAATGCAATTAAAAACAAATACACGTGTATTTAATGAAGAGTAGATAAATCAACTGTAGAATAAAGGGTAGCATTTTATTAATCAGCGTGTCGAGTTTAAAGTGATAAGATTTTATATATGAAATTTCTTGGTGTCAAAAAAGTTGAAAAACAAACAATATTTTTTAATAATCCAAAGTAAAGTTTCCATTGCGTCGAAATGTTTTATGAATATTTAACATCAGCAGTAGTATTTCTTTGGTAGAAGTTTTTCATCTAATGATCTTTCCTGTAAATACAATGTACAAGTTTGTGTGGTACTACTCCAAATGAGAGGGGGCGACATCCTGCCTGCCCCCTCCAGTCATTCATAGGCGAAACATCTCTGAATGGCATATTCAATAAACAATTACTATAACAAATATTTTATGAAAGAGATAAAAGATATGCAAAATCAAAGGCTATACTTGTTTTCTTCAAACACGGCAGATAGATTTTGTACATAGATCATTACTTGTGACTAAAGGGACTGCATAATGTCTAAAATAAACCCATAGTTGATACTAAAAGAAAAATACATGAACTGGTTTCATCGCTATGAATTCAACTTGTCTCAATTAATGGTGATGAAAAACGTATTCGCATAGGCAGCCTAAAACGTTTTCTTAAATATGAAAGAGAAATAAAAATAAAGTACAGGCAAAACTTTCAGCAAATCCAAAGGTTAACTGGATGATACCAGAATATTAAATTCATCCCTTTTGATCCGAAGCTTTAGAGTTCGAGAGTATGCACACAACAAAAAGTAATGTATAAATAATTTCTAGTCAGTGACGGCTTGATATTGAAGTTTCATGAGCAAATTTAAAAGCAAATAGTATCCATCAAGTACCGCAACGATCATAGATGCTTTCTAATCGCGGTGGATTCTTGCTGTTAGAAGCACTGCCTAGACGAATTTCAAACACGATACAGAAAACTCTTTCGTATTTCAAGAGAGTTTGTATATTTTTCACGTAATAACAATTTTGCTTTTGTAAATCCATGGAAGAAATCTATGTAAATCATCTTAAACATAGATCTACTCAACATTTCAATGATAGTGTGCATGAAAAATTTCTGGATAGGTTTGGTTTGATTAATTCATTTTCAGTTTTCGATATATATTTCATAAAGAATAATTTAATACAACAAGATATTCTCGGATTTCTCTAACCAATGGTAATTATACCATTTTATGAGTCTCTATGATAATGTTCCCATTTTCCTTCAACTTCTCAAGTTCCTTTTAACACGACGAAGAATTCAGAGCAATAGCTATTGTCTAATTTTATTATTATTTTATTGTTTCGTTTTTTAAAATTATTTCTCTCAGATTGATACAACAATTATTATATGTGTCGAAAATAATCATGATGAATAAGAGAAATCTTTGCTAATTGTTAAACGAGCTGGTTGCTATTTACTAATAAAATGACTCGAAGATAATATTTTGTCTGATTTTCTTAATACAATTGATTTGTGTTTTAGGTGTATTTAATACTGGTTGACTATATAAATCAAAATAATAAGTAATTTTTGTGATATTATTTCAATAAATAAAATATAGTTGGTTTTTGAATATTTTGAAATGAAAACAACAACGTAGAATTTTATCTAAAGAGAAAATAAATTTACCGTTGTTTATATTCTTGATTTTCAAATTTGTTGATATAATCAATAATATTATTTAAATGAGTTCATTTTACTTTCAACTAAAGATATCTACTTCGATTACTTATTATTTTTTTCTTATACTCTATTCATTTAGAATGAAACGTAACGAATAGAAATAAAAGAAAAGAAATCGACATGAAAACCGTAGTTGATAATTTCCACATGAGAAGAACATACAAAAATTGGTTTGGATAAAAACAAATAGAGAGAAATTGAAATATATATATTGTTAAGTTATAACGATGAATCCTTTTGTTGCTATTCATATTTATTGTATTTTAGTTGTGATACAATATGTTCATTCCTTGAATTTTGTTTTATAAATAGATAAATAGTTTATTTAATTTTTCGTTTAACTGATTAACTTCTCTGTGATCGACTTTCAATAATTAATTTAGTTAATATTAATATAGTTGCTCACTTTAAATAAAATTTTCTCAATACAAATTGTTTGGAAGTAAGATTCAAGAAAGATGAAAATATAAAGTTGTCTTAATGAAAACTATGGACTAGAATAAAAAAAGAGGTCACTATCGGACAATATGCATATATTATTCTAATACATGACGAAATGATTGGCAAAGATTATTGCATACAGCTAACCGAATACCAATGAATCATTGTTGGTATAACAGAACACAATCAAAATTTTTGTTACGCACACACATACACCACAACTATATGTAAGGAGGTCCCTATTACGCACTTTTTTTAGGGTCACTCGCGAAACATTCTTTTCATCTTGTGATTTTCTTGTTTATATTGCACTTTGCAATTCCATCTGACACATTTATCTAATCATGTCTTCAGTTATTGTACGTATACACATCTATCGTTTGAATTTTGTACTTTGAACTTATCATTATGTTGTTGATTGTGTTCATAGGATAAATATAAGCGTAAAAAAAAAGAAACACAAGCAGCGAATAATACTAATACTCCATCAACGGATGTTGGAGTTATTCGAATTGGTCATTATATTCTGAATGAAACCCTTGGAACTGGAAGTTTTGGCAAAGTTAAAAGTATAATTCATATTTCCTTTTTCATATTTTTCTGTTCGTATTAACAAATATTTGTTTGTTTCTAACAGAAGCTTATCATCAATTGACAAGACATACAGTAGCGATTAAGATAGTTAATCGTACAAAAATAAAACAATTAGATGTGGTCGGAAAAATTCGAAGAGAAATCCAAAATTTAAGACTTTTTCGACATCCACATATCATTAAATTGTAAAAAGATTTTTTTCTCTTTGAAAACCAGTTAACATTGATATTTTAATCTTCATTAGATATCAAGTAATAAGTACACCAACAGATATATTTATGGTTATGGAATATGTTTCTGGTGGAGAATTATTTGAATATATTGTTAAAAAAGGGAAAGTATGCAATTAGATCATTTTATTTAATAAAAGATAACGTCATACAAAATTTTAGTTAACTGAAGCTGAAGCTCGACCGTTTTTTCAACAAATAATATCAGGTGTTGATTATTGCCATAGACATATGGTGGTATGTTTCATTATTTCGATGTTTTGTTTTATTCTTTCGATTTGTTCTATTTAGGTTCATCGTGATCTTAAGTAGAAGCTTATTTATTATTATTATTATTCCCTAATAATTCGAATTGTTTAGACCGGAAAATCTTCTTCTTGACGATGCATCTCATGTTAAAATAGCAGATTTTGGTAAACAAAATTTTTTAATGAAATAAAATTTCTTCATTTTCATTTCATTAGGTTTATCAAATATGATGAAGGATGGTGAGTTATTAAAAACATCATGTGGCTCACCGAATTATGCTGCACCTGAAGTTGTCTCTGGAGAGTTAGTTGTTGAATATTTTATTGGATTAACTTTTTTCAAAATGTTCTTTTTAAATAGACTTTATGCAGGACAAGAGGTCGATATATGGAGTTGTGGAATTATACTGTACGCTTTACTTACAGGAACTGTATGCCTTTTTAGTTTAATTTTAATATAAGAAAAACAAAAACATTGCTTTACCGGAAATATTTAGCTACCTTTTGATGATGATAATGTGCAAGTATTATTCAAAAAGATTCGATGTAAGTTTTTGTTTGATTTTAATCTTGAAAAGAAAATATTTCGAACGTGTTTATCTGCAAGGGAATTTCGTTTGAAAAATACAAGTATTTTTTTATCATGCGCTTCTAAAAGAAAACTATTTAAGAATAGAATAACAAATGAAAATATTTCGAAAGAGAAATATTCAGGTCATATTTTTGTTCGTTATCCTTATGAAATTTTTCTACAAAATGACCTAAATATCACTAAAATGATAAAAAAAAATTTAAATCATCTAATATAAGTTTGATTTTGCTCGACAAGAAATTTTCAATCATAAGAATTTATATTTATCAAAAATAAAATTCACCTTCAGAATAAAAGTTTCGAATAATTTTTATCATGATCATTAGTTTTTAAAACTTTTTACACAAGATAAATATTTCTGTTTTATTCAATGGAAAGAACAAGCTCAGTCAGTGAGTTTATGGGGAACGAAAATATTTCTTGTTTTTTCCTTTTGAATAGTATTTTTTCGGACTCTTTTTAAGAGACGCTTCGTACTTTAAAATTCATCAGATATATGGTGAATAATAAAATAATTGCTTTTTGTTTGAATGCTCCATTGATAATATTTATAGAAGTGTAATTTTAGTTTTCTGAATATTTTCACTATAAAAAACATTCTAGTAATAAGAAAAACCAATTAAAAAATAAATAAATATAGATTTTTGTTGCCTATTCATGAATTTATATTGATCATTTTCTAGGCGATTTCATATTCTAGTTATGAACAAGTTGTTTCCGAGATTTGCCTTAATTTTAAATAATATTTCCTAGTCGATTAATTAAAGTGTCTCAGGAAAAAGATTTTTAATATTGCATAGCTTCTAGCATACACGTGAGATAATATTTAAGACATAGATCTCTTTAAAAGATTTATATTGATTGAACTTTTGGTAGATTTCGAAAGAAAACGAAACGAGTTTGAAAACAATATAATAATATTTGTCCAATCTATTTCATAATCATAGAAATTAATCATGAATATATTTTCAGTTTCGTTTAAAAAAAAATTTTTTTTTATATTCTAGCTGGCATTTTTCCAGTTCCTGATTATTTAAATCCATCAGTAGTGGATCTTCTTCAAAAAATGTTAACAGTTGATCCTGTTCGTCGTGCAACAATAAAAGAAATTCGGTAAATTTTATCGATTCAATTATTTTCTTTTTCTGAACTATCTTCTTATTGACATATTTTAGAGAACACGAATGGTTTAAAGTAAATTTACCTGATTATCTGTTTCCAAAAACGTGTGAAGAAGGTACAAATATAATTGATCTTGATGCAATACAAGAAGTTTGTGAGGTAAATTCTTCATCAAAATAAAGACAAAGAAAAAGAATTATTAATTCTAAAATTAAAATTAAAAGAAATTCGGCGTAACTGAAACGGAAGTTCAAGATGCATTAATGATCAATGATCGTCACGATCAACTTGTTATTGCTTATCATTTGATAATTGATAACAAACGAATATGGAATGAAGGTTTGTTAGATTTCAAGTCTAAAATTAAAATGATTTTCTTTTCTTTTGGCGATTATTTTTCTTCAGCTCGAAAAGTTGAAATAGCAGATTTCTTTGCAGCATCAAGTCCACCACATTCAGCATTTTTATCAATGACTGTAAGTTAAAATGTTTGATTTGATTAAAGTAAAATAAATCAATGATTAAATTTTAGCCAAATTCTTCGTCTGGTCGTTCGCCTTCACCATTTGTAAGTTTTAGTATTGTTTATGAATAATTATCCATCGTCATTTTAATATGATAAAAATTAGTTTCAAAAGCCAGTTTATCTTACACAGGTTGTACACCTATTCATTGACGAAAACATTCTTTATTGTTGCTTCTGCTGCTTAGAAAAAAAATATGAAAACAAAATTTTGCTAATAAGATATTTTGTTTCGTTTTTTTCAATAGAAATCAACACCAGTTCGTTCTCATCCAGAAAAAATGCCAGGTTGATTTATTTTATTTTTTCATGAATATTTTGAAACCAAAAACAAAATTTTATAATTTTAGCTTTAAAAGATTTAAGTGTAACATTGGATCCAATCGATACAAATAGTTCACAATCAAGTTCTTCTCATAATAGAAAACTATCTAGTTCAGCAACACCACCACCAACAACAGCCGGCACTGGAGCTGCATCATTGAAAAAAGCGAAATGGCATCTAGGAATTCGATCTCAATCAAAACCGCAAGATATTATGAATGAAGTTTTTAAAGCAATGAAAGAATTAGGAATGGTCAGTTTTGTTTGAATTTTATTAAAAAAAACATTTTATTCTATTGTTTATCTAGGAATGGAAATATTGTAATAATAGTATGTATAGTCTACGGACTCGTCGAAAAGTGAACAATACAAATCGACATGTAAGTCATAAAAAACTACTAAAAAAAATAAGAAAAGTGCACTAGCCGGGAATCGGACCCGGGTCGCCCGCGTGGCAGGCGAGCATTCTACCACTGAACCACCAGTGCTTATTGTAACGGACGTTTTCTATTGATTCAAATTTTTTTAAACTTTATTAGGTTAAACTGGGTCTTCAATTATATCAAGTTGATCATCGATCTTATTTACTTGATTTTCGTAATTTAAATACAAATGCTGATCATCTTAATGATCCATCAACAGGTAATCACGATGATTTCTTTTTGTATTCATAATAGTTTTCATTGCATTTATTTACTGAGAACTTCCAGACGACGATGACACGGAAAATGTTCAACCAAATCGTTCATCAAGCTGGGATTTCACAGATAATGAAAATGAAGTTATATCTGATGAAGGTGTATCAGAAGTGATGGAGTTTTTCGAAACGGCTGCTAGTCTTATTCGTACATTAGCACCCGATGCAGTTCCAAAAACAATTCAGCCAGCTTCTGCAGCCTCTTCCTGAATAAAAGAACGACATTTTTTTCTATCTTTTCGCCCCAAACATTTGTGTACATACTCATTCCTTTTTTCTTTTTTTTTCAAATAGTTCTTTTTGCAGTCGTTCCTGGCTCTGTTTTTCTTTATTCAACTATTTTTCTTATCTGTATTCATTGAAGTTCAAGATGTGACAACAACATAAAGAATTGGCTCGCCGAATATAAAATAAAATACTAGTAGAGAAATCATCATTATTATTTTTCCTATAATGTCAATGTTTAGATACTGTGTTCTGAACTAAGAAATAATGGGAATAATATCTCAAGCATTAATTTCTAAATGATGTTTATCTCAAGAAAAATGAATATAAAATAAAAGCGTTCTATGATCAAAGATTACATTGATTTTATAACGACCATTTTCTAGTAACAATGATCACGTGAAAACAAATGCCAACAGCGTAATCACGATTGTATACTTAGACACCATATATTCCAATGTTATATAACTGTGTTGTTCCTTTTTTTTTGGCAGTTTCTCAAATGAGAACGAACTAGTTTCTATGTTGAAAATTATCGTAATACCCTAAGCAAACAAATAATGACGGAAAATGATAAAAACCGATCGTAAATCATTATTACCTGTTAGAAACCATAAGTACTATCATTGGAAATCAATAGATATTACTGTAAATCATTGACAGTATTTCTTTTATCATTTTGAAAGAAAAGGCCTGATTTACATTGCTGTGTTTTTTTTTGTTGTTGATATATTGATTAGCTTACTTTTTATTGACTGTTGATAGTCATTGTGTTACTCTTCGATTTCTTGTAATTTTTCTTTATTTGTAAACATTTCATATAATTCGTATAGATTCTTGCCGAACGACTAGCAAAGGATTCGACTGTAAGAAAAAACTCGGAAGCTAAAGAAATTAATTCGCGTATTGTTATTTTCAATATATTAGTCTCAAAAATGATACACTGTTGACTATAATCCCAGTTCTATATTATTATATCTATAATCGTGTGTTTATATTGTTATACCGGGTGATCCAAAAGGTTTGCAACATTTGTGCTTTTACATGTATCTCAGTTAAGATAATAGAGAAAATTTCAACTTGAATTTTAAAAGAAGCGCGATTCAAGCCTCTACAAATTTGTATCCACGTTAATTTAAAATAATAGAATTGAACGGTTTTATGGATAGAATAGTGTGACTACATAAATTGCATCTACTTCCCGTACAGCATCTTTAATAAATTATTTTTTCTATCGAAACGAATATATCGTTTAAAAAAATAAGACATTGTTAGATAACTCTTGAAAGGATATGTGGATTTAACATGTATTTAACATTCATACTTTCGATTAGACACAATTTTTCGGAAAGCAATATTTTGAAATATGATGAAAATTTCTCTCTTGATTCTTGCTTTTCAGACAAAGGCTTTTGAAAGTCATCTATGGTCAAACCGAGTTCATTTTCCCAACATTTTATAGAAAAACGATTTATCATTCTACTTAGAGCTTACACAACAGATGTCAAAACGGTTCGGTTCGAAGAAACGTCTGAACAGTTCCAAGAATGCTGTTTTGGCGGTAATATTTCCGATAGACAATTTTTATTAGACATAAGTGGATTTAAATCAAACGCAGATAAATAACTCTGAAAGAGCACTAATATGTGATCATATTACAAGAATTTTATTTTTAGGTGCCTGCTTATAACCTGGGAAAATTAGAAAAAGTGTAGCTAAAAACTTGTGTGGGAGATCGATGCAATTTATGTAGTCACACTATTCGGTCCCATAAAGACGTTCAGTTCTATTATTTTAAATTATCGTGAATACAAGTTTATAGAGAAGTCAATCGCGCTTCTTTTAGAACTAAAGTTGAAATTTTATCTGTTATCTGAACCGAGATACATGTAAAAGCAAAAATGTTGCGAAAATTTTGGATCACCCGGTAGTTATGCCTTGTATAACCACACTCTTATGAGTAAATCTTTTAATTATACCATTACTGTTCGACACGTAGAAATCCAATGGTGTATCTTTAGTCATTCTATGAATAATTATACTTAGGGTTATATAGATATTGATATACTCCTTCGTATGTGCTCTTACACTTGTACCTTTGTAATCTTATATATTGATGAATATAATCTTCCATAGCAAACTTTATAACTATTTATCTCATAATGTGAACCTATTAATTACATATTCTCATATATGATCTTGCAGGATGTATGCCAATGTAAAATTCAAATAGTTTAGTTCGATTGATTTCTTATAGTCTATCTCATCTCATATAATATGACTGGTCGTTATCATTAATTCACCTGAACAATAGAGCATATTAGAGAACTTCCATAGTTTAATAAATTTATCATTAGTGTCGAGTACGTTAGATTAAGATATTATTCAGATTTCGTATGCAATCATTGTTTTATTAATCGTGTCATCAATAAAAATTTTACTTGATGTTTTTGTAGGATAATTACAAAATATTGTCAGATGTCAATTTATAATTGTTATAAACGGCTACTGTAAAGCGGTTGTTGATTTTTCGCCTTCATCACAACAGGTTTGGTACGTACACGATGGTGCCTAACTAAGATGTTTTCTGAAAAATACATTCTATAATAGTTATTCTTTTTTTTCAATTAATCAGAATCGACATATGTTCGATCAGACTCAGAGTCAACAGGATTAAAGATTTTTAATAGTCGAAAAAAACTAGAAATAAGGTTTACCGAGGATAAAAGTGACAATAAAGTTATGAAATATTTTATTACAACGTTAATTTGAAGAAGCAGAAAAAATCTACAGGTACGAGCCAAACAAATATCGAATACTTAAACACCGTTATCTTTTAGCAACTATTAGTATCAGAGAGTTTTAAAAAAAGTCACTACATCATGCTCTACCAAGTGACATGGATGAACGAAGGTGTTCTTTTTGTGTACTCAAAAAAAAAGTGAGTACACTAGATTCGGTCAGTGTGTCCGGCTGTTAACACGATAACTCTCGAAAGGCTCATCCGATTGTCATGAAGTTTTGTACACAGAATGATCTCATCAATATCTCAGCCAAGTTCGAAGATGAGAAGGATCCGTCAAAAAATGGCTGAGTTATCGAAAAAATTGTCATTATTGACCAGACCATCCCTGAGCGGGAGGGAGTACAGGGATTTTTCAAAAAAAAAATTGTTTTTCTCAGAATTATTCACAACATGTATAAATCGACTCATTTTTTGCAGTACACATGACAATTGGATGCGAACCCAGTGTTTCCTCATTTATTTCTACTTGAATTGATTACAAATAAAAGTTAATTTATTAATTTACTTGAAAAAATGGATTGTCCTACTGGTAACAACACTCTAAAAACAATGAGAAATAAATACTGTCATTATCAAATGAGTTCATGTTTTGTATTTGGCTAAAAAAAAGATTTATTTGGCTTGAACTGGTGGTTTCCATTTTAAACTTGAACTGTTATGTGGAAAAAGAAACCACGGGGGAAAATAATGCTCTTTAATACAATTTTGAAATGGTACTGGGTAATTAAGATCATGAACAACATTTCCACCAGCCAGCCAAGCGGCCCACCAACTATAAGTACCGGCTGTAGCAATTGTATGTTCACATAAAGCTAATGCAGCTAGATCATCACCTGAGAAATACCTTGCTGGCGTTATGAAGACATCAGAGAAATTTCCAAGATTTATTTTCACATAATTTTTATCATCGCTTGCAACTAAAAATCGACAATTAATATATTTTCTTCGATAATAATCCATTGCCCAAACAAGATAGTCTACACTTGTATCAATTCGAAAAAAGGTTAAAAAATCACTTCGACGAATATGAATTCCAACCCAAGTGACAGGTGCTAAGGGTGGTGGAGGATTTATAAGAAGAGATTTTAAATATGGATGTGGTACATTGTTTTTTGTATAATTACCCAAATTCAATGGTATATTCCAAACAGCTGAAAATTAAAAAGTTTTATAAAAAGATTTGTTAGTATTCAATAGATAACTGCTGAAGATAATTGAATTGATTTATTGCTAACATAGATTTGAGCAACCTCATACAATGAGCTTTAGCAATGTCTAGGTAATTCAAAGATAAGCAACGTTTCACGTCATGAATCCTGCTATTTACGTATGTAAATTTTTCAGTTTTTTCAATCAAGTTCTATCTATGGTGCAGTAGTGTCGAACTTGAAAGCTGAATTCAACTGAAACTTCAACTTTCAACGAGGGATTTTCAGCCTTTCGTGACAACCACATCCACAGAAGTCAATTACAAGAATAAAAACTTTTAATAAATTATTTTAAATTTCACAGTTTCAAATCATTTTTGTTGTGTTTCTGAACATGAATTATGGTACACAATTTAAAAACTAATATAACAAAGTAGCATCTACGTAGCAATGAGCTAAGAACCCAAAGCTTTCTCAAAATATTCAAAACTCATTTGGAGCTCCACAATCTAATTAGTTACAGCTTACAAACAACAATTAACCAGTTCAAAACTTTTCTCGTTTGTCTTAAAGAAAATATATCGCAATTATTAGAATTTCAATCAACTATTCTATTCTTCGAAAACTAAAACATGAATCAGGATTAATATCCAGAGAATTTATTTTCAGTGTCATAATATCGATTATATGAGAAGTGATTGTTCAATTAACTTTCTTCTTTTGGGTTTTTTTCTACGATAATTTTTGAAAAAGACATTACAGTATAGTCGTAATAGTTAAAGGTAAGAATGTGCGTCTCAAACTTGGTCTAGTTGCCATTAGAATACATTGACGGAAATATCGTTCTTTAGCTTCAAGTTTTTCTTTCAAACTTCTGCATTGCTATTCGAATGGCCAGCAAATTATTATAAATAAATGTGCTTCGGTAGTTTTGTAGCGAGCAAGTTTCTATGTACATTCGACAACAAGAAAGAACAGAAATAAAATAAACACGAGGTACTCTTACATATATTTTTTTGTTTTCAAAATTATTTTGAAAACGTCCGAATTCAATAAGAAAATTGCTTTCATCTTTCTAGATTTTTAAAATCGCCAACTATCGCTTTGACTTTTTATGTTCTTTCAATATTCTAAAATCCTTCATTTAATATTATAAAATCAAATAAATAACTCTAACCTTTTAGAAGCTGATCAACTAAGGGTACAACGCTAGCAATAGCTCCTGAATTGAATTGAAATAAAAATGCAATTTCTTCTTTATATTTTTCAAAATATCCATACGCTTGATAGAATCCAACCATTTCATATCGATTAAAAGTGGAATTTAGTGGAATTTTAAATAAATCACTGTATAAAGTACAAGCACTATATCGTCCATATATATCAGTTCGATTAACTACAACAGAATCATCTGTTGTTAGCTGAACTTTTGTTTGATTTATTGGAATTAGAAAAACTGATCGAAGATCAATTAAAATCCAGGGTGCTACATAAAGTTTACATTGATGTAGACGGGCTAACCCATAAGCACTGGCAAATAAAAACATTCGATTTCCAAGAGCTCCATCAGCTGTACGAATTATAATTAAACATGTTAGCGGTGCTTGAGCTTTATCATGAAGATTTTTACTATAATTATTATTACTAAGAAGTAGACCTCTAATTGAAGAATAATAAATTTTGGAGTTTGACGACCGTAAAATGGTAAATTGACTTCGATCAAACCAAAACTGATAAATAATAAAAAAGACAATGAGTCCGAATATGAATAAAACTAATTTTCTATGCGTAGTATGGGATTGGACATAGTGAATATAATCATCGCTAAGACGCTTTAAATGATCTAACTTTGAAAGTAATTCGTTATACATTGGGTGATGGAAATTTTACTGTTCTTTTTTCTTTTATGAATCGCATTTTTGTTGAGTTCTCTTAGAAATAATCCAAACGCAAACTAACCTGAATGCAACCAATAAGAAATATACTTTTTATGGTCTTTTTTTATATTTTTTCCTTTTCTGCTATTTGAAGCATTTCTGCCATTAGAATGTAAAGCATCGAAGTGAAGCCTACCATAATGGAGTCCGTCACTACGGGTGAACAATGAGCTAAATTCATATTCTACAAGATGCAACAATGCATGTAACTTATTTTATGTAGTTTCAACCAATAGCATCATTATCCGTTTTTTACTTTCATTCATCCAACAACTGTTGAAGATAAAATCAGTGTTGCTAACAGCAAGAATCGACAATGACAATGGAAACAAAATATCCATGATATGTATATGATACTCTATTCTACAATTTACTCATAAAATAATAAAATGTCATGAAGAGATATTCTCCAGGCAAGTTTCATTGCTTTGCCTTGCAAATTACGAAGAAGAAGAATACGTTTCATATTTATATTCAAGTTGGAGCATTAGTTTTTATTTTTATTGACAAAGTAGCACACGAAAAAGATTCATAACTAGCATAACAATCTACCAAGAACATGAAAAAAAATGTGTTTGATCTTTAGTTATAATTAGTTTTCTATTTATCTAGCGAACATTGTCTCGCCCACCTACTCTGGTTTTACACGGTGTTATGTTCCATTTTTAAGCTTTTATTTTATTTTATTTTATAATATTATATATCAGGCAGTGAGAACCTAACGAAACATATCAACAAGAACTAATCTGAATATATATACTTATATATATATATTCGAGATTAAGGAAAAGAAAAACAAACAAATAACTATGGACCTATAACATTATATAATGAAGATGTCAGATCCTAACACACGGTTTATTTGAGAAAATATGAATCATTAATGTCAAAAGTAACAACATGAAAAAACTAGACGAAAACATCGATCTGTATGCGAAAGAAAACGCTGTATTTCACTAACGAAGCTAATTGATGATAACATTGTAAGCAGCTGATATGATCCGTAATTCGTTGAAATTAATATTTTGTTTTTCTTTACAGTAGTTGTGTAAAAAGATTATATCTTTAACAATTCTTAAGCTTATATGTTGATTGAATTTTTAAAATACTTCAGTTTTACCTTTATCATTTTAAAAGGCGTTTTAATTGAATAGATGTAATTATATATTGAAGTTACACCACTGACAGAGTTATTTGATTACGATAAAAAAAGATTCCTCATTTTCATCAACAGAAGAGTCGATAGAAATATAATTGGATGAATCAGTATATAGCTATGGCATTAGCATAGTTTTATTCTGAAATAGGATTACTAAAGTAATATTCTTCTCTGTGAAACTCACATACATTTTTCGAAGAAAATGGTGTGTGTAAGTTTACAAGCGAGATTTTTGCGGCTCCCCAGCTCCCCCTTCCCATTACAAACATTAGCTTAAAATTGTACTGATTAGGAGCTTGACTAATTAGGTTGCTATTTCTTTCTTTTTTTAATTCCAGGCTACACGAAACTAGTAATGCTTGCTCATTTGCAGACCATACTAACTAATTTAGGTACCATTATAGACCAAAGAAGCTAGTCGCTGCCACTGTTAAATATACGAGCTAGCAATTAATACTCCATTACAGACATAAGCAAATAGACAATGACCTAATTATAGGTTTTGGAAATCAAGGCAGATCTTTCTGATGAACTATCTTAAATTATTTTAGTAAGCCTAAGAATATATGTGAGTTCCATATTTTAACTCCAAAGGGGCTGCGCTAGCAAGCTTTTTTTCTTTGCTACTTTTACTGAACTTAAAGACTATCGCATGATTGAAAATCTTATTTACCATTTGATAATACCATCTTAATTTGGTGTAGTTTATTCCACACTTTCAAAAATAATTCAAAATTTTGTTATTCTCAGACTAAAGTGAGCACACATGCAGGGTATCATTTTGTTCTTTGATTGTAAAACTACTATGTAACTTAATTTAAAACTTTTTTAGATTTCTATTAGAAACACTGCATAATATCACTGATCAATGACAGGGACACGATTTATGAGAAACGAATCAAACATATTTTGTTTTTGAAGGAATTTTTCTTTATCAATTTAAGCATTATTTTAAGGAATCTATAGAACTTTGAAGACTTTAAACATAAGGATATGTCTTTGCGAAACGAAGAATTTTTCGTTACTTGATACAACATCACAACTTTTCATTGATTGAGTTCCTATACATGCTTCAGCAAAATGTTGGAAACCTAGATTGAGAGTATCCAAGCATGCTGAATGCAATGTATAGATAGTAATGTATTTTTGAATTTTTTTATACACCACATTGTTAATCGCTGAAATCTTTGTATGAAATCATCTTTTTCGGTAGCTAGAGATTTTTCGACGGGCTTAAAAAATATTCTGCTTCCGATAGATTCGAATTGAGATAGGTTTGACTGGCTATTTAAAATATTTTTTTGATTACTTTTTTGTGGTGGCAGTTTCATATCGATGATGAACATTGTGCTTCAATGTTTCGCAGCATTTCTCATCTAATGAAGAAAAAAAATGAGAATAGCAGATAGAAATTTCCAGATTTATTTTCTTATTTCAGATTAATCACTCTTTTGATGGTAATAATGTAACAAAAACGACGAACTATAAGTACTCGTCTACGAAAAAACATTTACAAGTGTTAGGCTTTCGCACATTTGTGCAACCGACTATGACAAGCATAACATGGAAAATAAAATAGAGGATATCATTTTAGAAATTGCTCGAAAGTAATATTGACTGAATTTTCTCTAATGAATGGAATAACATATCAACTATAATCGGATTGCTAATTGTAACGGATTTGTAAACTTATCTTTCCTTAAATGTCAGATACTATTACGTATTTTAACATTTCAATTCTGAATCAAAAGCACGAAAAGCGATTTAGCTTCTCTTCTTTACATTAGAAAAATGCTTTATCTCCATTGCATAACGAGTTGACTCGCATATATAAAATCAGCAATTTTTTTGTGTGATATGATTCAATTATTTTCTGATGATTTGATACTATGTATTGATTGATGAATTTATTTTGTTTCATATCTTTACGTTGACAGGACGATAGTGACGTGTGAGACGTTCAATTTCAACTACTTGAAAACCTTAAGTACGAAATACCTCTATTTTGGACATTTCTTCCATGTTGAAATCCTCCAATGCTACGTTCCATCCCTTCACATATGACCTACGCTTTTGACGATAGTCTTTTCTTTTTATATACAAAACATAGCGAACTTATTTCTGATATCATTTCTAAGTTAACTACTTGAATAAATAATTTTTAACAATGATGCTGCGTTGTCAGCGTCATCCGGATAGATCAATCAAGCGACTGAATAAGATATTTCAATGACTCAATTCACACAGTTAGAATGTCTTTGTACAATTAATAGAATGAAAAAATTCAAAACACTATTCACTATTGACACAATACCATTTACTCGATACTTCATGCATGAATGCATCTGAGGTACCATAACGATCAATGTTATAGAAGCACAAGAGAAAAACGAAATATAATATGAAGGTTAGAAGGGCGATACGTCACTATCTGTATCATTGTCTCCTTGTACGAATGCTTGACAAGGCTTCATACACATGCATACATTTCTTCATTCATAAACTGTAGGCAAGTAACCGGCGAGTTATAACATTTTGAACAAATATTTGGTGAAATAATGGCGAAAGAAGCGACTCGTGCTGAAATTTCATTATCAGACATCAATGATGAAACATCATCATCTTCAGGCAATCAACAAAATAGACCATTGAATGTAGCAGCTGCGAAAAATTCAATTAAGCAGTATGTTACCAATGTCTTAAGTAAACTTGAAAGGGATGTTGAGCATCAGACTAATTTAGCAGAATCTCAAATCGAATTTGATACACCAAAAAATAATTATCGTGTTTATGAAAATGTATCTGCTTTTCGACAATATCATTCTCATGCAGAAGCAATCGCAAGAACCGATGCTCATCGACGTCAAGAAGATATGACTAGTGAGGATGATTTAAATGGCCATCCATTGTCAGAAGATCGCGTAATTAAATGCTTACTAGAGTTTCTTTTTCAAAAACAAAAGTGTAACTTCTTTTTCTTCCTTTTTTTGTTTTAGTCAGCCAATCTACATGAATCAACTACAGAGTTGAATTTGGATCCGAATCCAACCATTCAAGAACGTGAAAGTGCTGAAAAGATTTACAAACAAAAGGTCTATTTACGTCAATTGCAACCACCTACTCCACAGCCAATAGAAATTCAAGTTCAAGAAGTTTTACTTCAACCGCAAACACAAAAACCACCAATACATGTTCGTGTTGGACAACGTGAGCCTCGAACACCTTCGCCAATTATTATTAAGAGTACACCACCACAACCTCCATTCACTGACTCTGATCAACCAGTTATTTACAATAAATATGTTCCACCACCAAAGCAAGCACCACAACAGGTATCATTCTTGATTAGTTATTGAAAACTTCGAAAGATCTCTTCTAGATAATTATTCATCGTTATGCCGATTTACCACCGAAACCACGTAGGTTAATTTAGCTATTTTTTTTTAAATTCTATATCGATTATTTTTTTCAACAAAGGTCCTATTGTTGTTGAACAATGGTTACCATTTAAACCAGCGCCAAAACGTATAATTAAACATTCATTACCACGTGAAGCCGTTCAAACCCCACAACCTCCACACAACATAATTGTGTCATACGGGAAACCACGTACTCTTGTTGAAGTTGAATTAGTTCGTTTGCCGGTAGTTAAAATAGATCCGCATACTTATCAACAAATGAGTGCTGTTGGTCAGCAAAAATTGACTCAGCATCCATCATTTCAACATGAACAAGATTATTTATCTGAAGATAAATTAGTACACGCATCTCGTATATCTAATCCAATTAATTGGCGTATTTAGATAGAAATACATTACGCACGTATTTAGTATGCATGCCTACCAAAGCTCGTATCAATTTATTGTTAATTATTTAAATTCAATAAAAAAAAACTAGATGTGACATTATGAAAGAGAACTATTCGAAAAACTACACGTGATACTGCTGAAGTTAGATATTTATGAGATATTGCCGTATACCTTATATCGATAATATAAGTGCCACCTAGATGAACCCTACTAGGATCATAAAGCTGTTGAGTATGAAATAAAATCTGTTTTAAGTTTTGAACCAAATGTAAATAAAAGAAGCAAATCCTTAAAAACAATACAATGCAATTCTGAATTAAAAGCGTCAAAAAAGAAAAACCCAATCAAATTCGTCTTCTGTTAAAATACAATTGATTGTTCACAAAAATAAATAAATATAGCACTTTTAAACAAAAAGCAGAAGTTTCTTCTATCCTATGATACAGTTTAGATAGAAAAATTAATCTGAATCCAATAGGTGCCTGACAACAATATGTTAAAATAGATAATACTATTGAATTACTTGTACAGGAAGAACACAATCTCCAATACACACTATAAGATTATAGCTAACGTTCAAGTTTCATTTGGTAAGTTATTCTATGTGGTCCATTGACGCAGGACCAATAAAAGCATAATATAGATCAATTGGAATACCTTTTTTTTTGGAAATCATGAGTATTGAAAAGAATAAAAATGAATGGAGCATCAGGAAACATATATTCGTAGTGAAAACTAATATATTACATCGATTTTTTGTGCATACTGTTTACTCAAGTTCAAAAGAAAATTTTTCTTCTATTTATACTCGTTGTGAAAGATAAATATATATAAAAACCGATCATGATAAATTATTTTTAAGGCAGATAATGAAAAAAGATTTAATACATTTAGCCTGAAAATTTTTATTTCTCTAATTGAGCTTTGAAGACTTAAATTCAATTTGAAAGTCTTGTCGCATAACTGAACGTTGTAGCATTCAACATGAATTTTATTATTCTACGACGATTGTCACTGTTCTAAGATCTGCAATTATATGTTTTTTATAATATTGAAAGATAAAATGTACATAGATGATAGCCTATAGAAAAATAATTTCATCGATATTTCATTTCGATTATTGAACAGTTCATTTTTCGATTTTACTTTGTTGTAAATATTTTCAACGAATTATCTACATAATAATTAAATTGGCAATGAAGAATTATGAGATGTGTTTAATAATCTATAATCATTTAAAGTAATGTTCCATTCAATCTTACGACAAATATATTGTCTTTTCTGAAATGTTTACATAGAGATTGATTGTGTTAACATTTTGCAATAATTAAATGGCCAATCACGAAAAAATCTGATAAAAAATCATTAGCATATGACTAAAAGTTAGTCAAATATTTAACGAAAGAATCTTAAATTATTGATTAAAATTAAATTAAAACTTTTCCTATCGATATAATCAAATTTTAAACAAATCTGAAATTTCAATTCATCACAAATTCTATCATTTAATTGATTAAAATAAAAAATGATTTTACTGTTTTCTTAATTACAATTATCGACAAGAAATAGAGGAGAAATTTTTCGATCATTTTCTAAATCATTCTCATATTCAAATAGTTAATTACTATTCAATTTTCAGATAAATGAAGAACTTATTCAATGTTGTTTATCTTGAAAAATAGAAAATTTGAATTGCTCTGTTATGGCAATTTTTTCGATATGAAGGGAAACAAAGAACTATTTTATAGATAATCTTTCAAATAGTGAACAATACCCGTAAGCATTTCATGAGCGACGTCTAATTTGAATATTCCTTCTAGAAATGTTAATGAACCAAGAAAAGTATTTTCAAAATGTCGATGTGTCACATGAACTCCATTAGATTTTACACGAGCTGCATAGATAAATCCTTCATCTCTGAATTGATTGTGATCAACAGTGAGCACATATGTAGCTAGTCATTTCGATAGTTTTTCATTCTCGACTAATAATGGTGATAAATCGGGTTCTAATGTTTGTTGAGCATTTTTTCTTAGATTTGCGCCACCATCAATGTTGTCATTGATTGATTCTTTGTAAGTTTGCCGATATTTACTTGGAATTAATGGCCAATCTACATATGGACGATATTGTTTCTTTTGTTCAGTTGTCGTATGATTATTGGCAAGTATATCATCACTAATACTCCTATTGAGATATAATTCGAGCATCAAACCACTTTTTCCGGAATCAAAAATATTTACATTCGCTTCTCGATACGATGGAAGCATGAAATCAAAAAATTGTACTACAGGATAAATAAGAATTTGAAGACATGGAATGTTTTTCGTCATATTTTCGTTGGTAAACCGTGTTGCAATTACAGTAACAAAATTTCCACCTATCAATAAATATTGAAGAAATTCCTTTATAAATAACTAATTATTAAATGCATATTTCTCTTCCGTTTCTTTTTATATTTCATAATTTTTAATTAAATTTTAATTGTGTCTGAATTTGAATAGCTCTTTCCACTTCAAATTTAAAAGTAAGTTTGATTTTTATCGAGCTCAAAATTTTCTACGAGTTAATATCAGTTTTAAACAAGACAAGCGTTTTGGATCTCTAGAAAATTTGAGAATCTTACCAGCTGAATCTCCTGCAATAGCAATACGTGTTGGATCGATGTTAATCTTGTTCGCATTATCTATATCAAGGATATGCTTTGTTACTTTTGTACAATCATCCAGTCCCACTGGAAAAGGATGTTCTCTGGTGATAGACGATATCTATTATATAAAGCATTGCATACGATGAAAAAATAAAATAGTTGTATTTTTTTCAACTTGTTGAATCAGCACATACTCAACCGAAAGGACAATAAAATCAGTTTGAACAGCTAATTCACGTGTTATTGGGTGATGAGTTTCTAAATTTACGATGTCATTCGAATATCGAAATATTCGAAAAGACTCACCAACTAAACCTTTGCAGAAGCCTCCTCCGTGATAATAAATAACAACAAAAAGTAGTTTAAACAGACTATTTACTGAATTTATGGGATAGTAGAAGCGTACAGGTACTCCCTCAATAATCATATGGTCAATCTACGAAGAGTCCTTTATGAAATCAATTCAGATAATATGTTTAATAATACTTTTAGATTAGTCTTAATTTCGATCGGTTTTAATTTTAATAGGAGAATCACACAACTACGTTGAATAAGTCATTTTGATGACAAACCAACAGTTTCAGGCGTGAAACCCTATAAGAAAAAGAAAAGAAAAAAGCTACTGACAAAGATTCTGAAGTTGTCTTATAATTTATTTAATTCAATTATTTAAAAATCTTTCGTTCCTATCAAAATCATTAACAGATATTTCCTTTCATTATATTCTTACAATAAATTTAATTATTTTCATTGATGCATTGAGTAAACGAACGTGGCTCATTTGTGAAATATTCTCACTATTTGGAACATGATATAGATATGCCAAAATACATATGAAAATGCTACCAAGTGTTGCTGACAATTGAAACGTGTAACTCATCGATTTCGTACCAATAGCTACATATATGATCTAGTAGGAACGATAGTGATGTTCTAATAAGTTTTATGTTTTATCTTCTCAAACAAAGTTGAAATTGAAAAAGGATATTCTTCATGGGTAGCTCTTAAAGTAAATAGGAATTTTTATTTCTTTTTGCGTTCTCTTTTTTTGTAACCACAATGTATGTTATAAAAAAAAGGCGCTGTGTCAACAACTTTCGTTCTCTTATAGTTGCAGCAACATCAAGGATAAAACATTATAGATTGTGCTTTCTGGTACTTCTTCACGTTTGTTCATATTCATCTATTCGAACAAGACAAAGGTAAGTTTCATTCTTGTTAGATAGACTCTAGTTAAACGAGAGTTTCATTTGGAAACATGTTTACTTGTTACAAGACCTTGAAATTTAGATTTGCCAAGGTAAATTCAGAAAGAATAGAAAAAATGTAAATATTCAAGGAGATATACACATATTAAATAACCTTGGCTATTCCAAGTTATTGTTTTTATAAGTAGTCTTTGATTATTCTGATTCTACTAATTAAGCAATTGTTATTTTCCAATCTTCGATCTCATCTCTTTTGATTTTATATCATTCGTTCAACTAAATGATAGATTCATACATACCGAATGATCTCTCATATTATGCTCTGTCTTACTACGCATCTAGAAAAATGATAAGATAAAATCTATATTCATATTCTGATTGTTTCATCAAAAACTGTCTAAGATATTTCGATAGATAGAAGAAGAAATTTTTAAAAAGACTATCTGATGTTGGTGTTTATATTGTATTATATTTCGCAGACAAATACGACAAGATTTATCTTTTTCGAGTAACACACACTAATCGGAACGTTTTAATCAACTATATAGTAAGAGAACTTTTTATTGTTTTTGAAATCGTAAATGGTTTTCAAATTTTGATCTTTTCTTTTGGTATGACTTTGAAAAGATTGGAGATTTAATTCACATCGAAATATCTAAATATCAACTGCAAGAACATTGATGTGATTTATATAATTTACTTTTCTTAATTTTTGAAGACGCATCGTTTGAATTCATGCAGATTTAAGTAAAAATAAATGTGGAAACTTCGGATTTCATCCGAGAGCTATGTGTACTGCAAAAAATGTATGCGACATATGAGTCATTCTAAAATGCCTGAACACGAAAATTATCATTAGAAACTAGACAATTTGATTTCTGGATGGAGTTTTTGTGAATTTTGAGACGTTTTTCAGGCGATGTTTCGTTAGAAAGCTATGACTTAGTTCAAAACTAATATCAGATTTAGAATCAGCGTTAAAAACTGAGTCGATTTATATATGTTGTGAGTAATTCTGAGAAAATTGTTTTTTTGAAAAATCCCTGTACTCCCCCTCAGGGATGGTCTGATCAAAAATGACAATTTTTTCGACAACTCAGCCATTTCTTGACGGATCCTTCTCATCTTCGAACTCGACCTAGATATTGATAAGCCAATTCTGTGCACAAAATTTCAGCTCAATCGAATGTAATTGTGAAGAGTTATCGAATAAACGGACGGCCGGACGGCCGGACACACTGACCGATTCTATAGTGTACTCTTTTTTTTTTTTTGAGTACACAAAAAAGAAACTTCGAGTATTCTATTCACTTTTTAATTGCAATCACTAAGATTATTGTAGCGACGGAATTCGTTTGCTTCCGTACAATAAATTATATTGTAAAACATACATCGTAGTGTCCTGATAAATCCCGAGGGGGACGTCCTTTGCAAATGTTTTTTTCGCTGGAATCGTGACAAGCGCTGCGATTTATGATTGTAAACTAAGTCTTTTATCTCCAGTTAAAAATTTTATTAATAGAAAGTAGACATGCATTTATTTTTGTTCAGATTTTAACCATTAAGTATCTGAAGAATGAAGAAAAACGTTTCTGATTATCGAAAATAGAGGGTATCTAACGAGTTCCATCTGGTGATCATCTAATAATTTGATGAAAATTTCGAGATTTCTAGAATAATTTTTACTAATATTTTGCATGTAAAGTTTTTCCGATATAAGTTCATGTTTTTTTGGAAGACACGAAATAAATGCTACAACTACATGTTTAGTCATTTTTCTATGAGCCAATGGAACATTTTACAAAAACGAAATTGATTTTTCATTAAAATCGTGAGACTAATTATAGATTTGTGGAGTTCTAGTGAAAAGTTATATCAGATTCTTACTCGACTACAAATTTTCATACCGTTAACTGGTTTTCTCTATAGTAGTTTGGGAGAGAAAATATTAATTCAAAGAAATTATTAGACAAGTTAGAATTAACGAAAATAGTTATGTCACTAGTTCGACAGAGCAATGACACTTTACAAGATCTTCTAGTTAATTTCTTCGCAAACTTTAATTCAGTTGGTAACAATGCTTGTAAACATTGAGATATAAATCTTTATTTTCCTCAAACGAAAATATATTCAGTTTCTTCGTACGCTTAAACTTCTAGAAGCAATTTAGATTTCTTTGATGACTCTTCAGAAATATTCACTTGATTGATTTGGTAATGATTGAGTAAATTGAAATATGAACAGTTACAATAAAAAAAAATCAACTTTTTTAAAATATTTTCAGTCAGAAGATAAATGTATGTTCAATGAAGCAGAACATACACTTCAATACATATTTTTCAAGAGCTATTCTCTGGAGAATAAACCTTTTATGAACTATAGCAATCATTTTAAATTGAATAATATTCTGATAGAATTCTCAGAAAGGTTAAAATCAATAATTTTGACCACAACAAAAGACTAAAATATGGGCAGACGACTGAGTGAATGTTATGGTTCCCAATTTTAATAAAGTTTTAAAAATCTATAAAAAATATTCATAATAAGAAATTTTCTATTACGTTGAGCTATTTTATTTAAATGGTTTTTCTTTTAAAAAATGAATCTTTATAACGTAGCGTTGAAAAAAATTTGTTTTCTCAAATTTAAAACCGAATCAATTCATTCGCATATATGATAGGAGCTTTGCCGAATCTTTAAGATTTAGTATTAATTTTAGAAGTTTTTAACACCATCCTTAATAGACTAGACTTGATTAATGGAATCTAACTGGTTTCCATATCAAATATTTATCAGCGCATCTATTAGTATTTTAGTAAAAAAAATGCTTTAAAAGGTATTCAGATAAAAATTACTCGAAAGAAAGAATTATACTTTTCATATATATATATATATATATATATAAGAACTAGATGGTATTCGAGTTTCACTCGTATACAAAATGCGGTGCGAAGCACGGGCCGAGTACACGAAAAAATAAAAAGTTTAACGGAAAAAGAACAAGCGCACTGAATATTCGATGAAAGATGGGATAAAGGATATCAACAGTTAGATCTCGATACGCTTACAATGCGTTGGAGCGAGCTATTTGTGATTTTCTGGTCTTGAGATCGTCATGTCAGAAAATGACCTGATATGATGTGCACGAATAGTTTCCAAGAAAAAGAAACGAACAATCAGTCGTGGCTTCTCTACTTTCATTTCTTAGTGGAAATGACTTCGCTATTTATGTATAAGGATTTAAAACAGAAATTTTCTACTGAGCAGCTGATCGAAATTTCAAATACTACTTAAGTAACCATTAACAATTGCATCACTGTGAAAACTCCATGTATGTCTAGCGGCATGTTTTGCAAGAACGATTTCGATTGAACATTTAATTATCTCAATGATTCAATATCTATTATCAGCTGTGAGCGAATACACTAGTGGCTAGCATTTGCTGATGACGTCATTTTAATTATCTCCAATCTTGAAAACGACAAATTCCTTTCATTTTCGTCATTTTGGAACATCATTTGTGAGTGAACGGAATATCAGATTGAAGAATAGAAAAAGTATGTCAGAAGTTCAATCTCGATACTTTCATCTCCCGTTTCAATGAGTTCTCTATGGTTTTCGGTACTCGAGATCATCGGGTCACAAAATGATGAAAACGATGCGTACGTCGAGAAAGCAAAAGCAAAAGAAAACACGTGACGGACTACATAAATGCTGTGCTTTGCACTGCATTAATAAAACAATTTGTCTTTTATTTGTAAATTCTAATTATCATGCAAAAAAATCCGTTGTTCGCTGATACAAGTTATAAATCTTATTAGTTGATGTACTTGTATAATTATCGAGCAGTTACCATAGTTTTCAATGTTCTTTCATTAATTATATACAAGCTATTTTTCTCTAATCAAATATCATGTCCTTTGTTTCACAATAAAAAGAAACCCATCCAGCTCTAAATACTAGTTATGTGGGTGTTCGGTATGCATATTTATGAAAAGAAAGATAAGAATGAACGAGTCTTTACTATCAGTCATGATGTGTGATTTTTACCCTTTTTTCACAGTGTACGCATTAAAAGAAAAAATGTTATTAATACTCGATCACGTCGCATAGCCTTCATTTTAAAACACACACGTGTAGGTGTATAGTCTGATTCGTTCGTTTTATACACTACCTAAGCTAAATAATACCACTTTCAAATATAATGAAACACACGATTTTCTCCCAGGATTAAACGCTTTAATTTCGAGTTAATTCGTGTGAGCGCTTTTTTTAAACAGTTATCGAATACTTTTTCGAGAATTGTGTAATGAATTTATCGGCGAATCATTTAGAATTAGATCTAGAAGAAGAATTTTTTTCTGAAAGTAGTTTTTAAGTCAATCTTACAATTTATTGCATATCATATCATGTGATCAATTACTATTAGAATCGGAGTTTTTGTTGATGCTTCAGCCTTTTTTTAAATATAGAGACGGCCTATAGTTATTAGAGAATAAAGTACGAACACACGAAATGGTAGTATTTACTTTCAGAGGGCTATTAAAAGAGATGAAAAGTTGAAAAATGAACAGAAGATCATTGATATATAAGAGATAAACATATTGACTGTTATTAATATAGTTGTGAATAAGATCGGATAATAATTTGAATTTTTAAATGTACGAATCTATGAACTTATTTGATTAATTGATGGATAAAAAAAATAGTTCCAATGTTATTGCAAGATATGATCGAAAAATTTGTTAAATGATCTTTCAGAAATAATTTACTATTATTTATTTTGATTTAGTTAATCAAATTTAACTTGGTATCTATACAACAATATTCAGTCAAATGTCATCACGAAGAGGTCGAGATTATCCTGATGGTATATTTTCTTTTCTTTAAAAAGATATTTTCAATTGATCGGGATCTTTTCTTTTAGATGATGATCGAGATCGTCGATCATCTAAACGTCGTATGTATTCTTTTTTCTTTTGCTAGAGAAAACTTAATGGAATTGTTTATCTATTGTTTTGAATTTCATATTAGCTCGTTCAAGTCGTGTCGACGAAAGTTCATCTGAATCATATCAACGTCGATCATATTCATCATCTAGCGTAGAAGAAAAACCTTCGACTTCTTCAAGTCAACCCATTAGATTTACTGAATTCACCTCGAGTTCTGTAGTACCGAAATCTTCAATAGACACAGAAATTGATGCAAAAAAGCGTTCACATTCGTTTGTTCGTCCACTACTACGTTCAGCTGTACCAGATTCTCAAATAATAACACTGGCACGAAGACCAGCGTTACCTGGACGTGGTAAAATAGCGATAGAAAAGAAAAAAATTTATTTTTATTTAAATCTGATTAATTGTTGTAGCTGGTCAGCGATTTGAAATTTATACAAATCATTTAAAGATTGAATTTTCCAATGCGACTGAATCATTAATACTTTATCAATTCGATGTAGATGTTGAAATATTAATGCGTGATGGTTCATGGCGTTCATGTAAAAAAGATGAACGTTTTCAGGTTATGAAAACAATTATCGAACGAGAAGAATTTCCACTTGTTTGGTATGATCAAGGGAAAAGTTTATATTCAACTCAAAATTTAACCTTAACATTAAAAAAAGAATATGAATGTGAAATAGTCCATAAAAAAACAAATCGAACAAATCGTTTTCGATTTTTACTTATTAATCTTGTCAAAACTTATGATTTAAAAATAATTTTCGATTTCATTCAAAAGAAAATGCCTAATCGTCCACATGATCCTGTAAGAATTCTAGAAATTTTATTTAAACAAACCCAAAGAGCTGATATGATTACAATAAAAAATCAATCATATCCAAAAAATCAAAAATTAGATGATCTAGGTAAAGTATTTTCATAAGAGAAACAGAGAAATTTTATCATCATGAATTTTCATTAAGGTGATGGTCGTGGTTTAGCTGCAGGATTTTATCAAGCAATCGTACTTGGTGAATGTGGTCCAACATTGAATATTAATAATAATTTTTGTTGCTTTTATCAAAATGATAATTTAGTTCAATTCATTTCCTGTTATTTAGGCCAAGATATTAGAAAAAATGGTTAGTTAAACATTGAAACATTATTTCTCTCAAGTTACTTTTCGATTAGTATTGTCTGAACGATATCAAATTTAGTCATTTCTTGTTTTTTCAATTTTACATTACGAGATACAGACTATTTTTTACCTTCGATTGTTCTTAGTCGATCAGCTGTGATCGTTTGTGAGGAAAAAACTCTATCAGCTTAGTTTTCCAATTTTCATTTGTTTATTTACCGGTTATTACTAGAAATTTCAGCTACAAGTTTGACTGGAAATAAATTTAATAGTCATATAAAACTATTCATTGGTCAAGAATATATTCATCTGTGTTAAAGTTTTAACAACTTTTCGCTCGTTATACCTCCTATTAATTGCGAAAGTTTCACCTGGAAGTTTAATCATTTAGATTATCAAGAGATTTGTATTCATAGCGTAAAAATGCAGTAAAATGCTTATAAATAAATAAACGAATAAAAAAATATGTGTAGATTAGATAGTAAGAGCAAAACAAGTCTTGCTACTTTTATTATTATTATTATTATTATTATTGTGATTTACCAGAAGAAGTTAAATGATAAATATTTTCAAGTAAGAAGAGTTTGAACAAACAGAAATCTCTTTGCGTCAGTTTTAATCTGCAACATTTTTTCAACTAAATTATTGTTTGAAAATACTTTGTTTTTGTAAACATTATCGCATGATGTGACACTCTAGTGATGAATTAAATTCAGTAAAACAGAGTTTTTGTATCTACGGGGGAAAAACATTTGTTTCTAGTCCTCTATCCTTTCAAACTAAAAACTCCGACAGGTCTTCAACATTTTACATGTTTGGCAAAGAAGATATATTGTATTTTTTAACGCCACTTACTTAACCTATTCTAATGACTGAATGAAAATTATTTATAAGTAAACTTTTCCATCATAACATTTTACCCAAATAACTGACATATCAATAAATAAAAAATACTCACTTTTGGTAATTTGTTTTTTCTATTGAATAGACATTTAATTCATTAATATTATAAATACTCTCCCCTAAATTTGAATATATTCCTTAAGTATATCGAAGTCTTTATAGACGAAATAAAAATTGATTACTTTAATGTGTATTTGAAGGTATCTCACCAAACGATCAATCGTTCTTAGTACGTAAAATCTTAAAAACTATTTGGTTTGTAACAACACATACCAATCAAGTTCGAAAATATCGTTTAAAATCATTTGGTCGTTCATCAAATGAGCATAGATTTTCTCAAGATCATGGTGAAAATCAAGGCGAGCAAATCAATGTTACTGATTACTTTCGAGAAAAGTGGAAAATTCGTTTACGTTATCCACAATTACCTGTTGTTGAGCTGTTTAATCCAGTGGATAAAAATAAATCACATTTTTTACCAATGGAATTAGTTACTGTCGATGAATGGCAGCGAAGTTTGAAACCATTAACAACTGAACAACGAGCAAAAGTAACAAAAAAAACTGTTGTTAAACCGGGCGAACGTTTTGGAATGATTCGGCGCGTTATTGACGAATGTCGGTTTGATCAAGATTCTTATTTACAAAAATTTGGTATCAAAGTTCATTCTAACGATATGTTGAAGATACCGGCAAGAATTTTAACGCCACCTGACATAAAATATAAATCAACAAAAGACGATCAACGCGATATTATTGAAAAAGTACAAATTGGTAAATGGTATTTAAATAATCAATTTAATAAAACACGTGAAATACGTATCTGGGCTCTTGTGCTTGTCAGTCAAAAAGAACCTGACGCACGACAAGTCGGGTTAGCTAGAGATTTTGCAAGTAAAATTCCAAAGGTTAGAAGATTTATTGTTTTTCAAATGATATAATCAATAATCTCATTTTTTTTCTTCTCGTCGAAAAGGCAATGTCGAGATATGGTGTTCGATTTAATTCAGCAGCTATTGAAAAATCCGATGCTGCTGTACCCGACACTATTTTAGCTCGGATGAATGAGCTTAAAATGTTAGGATGTGAAGTTATCATTTATATTCTCAATCAAGTTGGTGAGGATATATATCATGTGATTAAATATTTTGGAAATGTTAAACTTGGTAAGAACCGATTTCACTCTTTTGACATTTGAATGAACTGTTTCCGATTTTTTTCCAAGAAAATGAAGTGTGAAGGATAGTTAACGAAAATTTACTGAACATAATACAACTATTTAGTATGCTCTTACTTTTGAGGATTGTTTGTTAGATTGAAGAGCAGATCTTTTCTTATAATGCATCTGATGAAATGAGCCATTCGCAAGACAAACATATTTTTGTTTTAAATTGAGATCATTCTAAATAATCTATATTTTATTGAAACTTTAGTCATCTCAACTTCAAACGATTGTTGAGCAATGCAAAAATCTAAATAAAAGAAAATCTAGAAAACTTTGCCGTTTTGAAGAAGAAATTATGTTATTCGAGTTAATCATTTTTATTTTTCTGTGTCAGACTATTAATAAAAAGCTTTTCTGGTATCTAAATCACTTCATTGTTGTAGGTATGGTTACTCAATGTACACGTTTCGACAAACTTTTTGCCAATAGTGAACCACGTAAAATGGATATGTATATTCAAGTGAGTTTTTTATATTTAAAAACAAAAATTTTCTATTTAACAACACAATCTGAGCAAATAGAATTTGGTACAAAAATTTAATGCAAAATTGGGCGGTATAAACCAACTGGTTTCGTTGATGCGTGCATTAACCTCTTCATCGCCTCGTACAGATATTTTTATGTTTTTTGGTATCGATTGCACTCGTACAACATGTTCACGTGAACAGCCATCAATAGCTGCTATTATTGGATCAAAAGATTCAACAAGTTTGTTTGAGTTTTATTCATCTACAAAAAGACAAATTCTTTTTAGGTACACAATATGCTGGCCGTGTTGTTCAGCAATATTGCCCAAAAGGAAAAATATCAGTAGAGATAATAAAGGATCTTCATATTTATGTTCGAGAATTATTACATGAATTTTCTCATCATAATACTCATCTACCAAATAAACTTGTCTTTTATCGTGCCGGTGTTGATGATGGATCTTTTCAAAAAGTACTTGATAATGAAGTGCGAGCAATTCAACGAGCATGTAAAGGTAGTAAAGATCATCATATTAACTCATTCAATAAAAGTAATTATCTGTTTTAAATAAGAACTTTATGGTTACAATGAATTACCAAAAATTTGTTTTACAATTGTTAAAAAACATCATAATACTCGGTTTTTTACTTGGGATAAACAATCAAATCAAACACATAATATTCAACCAGGTAAAAGTTCTTTTTTTATTGGCTAGTTCTTTTTTTATTAGTTTTCTGTTTTTTGTTTTAATTTTAGGCACAGTTATTGACACAGATATTATTTCACCGAATGGATTTGATTTTTATCTTAATTCTCATGCAGCAATTCAGGGCACATCCAGACCAATGCTTTATCATGTTTTATATGATGATATTGGTTTTACACCAGATGAAATTCAACAGTTAACGTGAGAATTTTATTGTAAATATTAAAAATAGAATTTAAAAGTTATTATTAGATATTATTTATGCCATACGGATGTTCGATGTACGAAATCTGTGTCTGTTCCAGCACCAGTTCATTATGCGACACTTTGCGTATCTCGTGGCCTAAACCTTGATTATGAAGGACAAATGTCTAATGAACCGCGTAGTTTTTCTATGTAAGTTTTCGAAGTATTTATTCCAATGAAATAATACAATAAAAAGCTTTCATTTTAGTTCCGATGTGGGTGAAGAATTATTAGATGAAAATGTTGTTGTTACATTAGATGATGTTCAAACAATAAAAATTAATTTCAATCCATCAATTGAGAATACAATGTGGTTTGCATAAATATCATTTTATTTTCGTTTGTATAGAATAATTTCATTTATGGCATTGAGATTGTTTGGTCAAATTGATCATGCATTTAATCATGTGTTCTTCGTTCGTTTTAATTGTTTTGTTCGTTGTTTTCTTTTTATATTTCTTATTATTCTTCATAATTTATTTCAATGTAACAATGCTGCGATTAGTTCAGGGATTTGACTGAATAATAATAAAAAAAATAATATCATTTATATTTTATATTAACTTGTAAAAAGACAGTGGATGAAAACTAGTGAAAATCATGTTATGATACCATCATTCGGCATTGAGAGATTTGGTGAATATTGAGAATCACCATAGTAAGTAATAGAAGAAATGTTTTTAAATAAAATTTGCTGGATTTTGCACTTTTTTTATAAATAAATATAAGAAAAAATTTAACGAACGCCTGAAGTACGTGGTTTGTTTTTATATGTAGGCGTCATTGAGAAAAATAATATTCATTCTGAATGCATTGATATGATAAAATAATTGAAAGGAACGCTCGAAAATTAGATTTGTTACTTTTAATGAGAATAATAAAGAAAAGACGATTTAAATAAATAATTAATGCGATGCGAAGCATAGCATTTATGTAATCCGTCGCGAATTTTCTTTTGCTTTTGCTTTCTCGACGTACGCATCTTTTTCATCATTTTGTCACCCGATGATCTCGAGTACGGAAAATCATAGAAAAATTATTAAAACGAGCGATGAAATTATCGAGATGGAAACTTTTTACATCTTTTTTCGAATCTTCAATCTGAAGTTCCGTTCACTCAGAAATATGGTTCCAAAATGACGAAAATGAAAGAATTTATCGCGAGATATCTAAAATGACGTCATCAACATATGTTATTCACTATACCCTATTCATTTACAGGTGATGTCAGATAATGAATCATAGCGTTAATTAACCGATCTGGCCTCGGATTGCACTTCTTAAAAATATAGGAATCCTTAGAGAATCAAGCTTGTCAAAAATATAGGATTTTCGATAAAAAATGATAAAAAGAGAGGACGTTTTATACACCGTTTCTGTTCAATTGTTTTGGCGTTTTTTAACTGCTCTGCTTGAAAATCGTTTTAATGAAGCTGTTATAAACAGTTCAACCGTAGCAAAGATCCTTCTGTGATTTTTCCTACTGAAATAAGTCGCTAATTCGAGGATCATTATAAAAGGTTTTCACAAATTGATAAATAACAATAAAGTAGATCATAAACTTTGAAAAAACAAATACATAAAAAAGACAAATACTATTCTTCATGATAAAAAGGGGCGTTTCAGGTTACGGACATGAGTTCCCAAAAATTCTCAACCTAATTTTATTGTTCTGGTAATCAGCATTCATCGCTTATTATTTTCCACAAGTTTATTTTGTATTTTATCATAACTCAATTCTTTCTGGTAATAAATAAATGAAAATACATGTACATAGGATAGAAAATATTTTCTTTTGGTAACAATATCCTCAAAATACAGAGAGAAGCTTTTCATCTAGGGGTATATATATACAGCTTTTATATCTAACTAAAACTCCGAAAACTCCTAAACTAGTACATGATCACTTTGTGAATGTTTTTTTCTTTTGAACTATTTTGTATTTTATGCTTAGTCTTAGTATTAAACAATGTCTCAGTCAGCCCACTAAATAGGCGAAAGGAAAAATACTGTTTAGAACAAATGTCACTATAATACACGGATTTGTCCAAAACGCATGATTATACACATTAAAAGTTTTCTTTCGTCGAAAGACAATAGCAAAATTAAGAGAGTTTCGGAAATTTTCTACTTTTTTCGATACAATATAGGAAAAAATAGGAAAAAATAGGACAAAAATAGGACGTGTTTGAAAATATAGGAATTATAGGAAATATAGGTCGAATCGCAGCCCAATATTAAGAAGTAACTATTGTACAATTAAATTAAGAAATCAATAAACAATTATACCCGAGTGTGATGCTCGACATGATGGTAGAAAAATACAATAAGAAATGAAGAGGAAAAAAGTTATGAAGAATAAGAGAAAAAATCTATATGTTGAAGAAAACGCAACCCACACCCACAACTAGTAAATTTCGTTTTTTTTGAGATAAAAGTTTCTACTAAGTTTATTTATTAATTTAACAACTATATAGGTACGTCAACAACTTCGACAACATCAACTAGTAAGTCATACATTGTATCTTAGTATTAATTGTTTTCCTTTTACTCGTAGCATCAACATCATCTACGTGTAAGTGTTTTTTTCTCTTCTTCGTTTTTATATTTTCAAATAAAATCCACGTCAACTACATCCAGTATCCTATGTGTACAACGAAATTCGTTTTGGTAATCATTCTAGCTACCACTAGTACAACTGCATCAATTGAGTTATATCTTCTTTGTTCATCTTCTTTAAATTGATTAATCGAAATTATTAGCAACGACTCCAACACCTACGTGTGTTCCAACTTCTGTTGGCTCTGTAAGTACTCTTTTTACGACATCATCTGGTAGCATCACTTCGTACACGTGTTTCGCATATGAATGGGCGTCGCCTACTGCAGGTTCAGATACTCTTGCCTTTAATTTTCGTAATGATCCAGGCCTCTGGTATCTTGATGATGTCTTAGTATACGCTGGAGCTGTTCAAATGCTGAGCAATATACAGGTTTCGAAACTGGTTCCCTTTCGCCTTGGACAAGAACAACACCGTATCGATCATGTACAATTTTTTCCAGGTCAAGTAGCTAGTAATTCGCCTCACAGTGGAATTCATGGTGTTATTCATGGAAGTAATGGATGTACCGATGAAATTAGCCAACAATTAATAGCTACAGCTGGAAAAGTCTATATAGAGAGTTTTTGGTTAAAATCAGATTCGACAGGCTCTGTCATATCGTGGACAGTTACTCTTTCGTAATTTACTTCAACAAAAGACTTGAATCATTTATAACCATCTCCGAAAATAGACCATAAGAAAACTAAAATTTTTGTTTTATGATTTTTTTTATCTTGTGCGTTCTATTGAAATAATAAATATTGTCTATTACAATAATAGTCCGATCGTTCAATCCCATAATTCACAATGACAAACAATTAAATTGCCACTCACTATCCCAATATTTAAATAATGATAAGATCAAAGTAAATTGCCATATATTGTATCAGCATTAGAAATAAACTAAACGGTCAATCTTTGCCATTAAAGACGAGCTTTTGAATGCAAAGCAAGCAATTCGACCTACAAATTGGCATGAACAGTTTTATTTTATGAACTTTTCTCTTATTGTTGATAAGAAACAACACAAAAATATATATTTTTCATTTTTTGATTATTCTTGAATCACATAATGAATAAAAGAAAAGTCTTAAATTACCAAGAATCAAAATTCAATTACTTTGTGTCTGATTGTGATTGAGAGAGAAAATACCAAGTCGGTTAAGTACTTTCTGTTTCTCATCGGTAAAATTCATATAGAAATATGATCGAATCAGAATGAAAAAGAAACATTTCTTGAGTTTTTATTTTAGTTTCTAATTTATGCCATATTATTGAAAAACAAGTCTGTTGTGAAGAATGAGATTGGTATTTGGCTCTGATTATTTGAGCAAATAATTAAACTAAAAGACAGATGCAACTAATACAATAGGTAAAGCAACACGAATTATCATTGACATAAAAAATAAAAAAATTCAAGCAATAAACTTCTTTTTCATATGATTGATTGCATATGTCATTAAGACATCGATACATATACGATATGCATTTCTCGATTTTCATCTCGTATAACAGAAATGGCAAATTTCTTCACAACAAGTAAGACTTTGTACTTTGAGCACTGTTAGAGTTAAAAATGATTTTTAAAATTTCAACTAGTTATAACCTCAAGTTATAATTAAGTTCGAGTTATAACATAAGTTGAAAGCATTTAAACAAAGGAAAAAACAAACGAAATTTTTTTCAGTTATAACTAGTTATAACTGTTTGTAACTCCCACAGTGACTTTGAGGGAGGAGTGTTTTAAACAAATTGAAGAAAAAAATGATTTTTTTTCTAAACTCTTCTTCTTTTATTTCGTTGAAAAGAAGAAAGATATTTTTGACTGTGAATGAGAGTAAAGATCATGGTAATATTGCGAGTCCAGTGGAAGTAATAGAAGTAGTAAGTTTCAGTTTCTTCTATTCAAGGTTTTTTCCAACTATTTGAATGCTGATTTCACATGTTTTTTTAACATCTAAAATGAATACTAAATAGTAAATAGCTAGAGTATCAACAATAATTATAAGCATGTCGATTTCGAGTGACTGTTGTTTTTAGTATGAAAAATTCTATTTGATTAAATGCTTTCTTTGTGCAGAAACTATGATAAGTTGCTTTCGTTTAATGGAGATCTTTCAAAACAGAGTTTCATAATATCTAAAATTTAATATTTGATAACAAAAAAAATAGGAATTTATTCTTATTTGAATATTCTATAGTCTAACTTGACAGACGTCCTTGGTCTTTGTTTGATAGCAATAAGTAAGCTAGATATATTTCTACTTGAAATCATTAAAATCTATATTAAGACATAATCATGCGGAACGATATCAACACACCCTAAATTTTGAATGAAATTATAATCGTTCGTCCTAATATGCCGACAACGTTTCGATATTTAGTGAGACTATTGAAATTTTAAGGACTGGAAGTTTTGAAATAGATTCTTTTCCTCTTTGAATACGATCCACAGTTCATCTCTCATTTGGCGAAATATTCTCTTGCGAATATAAATCAAATTGTTCAATAAATGATTAACAAGCTTCTTGCATGAACATTAGGTTCCGATCAAAATTCAATGGGTCGATTACAGGTATTTCAGTATATATTGGACACAATGTGATCACATATGTTTAACAATTGTATTTCATTGAGTCAAATATTGTAGCTTTTTTGTTTCATGATAACCGATATATATATATATAGTACATGAATTGTTATTATTCTAGATGTATATTTCCACGATCTTCCACAAATTGCGATGTGTTACCGAAAGATTAATAACCATGTGAAAAAATATGAATAAATCAGAAATGAAGAGAATTTCTGAGAGAGTAGGTGTGTATCAATGTAACATTCACACCCACATCCACACCCACCGTCAAATATTTCAACACTCATAGAAGTTTTAAATAATCGCGAAGAAGCCATTTACGGAAAGAATAGTACCGAATCGTAGAACACCTTTCAACCGTTCGAAATCTATTAAATAAAACGAATAGTTAGTATGTGCCCATAATTCGACTCAGGCCCAACATTGAGATGATCGTAAACCAGTTGAATACGGGCAGTTAATCACAAGACTACGGTCGTAAATGGACCGTATTTCACCCATTTGGTATCGACTGTATTATGGCCGCTCTTTTACGTGTCGTGTATGGCTAACAACAGCCTGAAAATCTAGTATCCGACCGTTTACAACGACCGAGCTTGTTTGACCTGGGGGTGACTCATCTAATCAATATCAAATATTGCGCCACTTTGTGATAGCGCCCTCTATTTGTTTTTTTCTATTTTTTGCAAGCCAATTTTCAAGAACTGAATTCGATAAATGAAAATTTGCTTCATTTTTGTGGTATATAAGTTGTATCTAACCGCGCCCAAAAACCTGAAAACCAATCATCATTCAGCGTTTGCTATTGCTTCACTTTATTTCCTTATTTCCTTAGGCCCCAAACAGACCAAAAAGATAAAACAGAATTAACCACTAAATCGTCTCGAAAAGATGACTTAAGTGTGAATTAACCAATCACGTTGCTTAATTCTGTGTTCTTTTTTTGGTCTGCTTGGGGTCTTACAGACTAGTGGATAAGGGTCATACTAAATGTGAAATATTTCTTCAATGATTTTTATCGAATTGAGTTCATTTAATTATAAATGAATTAATTGTTATTTCAGTCAAAACTCTACTGGTGCTTCTTTTTTTCCTTTTGCCATCATTAACAACCTCATTCAAGCGAACTATGCTGATACCTAAATGTTCCAATATGAAAATAGACAATCGAGGAAAGAGTTTTCTTTTCAAACTATGACATTTAGATGTATTCGAATTGATAGATTACAAAAGAAAAACATTTCGTATTCAATAATCGACGTCGGATAAATGTTTTTTTAATTGATATTTCATAAAATTGTATTTTACATGTAATATTGCTTTTGAAGATAAAAGCATGTTTTTAAATAAAAGCTTGCATCCATTATACCGATATCAATATTTACTGATTCGCTATCGGAAAACAAACAAAAACTATTCGATTACATCATCCTCATCGAATAATTTAAATTCAACCATGAAGTCACTTGTTGATTCAAAACAATATGAAAAAGCTTTGAAACTTTTCAATGAACAATCTCAAATTTCAACAGATTTTACAATAAACATGGCAATAAAGGCTTGTACAAAGCTGCATGATTATCAACAAGGAGTCAACATTAAAGAAAAGCTTTCATCAAAAACACTCAACAATCCGTATATTCAAACATCATTAATACATTTTTATAGTGAGTCACTGTTTTACCAATAGAAGGCATCATTACATTAAAATATTAACGAATGGATGTTCTATATATACATTTTCACAGAATATTTTTGAGTAAATGATACACAGAACTCCAGTTTTTTTTAAATTTGTTGCTCAAATACGAGTTCTATAATTATTTCTCATGAAGTCTTTTTTTATTCATTTTTGTAAACAAACATTTTAGAAAATATACCAAACAATCCACCAATTATTACGAGAGAGTTAGAAAAAGTAGTCGTTTTCACTTTGAATTATTCGTATGTCATTTGATCATTTAAATCGACGTTTGAAAAAGCACGAAGAGATTTTTCTTTATGATTTTATTTGATATATTTTCAGTGTTTTTTTTTATATTCTTATCTAAAATCTATAGAAATAGAAGAATTCAACAATCGAACATTAGAAATTAAGAAAATCAAATAATCTCGATCTTCAAATAAGTAAAAGTGTTGAGATAGAGTCTGAAAAAGATGAGACGTCAAATTTCGTCTTTTAGTCAATGAGAAAAATGTTTAATGATAGTGATGATCGAAAATCATCATTCGAATTAACCATAAAAATTGGATTCTTTTTTATTTGTTTTCGATTTTAATACGTAATATCAACAAATCATCGTGTTTTCCTTAATTAACACACAATAACCAATATAAAACATTCTATTATATTCAACTAGTGTGTTTATTAATTACTTGATTCTATTTTTCTTATTAGTGCAATGTCATAAAGTTGATCATGGCTATCATCTATTCTCTAAAATTGTTAACAAATCAAATCCAATGTATGCATCAATGTTTAAAGGTTACCAAGTTATTTTCTAATGTACTCACTACGAAAGATTTGTTAATTAATAGGTCTAATTACTAATAATATGTCTGAAAAAGTGTTGGACCTATTTGATGAGATGATAATTGAACCTGATAGTGTAACTCTCACAGTTTTATTTAATGCATGTGCTCAAATTGCCAACAATCGAGCGATGAAGATTGGGAAAAATCTTCTTCATAAAATGCCTACTAATTATCAAAACAACAATGTTCTACTAAATTCAGCAATAGACATGTTAATGAAATTTCGTGATATTGAGAATGCTGAACATGTTTTTCAATCAATGAAGAAGAAAGATATTATTAGTTATAATGTGATGATAAAAGGTAAGATATAGGGTGTCCGGAAAATCATAAACCACGAGAAAAACATTTTGAATATCTGTCGTATTTCGATTGAATGAGCTGATATTTTTATACAAAACAATGGATTTATTCCTTAGGTCAAGAATAATAAACATCAAACTATTTTAATTAATTCTGTTGACTAGTGTCTTTAGCTTTCGTACAGATATTACAGATAGATGTCTTGTTAGTCAATATCCGCTCAAAATTTTATCCATAAAGCCGTAAGACTTTGTTGGCAAAACTACCATATTGATTTTTTTGTAATTTCTGAAAAGTGAGTTTTCTATTGTATTCAAGAGGGAATGCCACCAATTGTTCAATCGCTTTTGCTTTAAAGTTATTTGCATTATATAGTTTCAAAACTCTGAAAACAAATTTGAGCAACTAGCTTATTGTTACGAAAATAATCCATTTGTAAGATATGAGTGCCGTGGTCCCTTCTCAGAAAAATTGATTTTCGAATTTTGACTTGAAACTTTACACAGACACACGTCCCAATTAGAATAATTCTCTGTAAAAGTTTTAGGCCTTTTGATTTGTTTGTTTCATCAAATCTGCTGCTGTATTTGAACGAATGAAAATACACATTTTCATGATAGTTGTTTCTGACAATAGGAACAATAGAAAGATCTGAAACGCTCACAGAAAGTTTTCCTTATTGAGGCGCGCATCTATATAACGTTTTAAGTCAAAATTCGAAAACCAATTTGTTCCAATTTTTCTGAGGAGAACCACGATAATCACTAAAAGCCGTACCTCACAAATCAATTATCTTCGTAACAATAAGCTATAACTACCCAACCTTTTTTTCGAGTATTCATAACTCTTTTGATGATCTTTCTTCATCAGTGGTATCCATGGTAAAAATATCAAGACATTTGATCGAAACAGGACGGAGATTTTCAAATTTTCGTTTGGCTAATGACTTTTTGAACACTATATATATTTTAATATCATTTTAAATATTGTGAAATTTAACTTAGGATATGCTACAAATGAAATGTCAGAAAAAGCATTAAATTTATTCGAACAGATACATTTAAACTTAGATAATGTGACCTATATTATTATTTTTAATCTATGTGCTGAACTTGCAAATGATCGAGCGAAAAACATAGGAAAAAAACTTCTCGTTGAAATGCCTAATAACTATAGAAATGATAATGTTATTCTAAATTCAGCAGTGCACATGCTAACGAAATTTGGTGATATGGAAGGTGCTGAAAATATTTTTCGATCAATCAAGAAAAAAACAATTATTAATTACGGCAGTATGATGAAAGGTAATATATAATGAATATCATTTTAAATATTATGAAATTTAACTTAGGATATGTTGCAAATGAAATGTCTGAAAAAGCATTAGATCTATTCGAACAAATACATATAAATTTAGATCATGTAACTTATACTATTGTTTTTAATGCATGTGCTCAACTTGCTAATGATCGAGCAAAGAAAATTGGAAAAAAACTTCTTGATGAAATGCCGAATAATTATCGAGACGAAAATATTGTATTGGCATCGGCAATACATATGTTAATGAAATTCGGTAATGTTGAAAATGCTGAAAATATTTTTCAATCGATTAAGAAAAAAGATATTATCACTTACAATTCTATGATAAAAGGTAATATAATTATAATGAATATCATTTTAAATATTATGAAATTTAACTTAGGATATGTTGCAAATGAAATGTCTGAAAAAGCATTAGATCTATTCGAACAAATACATATAAATTTTGATCATGTAACTTATACTATTGTTTTTAATGCATGTGCTCAACTTGTCAATGAACAAGCAAAACAAATTGGAAAAAAGCTTCTTGACGAAATGCCGAATAATTACCGAGACGAAAATATTGTATTGGCATCGGCAATACATATGTTAATGAAATTCGGTGATGTTAAAGGTGCTGAAGATATTTTTCAATCAATTAAAAAGAAACATATTGTTGCTTATGGTGCTCTTTTAAATGGCTATAATTCAAATGATGATCCATCAAAATGTTTTAAGATTCTGACAGAAATGCAAGATCTTGATATTATTCCCAATGAGATTATATGGAATATATTAATCGGTGCATGTTCACAAATCGGTATGCTTTTGAAAGGTCAATATATTGTTGATCAAATTCCTTTGCATATGCAAACTAAAAAACAAATACAAAACTCTTTAATTGATATGTGGGTAAATAATAATAATCAAAAAATATTGAGCATTTTTGATTTTGTTCATTCATTTTTTGTTTTGTTCTTTTGTAGGGTAAATGTGGTTCAGTTAAAAATGCCGAAGATGTATATAAATCAGTTTCTGATCGTGATGCAATCACTTACAATGCAATGAGTAAGGAAATTTAATTTTATTGGAATATTCTTTTGATTATGGGAGTTTATTTTTTTCAAGTTAATACATTTGGCCGTAATGGAATGGGTTTCGAAGCTATTAAACTATACAGAGAGATGCCGAATAATCTACGTGATGAAATTTCACATATTTGCATTTTAAACGCATGTTCTCATTCGGGTCTTCTTGATCAGGCTCAGATAATCTTCAACGAAATTCCAATCAAAACAGAAAGAATCATCACTATCATGGTCTATTGTTTTCTATAATTAATTACATTTCATATTACTAATTAGTTTAGTATTTTAGATTGATTGTTTAAGTCGTTTGTTTGTATTTGATGAAGCACAAAAGTTAATAGATGATTATGAAAAAACGAACGCGCCATATTTTGTTATGTATAGTAAGTATTTTTCATACTATTAGTAAGATGAAAAAGAATGTAATGTTCAATGAAGACATGAATTGTTTCATTGGTTCTGAGCGATTTTCGTTTAAGAAACATAGAGATTTTTAAGTCTTTAGTCATACATGTTTCCTAAAAATATTTTTGAGATACAAAAATACTGTAATTACAGCCAGTCCAAAAAGTATCCGCGCATCCCTATGTTTTTTTCGTATTTCTTAGTTTGTAAAGCAGAAATCAAACTTTTATATTTTTGCCAAGTAGATAGTTCTTACTTCGAACGAGGTTCTCTATAAAAACAAATCATCAATTTTGACAATCATTTTAAATTTGGGAATGTCTCCTGAAAATGTTCGGTTTTTGAATATGCTAGGCGATCGCTTTGGTAACATCAGAATTGGGAAAGCGAAAATTAATCGAGAATTTTATGGAAAAAAAATAAAATGTTCAACTGAATAAATGAACTAAAGCATTAATAAAAGAAAAAGGAAGACATCATTGCAGAAATACAGATCACTACAACGAAGCGTATGTTGAGAGTGTGTGGATGCGAGTGGCGTCGGTTTCAAGAAGATTCACCCTGATAGCTATGCTCACTGTTTAATTTATCGGTTGTCCGTCTTGGGATTATTTTTTTTTCTGGGAAAATATGACGTGTAGTTTAATCATCATATGGAACTAGGCGAAAAAGTAAGAAGTAATAGAGGCAGCTTATATCCAAATTTGTTTTTCATTGCATGGTGCTGACTATTGTGTTTTTTTTTCTTTTTTACTATGAATTAGTCGACTATTTTTCGTATCGACCAATTCTCGTCGATCCGTTTCCAGCATTGATAGTTATAGACCTCGTATATATTTTTCATGCCGAATATGTTCAGTTTTGAAAGCTCTTTTCGAATCTATTTTCAGATTTCCACTAACACAAGACAACTCTGTAATTGAGTTGGAATTGTCAAGAGTTGGTTGAAAAAAACTTGAAAATTTGAATTTTTTGCCAATTCCGAAACCTTTCTTTAATACTCCCATAAATTCCTACCACAGGTACGGATAGCACGAAACAAATTGGTCTTGACTGATATAAAGCATCCATAGGTAATTGTATTCTTCATCAGGGGAAATATCAACTTTCATACTATACTTCAGGAATTGGTGCACTCTATGTCATAGTGTTCCACAGATTCAGATTTTTCTATCGTTATCTATCTTACTGTTACCCGTGCCAGACCCGCCGGTTGCAATATTCTCTCTCACGTTCGATACATTTCATGATGATAATGTACTTGAATAGTATCAAAAATTAGTTTCGCAGACTCATCCCTTTATGAGCAATCTAGATATATAAGTTTTATAATCTACAAGAGATGAAAAATATTTATTTTAAAATTCAAAAAAATTTGCACGCATTTTAGTATGAAAGATGAAGTTTTAGTGAAAATGAACCATTGAAGACGATTAAAAAAATCTAATTATGTATAAAAGAAATGAACAAAAATTTGCTTCAATTTAGTATGACTTTCATTTTCTATGAATGCATTGCTCATTTTTCTTATTTCAGTGGCTTTATTATCGGGTGCACGTAATAATCGCAATATGACATTATCTGAAAAGATATATAATTGAATGAAAACTTTATTTCCTGATCAGAAACAAGGTCTTCTATCTGGTTCAATTCTTCTCTCAAATGTTTACTCGTCTTTGGGTAAATACGAGCAAGCAAAAAATCTTCGATATCATGAAAAAAAAGAATTAGGAGTGAAAGTAAAAATTGGTTTATCATGGACAGAAGTGTATGGCGAGCTAGTGGTAAAGTATTTCTGTTAAACGCTAAAATGAGAAGATAATTTGTCGACCTTTTAGAGGTTTAAAGCTCATGATCATTCTCATCCGCGATCATCAGAAATCTATGCTGAATTTGATCGTTTATCATCTATCTTGATTAAATATAATTATAAATTTGATTCCACTTGGATAACTCGTCAAATGAATGAAGAAGAAACAATAGAATCTGTTTTATGTGGTCATAGTGAAAAATTAGCCATTGGTTTTAATTTAATCCAAAAGCCTATTCCAGAATTTATTCAAATTACTAAAAATCTTCGTGTTTGTGGTGATTGTCGTAAGTTAATATTGTTTTTTGTTTGTTATAATTTCAATTGTTCTTAATAATTATTTTATTTCAGATGAATTTACAAAACTTATAGCGAAATTTTATCAACGTAATATTATTGTTCGTGATGCAAATCGTATCCATCATTTTTATCCAAATGGGCAATGTTCTTGTCAAGATCATTTCTAGTAGTTGAGCAATAAAACTGAGAATTTCGTCGCTGAAAATAATCATGATTATTATTTACACTAAATAAAATTCTCTTGACCAATTTGTTGAATTTTTTTTTCTACCTTGACAATAGAGATCAGCGGAGTCGCACTATTTGATTCCTAAACCCGACCCGATTCCGAAAAAAATATTTTTTTCGATTCCGACTCCGGAAAACCCCTACTTTCTTTTGCAGCTTAGTGACATCTAATTCATATCAAATGTTTGATATTCTGAAAGGATATATAAGTAAATGAATCAATAAGGAACGAACAGTGCATATTGTCATAGAATTCATTTCTTTACGTTTGTTTTCGAAAGTAAAAACTATTATGAATAAAAAGCATTTAACTACCCAGTCAGACAAAAGTCTTCGAAAAACGCGTTATAACACGTTAAAACGCTGTTTTAATGAAATCTTAACGTGTTTTAACATGATACACGCATAAATATTTAACTCTTTCATGTTGAAACGCTTTGAGTAGCTGCCAAATTCGAGTTCGAATATAAACGAAATTTTCCAAAATTTTCATCAGCTCCGATCCATAGAAAGAAAAAGATTAACTTTCTGCTATACTTTCCTGTTAGAATAGGAAAATAGGAAAACCTTTTTTTCATGAGGGTGTGGGCGTGTGTCTTGTTATATACCCTCATGCCCAGGCCCACCCATACCCCAAAATGTGAAATTATATAAAAACTCCTATTTTATTCAGCTTATTGGCGTCGAGATTACTTTCTATAAGATTACTATGATGTGGCAGGGGCGTGAATATAATGGAGCCCTACACCCCCTAGTTTTGAACATTTTATCTTGTATTTGTCAACGAAAGCGAAAAAATTGCTCTTTTAGGGACGCTTTAGCGTCGGATATACACGAACAAAGATGTGGTACCGCTGTGCAGAGGTGCAGAATCTACCCGTGTGCGCGTACGGCCGTGTGGGGAAAATTTTGCAAGCCTAAGCATCGGGGGAAATTTTTGGAAAAATATTTTCTCTTCTCAGCGTGCAGGGGCAAGTATTTTTCCAAACGAATCTTGTTTTATTTATATGTGCATGTGCATCGATTATATCATGCATCTTTCTTCTTTTATTTTATGTAAATTTTGAAAGAATCATCCATTTCTTACTCACGGTTTCAGTATATTCTTCTTTGTTTGACGCTGATGATGCGTCGCACTACTGTTTATCTTNAAGAACAAGTCATAGACTATTGACAATTTTTTTAAGGATATACCTACATCTTAAACGAGAATTCCTTGCTTTATTATTCAATTTTATAGTGGGGGAAATTTCCCGAAAAGAAAATTTCCGTGTGGGGAAATTTTGTATTTTTTCGGCAGATTCTGCACCCCTGCCGCTGTGAGGCGGTAACTCGACGTTTTTTCAACTCACGAGGAACATTCTGGTTGCATAGAAAATCTAAATTGAGTTTCTTACTGCAGAGCCTTTGAAAAAAATGTATACATCTAAAGATATATTTTTCTTCATAAGTGTTTTCAGAAAAGGAATCATATGACAAAAATAGCACATCATCAACATAATAATAATCAGCATGTGATGCACAAAACAAGAGAAAGTATTGTTTAGAGAGAACCCAACGACGATGTTGTATGTTGTTGACTTAATGTTGAATAGCCCAATAATACCTCAGCCAACTTATGTTCCATTTGCTTATTTTCTTCAGAAATAAGCTGAAGAGTTTGTTTTTCATTAAGGGCATTCATTGATAACTTGACCATAATTTGATTGATCTTGGCATTAGATACACCAATCAATTCAAGAGCACGATCAATCTTAAATAAAAAAGAGATTATTAAATTACACAATATGATCGAGAAACAAGCTGAAAATTACATATATATTTTGACTCTTATTTCACAAACAATGAAATCTACTCATCATTGATAATATTCAACGAGTAACAAATATTCATCTTTATTTAAGATAAAGAATTTTATTTTACGCAACTTATATTTATTTTTAAAAGATGCATATTTATCCGCCTGAGTTCTTTATTTCAAATGCATACTAAATATGAACCATGAAGAACTAAGATTTAATTAATTCCATTACTACGGTAGCAACTTCTTAATGAATCAAACTATCTCTCAAGCTCCATTATAGAAAATATTCATAACTTGTGATGAAGTTTGCCTACATCTATACGATTATATCGATATATAACAGGGTGAATATCTGTAGGTTGAAAACTTTTTGAAATTTTTGCCAAAGAGTTGATACTATTCTATAGAAATAATTTCATTAAACATATTTTGCCGAAATCTACTGAAAAAATCAATCTACAATAAGGTATTTATAAAGTATCTAGTTACAGTATAAACTTTAACTAACTATTAAAAACAAGAGAAAAAAATTCATGAAATTCAATAAAAATTTTGAAAAAAAGATTCAAATAAGAAATTCAATATATTTAAATCAGTATAGAATAAATAAGAACATCGATTTTGCTAAATTACGATCAATATGTTTTATTTAGAACAAATATTTCCAACTCCAAATATAAAGAACAAAACTTATTCCATTCAATTCTTAGTTAGCTTTCAAAAGTTTATGTTTTTCTACTGATCTGGTTCATTATCTTATAGCTCCGATTGACATAAAAAATTTCAAAATATGTTCTTATAATATGCAAAGAATTGTTGAATCATATCTGTTTATTTTATGTAGTAAAGGAGAATTTTATATTTTCTAGTTTTCGCTGCTGAATTTTCTTTATGTTGGTGCCATATAAAATCGAAGTCATTTAGAAGCGGTAAAATATCTATATAGCACAGATCATTTTTCTGGCACAATCTGAACTGTTATAAAAAATCTTTAAATTGAAACTGTTTGTTCAACATAAAACGTATTTTTATATACTATCTACAATATGAGTTTGAGTATTATTATTATTATTATTCTTACTATTATTATTATGGTACCAAGACAGAATAGGTTAGGCGCATGCAAACATAAAAGAATATGAGTGCCACAGTGTTGTCATTATGAATTGGTATCAAATGGGTAAAGAATGACTATCGCAAAGTGAACTGACTATTTGGTTGACTATTTCCACCTCTAACTCTAAGATTGCATAAATGTAATCATTATCATATTCACTGAACTCAATGAAAGAAACCCTTTTCATTAATTTTGTTTAAACCTAGTTATTCTTAAAAGAATTCTGCAATTCGATCAGGTATTTAGATCAATCGCACACTTCAATTTTCGAGAATTTGTTTCTATACACGAGAGAATATCAAGTCACAATAGAGTATGAAGTTGTCTCCCAAATAAATTTGTAACAACTGTCCCTATTTTAATGTAAGTGGATGTCATTTCTATTTAACTACAACATTTTCTAAAATCTCTACATCGTAATTGAATGATTTCTTAAAAACAAAGAAGAGGATTAGTTTTTAAAAGCTATATATTCAATCTAAGAATTTTTGAACGATAAAAAAGAAGTTTAAAATAGACCTTTTCTTCTTGAATAGCCATGTTCTTATATAAATTGACTTATTATGTAATGATTTTTTTTCAAATAATAGTTTTGTGTGGTATGCCTTTCATGAACAAGGAAAATAATCGAGTGAGCAAAAGATCGTAAGGGAAGGCATGTGGAACACTACGATTTTTTAGAACGAGAAAGAAATATTCTATTTGTTTTCTGCCAATGAATGAGTGAGTATTGATGAAAGAAGAAAAGGTCATCCTATTATATCTAGAGGTCATCCAAAACATAGACAAAAAAAATGTCTAGAAAGTTAATATTTCATTGTTCTATACAACTATGAAAAACAATATGTTTTCGTAGGTTATGTTGTTTTGAAGCCTTGGAAATCATTTCATCTCTACTAATCTCTCATGGTGTGTTTAAGTTTCTTCAAATTTTCGCGATTAATTTTAACTCTTTCGAAGTCTCTGAAGTAGTATCAGTTCACTTCTAAATTTTCTTGAATTCTTTATTATATCTTTTTGTTTGCTTTTTTTCTCCTACACGACAATAAATTTACAATTATCGAAGATTCGAGAGAATATCATAAAACAGTCATTTTCTTTTTTTTTAAGGACAAATAAAAATATCTGAACAAGCAGCTTTGTTAGCCAGCCAATACTAGTTTAGCTCCGTGTTATTAAATCTATATGTGATAACTCATAAAAACAATTCGTTCCCAAAAATTAAATTTATTATATATATATATGCGTGTTTGCTTATTTATGTATTTATTTTTAAAAAAATCTATTAATTAGAAATTTTATTTTTCTTATTATTCCCTCCAAAATAGTAGAAGAATCAATCGGTCTATAAAGTTATCTACGACAGAAATATTCTACTATTCTGTCTTTCAAATTTTCATGAGCGACAGTTTTCTAGGAACAAAGATTATATCATTATGAGACAAAACATGCACCTCATGATAGAGAATACTTGTTAAATTCTGAATAGAAATAATTAAACAATTAATTTAATGTGAGAGTCTTCATTCATCTGAAATATATTAGTTAGCTACGATGAATAATATAACATATTATTCTTGCTCCTTGGCATTTCACTTATCGGATTAATGATGTCATCAACTCGTATTAAAATTTTAATCCAAACACAAAATCATACTTAAATATTTTCTGTTGGCAGAATTTCATTATATTCTATTCGCTATATTGATGATTTAGTTCGAGAAACTTATGAACAAAAGTCAAATCAAAAATAGATCTAGTTTGCCATCTTTGGCAAAGCACATAATTAAACGTGACCATTTTTGAATAGATACCGACTAATTAAAACATTATTGAGAAACTGTCAAAGTGTATTGTATTAAACGGCTCGTAGTAGAAGACTAATTCTTTTTTTCGATTAGGTAGAGTAATGGTTTATAGTTTACAATGACATCTTTCGCAGACTTGTATTTATAAATTAGAAGTCAAATCTATCCAATTTGTTTAAAATGCCTAATAGCAATGCTGGAAATTTCTACAAATATTTTTGTGTATTCTTTTCGAAATTCGAATATATTGTCCTCTTGTCTTATATGTAAAAGTTTTGGTGAGTTCTATACATCGCATAGAAAACAATATATCCTCCTGATACAGATACAAATCATTCTCATTCATTACCTCGTTTGGTTTTTGTCATTTATCATTGGCAGATAATACTATAATTTTTGCCTTATGAAAACTCTTATGTCAATCGTTCACGAATATTATTATAATCGGCGACTTTTCTCATAAAAAAATTAAGCAAGATCAACTGCAATAAATCAAGTTTTGCCGAGCTAGAAGACTGCATACAGAAACCTTGCTAAACAGTTTCTTCAAATTAAATTAAATACTTGGAGTTGTAAAGCTTTTTGTTGAAGCAGTTTCGCAATGCATATACCAACATAATTGTTAGTAATTGAATCTCCGTAGGGAAAACTACGTTTGAGCTGATTTTTTTCTAAGCGAACTTTAAGCAACCATAACCTAGCAGTCTTTATAGTTCGCAAGTATATATGCCTTTGTTGAAATGCATACTTTTCTCGCTATAAAAATAGTTTTACAAAAATTTTTTTTTTTAATTTTTAGAAGTCAAATCGTTTTCTCTACTGCTCTGTAAACACAAGCCTTGGAAACGTACCCTAGCGATCTAAAACCATATACTATCTATTCAAAAAAATAAGATTAGTTTTCTATCACTTTTTGTCTGAACACAATAGAGTCTGATTTTTTTCCAGAAAATTTTCCTTCATTTGCTAGTATCAGTATGAGATGTACGCGAGAGAACTCTTACAACTGTAATTATGTAATCTCCTTAAAAATTTTCAAGCGATTCAGTGATTTAAAAAACTATTTATTCTAATATTGTATAAGCTCTATCGAAATATTCTAAATATATCTATGGATGATAGTACAATAGTTGATATAAATTTTTATTCTCTTCACTAGCTAAGTCACATGCAAAAACGAAAATCAATACGAACTTTATCTTCTCGTGGTATGAAGATTGCTTTCGTTGAGCATCTTTCGTATAGAGATGCAAATAAACCATGGTGCAACTCTTCTACATGACTCCACAATTCGTTCTTTTGGCTACGGGTTAAATCATCTTCATCGGCGAGAAGTGCTATATTAAAGCCACAATTATTGTCAGGGCATTTTATACTGCCATTAGGAGCTAAATTAATGAGCGAAAGCGAATGAAACAATACTGAATCAGATATTAATCTATATGAACTTACTTGAATCAAAACGAAAGATGTTGAAAATTTCAACATTAAAGTTTGGTTGATTCATCTTTATTTTATTTTTTTAAACTTATATTTAAATTAAAAATACTTATACAAACAAAGAAACAATAATCGGTAATGATGTAAAACAATGATTGTCTTTCACTAAGCGAATGAATATAGAAAATTGGAAATTTTATTTATTCTATAACTACTTTCTTTCTACTTTCGTCGGATAGTTAATTTAACATTATGAAAACAAAGCGGACGAGGTGAAAGGTCATAATTATATTTTATCATGTTTTCTTTCTTTTTCCTTTAGTTCATGGTCAAGGGCAATCTAGATACAATTTTCTTCGTAGACATTGTGATCCTGGCCAATTTCGTCTTTTTCTTCTTTATCGATATTTTCCATCGCTGATTGTATATTATAAACTTTGCTAGTTATTTTAATTCTTGATTTGCTTTTAAGATTGTAAAAGATATTTTTCTCTGCAGACAATGACATATTGAAAAATCTTTTCTCGTAGATTAAACAATATTCTTTCTTAAACAGTTTATTCAGCTGAGATATCTTTCCGTATAGCTCATAGTCGTGCGTTTGGTATCCCATCAAGTCAAGATGATTAACATATCTCATATCGAACGTCTAAATTAATATATAAATCATAATAACTGTAGTTAAATTATTCGAAACAGATTTCACAGTTACGAAAACAAAATTCTCTATACTGTTAAATGCATTATAGAAGGATGTAAAAATTGAGTCTTCGAAAGTTGCGAATGAAAATTAGCTCACTTTGTGAAAGATTTATAGTTATAATGTAATTGATAAAAAAATATACTGAAATAACAAAACCTTCATTTAAATTGTACAATTATCAACATACTAATTAGAATGTAAACTAAAGATAGTGCAGAGTCAAGAATTTAGAATGTGTTAATATTTTTAGTAATAAAGAAAACATCTTATCTCAATCCTTAACCTGCATTTCACAGACATATGAACCCCTTAATATATTTGTAGTTTTCATGTTTTTTTTTCTAGAAAATTTATTATCAAAACCAAAATTTCGGTGTTGATTTGCTAATCATAATAAGGATTCGTATAAAAATCAATGAATTGATTTTATATTCATGTTGTCTTAAATCGATTATTTTCTCTACTATTTTATCTGACAGATTAAAACAATAGTTTTCATGTAAATATTTGATTAGCAAAATTCAAAGTAATGCGTGCAGCATTCGATAATTAGTCTGGTATCTCGTCTATGTAATTCATAGTACATATGTACATGTAACTGCAAACGATGTCAGTTACAAATATACTAAAGACAGTAAACTTCTTTTTTCAACAAAACAAAAGATTGCTTAAAAATATATATTTTTCAAATTGATGATAATACTATCCACATTCATCTTCAAGAATATTCATAGTATGATGGTTGCCTGTCGGCAGTTCACCTTCGGGATTTCGTTTACGATTTCTTTCGCTTAATTTCCCAAATAAACGTTCTGCTTTAACAAGAAGTGTGAAAACGTCTCTATGTGCTCCACCTTTTTTAACACCCATATGAGCACAACAAATATTTTCAAAAGGCCAATCATTCAACATATCCCGCATCCAGTCACGAAATAAATATGGAGCATCACTTGTCGGATGAAGACCAACATTCTTGATTGATGGATGAAAAGCCATAGTACCATCTTTATAACCAAATAATTTGAGTAAAAAATTAGACTTTTCTGCATAAATAATTGTATCATCAACGTGAAGAGTAGCAGATGCTCGATGGTAGACAAAGACACTTGAAAAATGATTCGATGATTCAGGTTGTGGATTAATAAATTCGGCACCTAGAAACAAAAAAACAACAAACAGTTTATAATTTTTTTGATAAAATTTGAACAACATTTGAAATAAGTGAATTTAAACTATGAAATTTCAAACTGATTACATTTATAACTTACCTGCCGGGAAACGCAATTCTACATCTGGTTCCCATTTTTTTCTCACATCACAATCATGAAGATTTCCAATCCATGGAATATGTGTTAATCGACGTAAATGTCTTGGTGTTCCATAATAAGCTGCATTTGGATATGATTCGTAGAACGCTGGGAATGATAAAGTATGAAATGGATGTGTACCTATTACAGCTTCAATTTTGTCTCCATTATCTGTTAAATGATTAATTTCTTGTCGAAGTTTATCATTGAGTTCAATTGTATCGATAACAAGAAATTTTCCGCTATGTAATTGAATAAATGACATGTGTGTTTCAATATCAACTAGTTTAGCGAGAATTTTAAAACGACCACGAACATTCCAAAATCCAGAGCCAATTTGATGTAATTCATTTTTATCACTATGCTGAATGGGATTTAGATTTTGACAATATAAGACTGTAGGCATCGTACCAAATATCAAAACGAGAGATCTGAAAAAAACATCATATGTTTGTCTTCTATAAAAAAAAAACGACACGTCTACAAAATAATTGATCTATTGAATTTGTATATGGATGAAGCCATATCTATGCTCGTAATACATGATTAGAATCGCTTCGACACAAAAATAAATGACTTAGCTATTTGACATTGTTTGTTGAAGAACGACAACCATCACACTAATCGATATAAATCTTTGATAAAAACTAACTAAAGAATAAAAAAAATCGCTGGAGGTAGTATTTTTTTTATCTTTATTTCACCAGTTAAAGAAAAAAAGAACGCATCACATATTTTTATCTCGTGTGCCATTATAACGATATGACTATAAAGAATGACGCCTTCCGTAGTTTCATGATATTTTCTTGATTGTCTATCGCCGATACATGATTTTTCTTTTTTCAAATGACCTGTCATTCCATCCTCTACGAAATTCTGTAAAAGCATTCGCTGAAACAAAGGGCTATGTTGAAAAATTCAATAGAAAAGATTACGATAAACGAGAAAAATGTTTTTTTTCAGATAGCTTTTTCTTCTTTTCTCTTTCTCAAGAGATATGATTTATATTTTGAATCAATGAAGTAAAATTATCATATTGTACTCCTTAAAAATGCAAGCTTTTATTTCTAGATTCTGCTGTTTATATCCATATTTTGCTCTGCTCAAAGACAAATGACTACTTGATTGTGTTGAAGTAGTGACATTGTTTTACAATCAAACTATTTGGGTTAAAATGCGCGCATGAAAATCAAAGTTGGATCTCTTAGTTCTTAGTATCATCAATATCGCATTTATTCACCAAACTTTTATCTGAGAACACTTCGATGATCATAGAAGCAAAGATTACATCTAAAAAAAATGTGGAAAAGCTCTTTTCTGGTCAATCAGACAGTTTTTTAATCAATATAAAAGTGAAATTATTTTTCAAAACAAAAGATACTGAAAAATGCACCATTTTCTTTTATCGGAATCTTGCCCGCAGGACTTCAAAATTATCGATCATAGTAAAGCTCCCTAGAAGACTTTGAAGAGAATTGCAATGGAAAAATAAAAGAAACTTAATTTTTCGAAGATATTGAAATATAAGATAAAAAAGGAAACTGCAAACAGAGTTAAATTCGCTTTACAACAAAATTTCATCACATCAAATGATAAAAATTTGAATCTTTTGCTTGAAAAAAAGAGAAAGAAAATTGGAATTATCGATATATTAATTGAAACAATGTTGCTTATATTAGTTATGATGCAGCAATAAAATAAATCCTGCCATATGCATATAGCCTACAAACATATTATTGGCACGGTACTACCGGTCGAAGTCGAAAGGATTATTTTTCATAACTTGCTATGACTTTTTGCTACGTATTTTTATATTTATTAAAGCAATATCTTAATAGATTATATTATCGAAATCATATAATTGATTCATTACTACAGTTTCAGATAAAATATGCAATTTTTATCTCGCATTGATAAACATAGTCATTACTTTTTGAACACATAACTAGATAATTCTTACTTTTAAAGAAAAGTATTTTGAAAATCTTGTCGAACACATGAATATTTTATTTCAATCTATTGCTTAAAACTAGATAGAGATTGTGATTTTTATCAAGAGCTGTTTACGTACAACGACGATATTGTTTGAAAATTATCGATGTAGATTCAGTAGTGACAAAACAATATTTTCAAAACAAAATCGACAACTATTTAGTTATTTTATGCCACTTATTGCATTGATGCATTAAACTAATTACTTGATACATCTAATTAAATAATGTAAATGATTCATTTGAGTTTTGAAAAAGTTTCTAAATAATTAGGGATGATCGCTTTGAAACAAGAATAATCTTGCGAATTTTTCATTATATTATGTTTCACCTGCCCATAATAAATACATTAAATAGTGTGAATCATCACTTATTCAAGAAAAATTCTTATCTAATTCATAATGTTTTGATTTTGATTTAAAAATTAATAAAAACAATTTTTTTAAAGAAAAATATATTTATTTGAAAAACAAAAACCATACGTAACAAAGTTTCATGCTAGGATTTAGGAAGTAGCTATTGTACCTTGATTCAATTGTAACTTCTCTGTCACTCCTTTTTCATCTGATATTGATTCATTATTAGTTGGAGCCACACTTACACGATATATTGTTTCACCTTTTGCTTGGAGCATTTGAGCAATATTTCTATCAAAGATTAAAAATAATTATTGCATTTAAATTTAATGTCGTATATTACTTGAATTTTCCATCTTGTGTTAAATCTTTAAACCAACCTAAATTATCGGCAATTAAATGAAGATTTGAACATGAATCACATCGAATAATGACAACTCCTTGCTCATATGATTGACGAGTAAAAGTTTTGTGTAATTTATGATTACATACTTTACATGTAAATTGAATTCCCATTCGTTTTGATTCTACTGCTTTATTTATATTAGCTAATGGAATCTTAGATTGTGAAATATTATCATTGGATTGCGATGAGAACTTTCGAAGAAGATTTCGATGATGATAAGTAATGGTTTTTGACGAACTGAGTACTACTCGACTAGTTGCAAAAAGACGTGTCAATGTAAGACGAATCATTTATAATAAATCTAATTCAATAAAATCAAAATCAAACACAATATGTGTTAGAATAGTGGAAATAAATAAAAACGATGTAAATTGGTTTAATGCAATGATATGTCTTGATTGGTTTGATAAATCATAGCAAATCAAGTCAATTTCACAAAGGATGTCGCTATTGTTCGTTTATTTTGCAGACATGTAGTATATAATAAACGCACACATCGAATCTGCTTTGTTCTTTTTGTTGCACAGATATCACCACAGAAACGGGCAATCATTAACTGTCTACATAAGCAATAAATTCAGTATGTTTGCCAAATCCTACGCTTCATGTTATAGAACATATACAGATACAGTAGGAAACTCTCGTTTTTTCGCCGAGTATTGAGCTCACTATCACGAAGTAAATCATTAATGAAAGTTCATCTTAAAAAGAAATAGAGCAATGCTTATCTTTTATGTAGAATTACACTAGACAATTGATCTGATTAAAGAGAAATCTTTACTGCGTATCAACCCAGGTCATATCTTCGTAAAGAAGACACGTTTATGTGCGACGTCCTAGTAATTCAGAAGTCGAACAACATTTTTTCTAGTAATATTTTTACATGGATACATCTATCCACCTAAATTCGTCGAAAAACTTCGATATAGATAAATAGCGAAATTCAAGTTGTCGTATGTAACAAGCAGAACCTCTGAAAACATTGATAATGTTTCTCAGGATTAATCAGCACTCGGGGTAGTTTTTTTTTATTACTCTAGTGATTAAGAAAACAGTGAAAAAAACTCATTTAGAACAATATTTTCGTTATTATTCAACCTCTCGAGCTAAAATTTTTACTTGAGCAAGACTGTATTATGTATTAAAAATCAGCATCGTTTTTGGTTTGAAATATTTTAGTATGAAATCACTCACATGAGTGACTCTTTCATACATGAACTATGCACATATGGTATAAACGTGAATATCTGAATCCTGTTGAAATCACATTATGTTGTTACCAAATGATTCTTCATAAAAATCTATTGAGTACGACCTTTATGTCGTCCTTTTCTTTTCATATGCGATCATCTACAAATATAATTAACGCACCCTTTTTTTTGATACACGTGTATTAGCAATTGGATTTTTTGGTTCATTGCCAAATGAAGATTCTTGTTCGAATTTATTATCTGATGTTCGATTCATAGCATTTATAGTTATTCTATCACCGATAAAAATTGCTCTTGTTGATAATAGTTTTTACTTCGTTATAATTTTTGACAGACTATTTTTCAAGAATGGAACGATTACGTACATTATTACATCATATAATTCTTGTTTTTCCATAATTACTTCACTATGTGATGTATCTGTTGTTGTATCGATATGGAGTGAACATTCGATAAATTCTCGAATTTTATCATTCATTTTATTCTTTTTATAAAATTGCCGAACTCAATATTATGAACTAATACTAAGCAACCTATTTTATCCTAATCTAAAAATAGATACTTACCTAGCTGTTCGTATAGTTTTCATGAAAAAAATTAATAACATTTCATTATAGAGGTTCTCCTTCCAATGTGACTATTTTTTCTCATTCTGACACGATTATCTTGGTGATATGCTGCAGCAGTTTTTTGTCTATGTACTTGTACTGTGAAGAAATATATTTCCAATAAGTAGGACTAATAGAATATGATATGAGACACATCACCAAATATTGCAACAATACGTGAAAAATAATTATAATAGATAAAGTAAATAAATATCCTTCATCATGTTCTCATCAACGAATGAAATATCATATAATATTAAAGGGAATGAGCATGTGTGAGAATAAATAGGAACATATCCTTAGTCACATCAAAAATATATTTTTTTATGAGAATGAAATATTAGCTGAATCAAAACATCAAATGAAACGTTTTTCATGTTTCAAAATAATAGCAGAAGTAATATTGAAGAGAAAAAAATTTATTCTACAAATAGTTCATATTGATAATAATTTCTCATTCCAAATTAATCTTACTTTTCCTGTGGACCAAAAATAAAAATTAGAGAAGATTTTTAAAATCTAGCAGAGTAACTTTTTAAGTTTTATTTTAGGTTTTTCTAGTTTGATTGCACAATAAAAGTACTATTTTGTAAAGTTATCAAGTTTTTGAGAGAAAAATACAATATAAGAATAAATATAAAAAAAACGTTTTCACGCGATCACTTCAAGAATTTTACCCATAGCAACAATTCGACCTTCATTGCGTAATTTAAATCGACTAAGTTCAGGAAAAATTCTAAATGGTTCCATACAAATGGTTCGTCCAGTTTCTAATAATTCGAATCTTGCAATTGCTACTTGATTTTTTCTAATAGATATTGGATTTTCTTGTATTCTTTCACCAGTTTTATAATCAATCAATGTTATCAATTGTTTTAATTGAACTGCAGCAATGGCTGTATGAATATGAAGCGAAGCTGAATAACCTGAAGAAATTGTAGATTTGGGTGTAGTTATCATCACCTAATTTCGAAAATATGAATAACTCTAGCAATGATGTATTTATTTATTTTACTTGTGCATCGAAAATTCTTCCAACACTGCATAGTTCTTCTTGAGCATTGCATAGTACAAATCCGGGTGAGATTATCTAAAAATTTTCTTTAGAAATTAAATGAATAAAAAGAAAACTTACTAGTTCTTCGATTGTTTTTAATGTGACTTTAACATTTTGTCCACACAAGCCAGTATCAGTTTTCATATCTTCATAATAAATATTTGCAATTTCAACAACTTTTGTTTCAGGCATAAGGAAACATTGATCACCAACACGACACGATCCTGACTCAATTTTACCCACAACAATAGTGCCCTTGTCCTAAATTGAAAATGTACATATTTTACTATAAAAATCAAATAAAAATAAACTTCGTATTGTTCAGCAATAGGTATACGCAATGGACCATTAATATTATTATTGGATGTTTGTGGATCATCAAGATATGTACGAGTAATTGATCTTCTAAACAAAAGAATTATTTTCCATTTTTCACGGAAAAAAATTTATTTAATACGAAAGATCATTTCATTTTTTTACAACTTACAATACGACTACGTTTTCACGAAGTAAAACATTGACATTAACTAGCATCATTAATATATGTTTTTTCTGATCGTTCAGAATTAATTTTACAGAACTTTCGTCTTCTAAGTATTTGATGAAATCATTTACATTAGTTGGATTTTTAAATTCATCGTTGATATAGGATTCTATGAACCCATGGCACTTGAAATTTCTGTCCGATTTGTAAATAAGTAAATCAACTAATTCAGTCATTTTAATTTTTGATTGTTTAGCAAATTCGATTAATTTTTTATTGATTAATTTCAGTCGTTTATCATTTATCGGCCTTTCCGATTTGATGAATTCTAAAGCAGCTCGATTATAAGATGCTTTAAAATCATAGATTATTTGTGGTGCACTTGTTTCTTCTTGACTTTTTCGATCGAATTCTTCTCTGATTTGATCGATTACAGGTGTTAAAAGATTAGCAAAAACGTTCTGTATTACTTTTTCACTAGCTTTTATACTAAAATTATTAAAAATAAATAATACAACGTTAAATAGTATCAGATTACCTTAGATCACCAAGTTCGATCTGTAAAACGTTTAGTTTTGCTGACAATTCAGTTTGAACTAGATCAATCCTTTTGTCTGAGGATAATAATTGTTTGTTCATGCTGTCATTTTGTGTCCGTAGCTCAATCAATTGGCTGGTTAAATTGATTAATTCTGTTTTGATATCTTGGTTTTCATTCTTAACATCAATCATATCTAATTTTGTTTGATTGATTTCATTCTGAAATGCAAAAGAAAGCAATAAAAAAAAGATTAGTACTGATGAACAGTAATTGGCTAACTAGACTGATATGCAAGTCCTTAAAGTGTTGAAAACTAGGTACTCAGTCGTTTCTCCGGACACAGTACTTACTGATAATCCATGTATGTATGCTTCAACAGCACGTAATAATCGTTGAATTTTTTGTTTTTGTGCATCATTTAGATTAATGGATTCAATTATCTGGTTTATATCAATTAAAGCATTTAGTACTTTGGCCAATTCCTTGTTTTCCTTTATACAACCAGTACTAGCCGATTCACAAAAGTCTTTTATTGATCTTAAGCAGCTTAATGGTATTCCCGGTACGTGTTCAGAAATCGCAATTACTTTGTCAATTAAAATAATTAACTCTCTAAACATTTTTCTTCGTTTGCTGATTTGTTTTTTGTTCATTGCCGGCTGATTACTGTTCACTGTCGGTTGTTTGTTGTTCATTGTCGGTTGTTTGTTACTCATTTGTACGATTTCAACAGGTGTATCATTGTTCTTCTAGAATTAACAAGACAAGGGTTTTGATGCAGATTCCCTCAGAATTACAATTATTAATTTACCTTTTTAATGAAAATTTCTTTAACTACATTGAAATTTTTTATACTTAGACTGAAAATGGTTTTACCTAGATTGAAAATCGATATGAAACAGTTCATCATACAACGAAACGGTGATAAAAATATCATTTGAATGATAACCATCGACTTTGATTCTAAAATGAAATATTCTTGTTGAATTACACTAAGCAATGGTGATAATTGTTTTTATGACAAAAAGATGAATCTGAAAAAGCTATTTAACGAAATAAATCAATATTTGTTCTCGAGATATTGAATTTATGATAACGCCTGAAAAATGGAACATCACAATTTGGACAGCCCTTAGAATGGACGAGTAAATTTTCGGCCTATGTGTATTGTAATCTAAAGGCTTTGTCAACACTTGAAAAGTTATTGGTTAGTGAAGAAACGTGATTGATTGAAAAGATAATTCAAATATAATGCACTTTTCTCTCAGAGTTCTTCAATTCAAACAGCTTGTGAAATAACAAAAATTCACATTGATAGTAGCGCTAAGCTTTCGTGAAAAATAATATATTTTAATTCCAAGACAAATTTATAATTTTTGTCCTTGAATTTTCATAGTTTTCTTGAAATTAGTGGAAATATCGGTAGAGGACATCATTCTTCCAATTCAAAATGGTTAGAGCGAGAGCGAATAGTCTTCCTGCTCGCAAAGTGCCAAATCTTTTCTGTCTTGTAAATCATTTTAGTTTCTTTAAAATATGTTACTTCGTAGTCTTGTTCATGGAGCTGGTAGATTTGCAGTTCGTTCCTCGGTAAATTTTCTAACATCTATCTTTAACAATGATTAATTTTTAATTTTAACTTAGTTTCGTAATTTAACGAGCACTCTTCAAACAAATCCATCGGTAACATATCAACAAACTCTTCTTAACGTACCAGAAACTCGAGTAACATCAACAAAAAATGGTTTGCGTGTAGCATCAGAAGATTATGGTCTACCAACATGTACTGTTGGAATATGGATTGATGCTGGTAGCCGATTTGAAACAGCTGAAAATAATGGTACAGCTCATTTTCTTGAACATATGGCTTTCAAAGTAAGCGAGACAAACATTTTTCTATAAAAATTACAAAAAAAAATTTTTTTTCAGGGTACAAATAAACGAACACAACGTGAACTTGAACTTGAAGTTGAAAATCTTGGTGCACATCTCAATGCTTATACATCAAGAGAACAAACTGTTTATTATGCAAAATGTTTTAGTAAAGATTTACCGCAAAGTAAATTCTTTTAGGTTGTTTTTTTTATTTGAAATTTTCATATTCAATATAAATAAATAGTTGTTGAGCTTCTATCGGATATAGCTCAAAATAGTCAATTTGGTGAAGAAGAAATTGAACGTGAACGTCATACTATTCTACGTGAAATGCAAGAAATTGAAAATAATTTACAAGAAGTCGTTTTCGATCATTTACATGCAACTGCTTATCAAGGAACTCCGTTAGGACGAACTATTCTTGGCCCTAGTGAAAATATTAAGTAAATTTGTTAAAGAGATTTTTTTTACCATTTATTTATTATTTGTAATTTAAGATCAATTAAAAAAGCTGATTTACTTAAATATGTAGGAACACATTATAGAGCATCACGAATAGTTTTAGCTGCTGCTGGTGGAGTTAATCATGATCAATTAGTTCATTTAAGTGAAGAACATTTCGGAAAATTGAAAGCTGGTGCTCAAGGAGACTTCAATGATCTGATGCCATGCCGGTAAGATAATTTAATTAGCGTTTAAGTTTACGAAAATATGGAAAATATTAATTTAAATATTAGTTTCACCGGAAGTGAAATTCGTGTTCGGGATGATGATATGCCATTGGCTCATATTGCAATTGCTGTTGAAAGTACTGGTTGGGCCGATGCTGATACTATTCCACTGATGGTTGCGTCGACTATTGTTGGAAATTGGGATAGGTAAAAGTAATTTTCTACTGTAAAAGTGAACAAAATCGAATATTAAAACTTTTTCTCTTCATTATTATCTATAAAGATTCTGAACTATTTGTTCTAATTACTAGAAAAGATTTGTCTTGTACATTGTTTGTATGCATTCTTTCTGATGTTGAATATTGTTTCTTATGTAAATGAGAAAATGAATAGTTTTAATATGAATTATATGCCTAAAGTATATTTCACTGTTGTAAATTTGAAATAGTTCAATCTGGTGTATTCGCTCTAAATTGATCGTTGAGCAAATAGAAAATTAATTAATTAAGATTAGAAGTTCAAAATTTAAGAATATCAGATGATTAAGACTTTCCCAAGGAATTGCATTAGCTCTAGCCCATTTTAAGAAATTAGTCTGTTGACGTCTCTAAAAATCAAACAAACCTATTGATTAATAGTTGAATGATAAATTTAATAGATCTATGGCTGGTGGTGGTCATGTAGCAACGCGTCTTGGTCAACAAGCAAATAAATATAATTTATGTCATTCATATCAAGCTTTTAATACATGTTATACAGATACCGGTTTATGGGGAACTTATTTAGTTACTGATCGAATGAAAATCGATGATGCCATGTGTGCAATACAAGATGAATGGTATTCGATTTAAAATTAATTTTCAGTTGTTTAATGTATTATTTTATTTTAATGTTTAAGGTGTCGTATTGCAACGGCGTGTACTGATATTGAAGTGACAAGAGCTAAAAATTTACTCAAAACTAATATGTTATTAATGCTTGACGGATCAACACCAATTTGTGAAGATATTGGGCGGTTCGTTTTGTCTTATTTTTTTGTAACATAAAAGTCATATATATTTTTATCGTTTTCCAGTCAATTACTTTCCTATGGTCGACGTATTCCCTTACATGAACTGGACGCTCGTATTGATGTAAATATATATATTTTATTATTTGAACGAATGAAATCAATCAATTCGAAATACCAATTTTAATTTTAATTTTAGGCTGTTGATGCAAAAACAGTTATGGCAGCAATGAAACAATATGTTTACAATCATTGTCCAGCTATCGCTGCTGTTGGTAAGTTAGACTTTTTTTTTATTTTAGTAATGGAAAAATGTTTATATTATATCGCCTTTTTTAAGGTCCCATTGAACAGCTACGTGAATACAATCGAACACGTAGTCGAATGTATACTATAACACATTGATCATAGAATATGATCGATATTTCTTCTCGTTAATTCGTTTTGTTGACCCTATTTATGAAGAACGGTGATGAATCTATTTCATGGTCAATGATAAAAATAAATGTAGAAAATGATCTGGTGCTCTGTTGTTGTTGTTGTGTGTTCATTCGGGGAAAAAAGAATTAGTCTCCTTTTTCAGATTTAATATTGGAACAACGACTAACATCGATATGCTATTTCGAACAATGTTTTAAAAGAAAAAATGATCTTTGTTGAAAGTTTACAGATAAAAAAAGAAATGTTTATTCCGTAAAAGAGAGACATGAAAGTTTCAGCGACAATGAATAATATTACTATTTCACAAATCGGAAAGCAGCAGCTCCAGATATTTATCTCTTCAATCGACATCGAAAAGGCCCAGCTTCCGATTTAACTCCATCTGCCAAATGGAATCATTCAAAAACAAAAAAAAACACATTTGTTTTTGTTTTATTTCATAAGCTAATGTTTATTTTGAAAACTTTGTCGTTGAACAATCGAAAGAGACATGAGAACATGATTTTCTTCGATATTATGCAAGGTGAAATCTTTTTAGACTTTCTCGTTTCGGTAAAATATTTTTGAAAAACACATCAAAATGGTCGCTTTTAAATGAAAATTTGATAGAAAGTAAAAAAACTTAAAACGAATTCACTTTTCCAGCGTACAAATAAGCGATTGGATCAGCTCAACACTATAGTACCTGGAAGATAATCGGTTTTAGATCTGAAATATTCTATTTCTTTAACACTTGTCAAAATTGGCATTTCATCGTAATGAGAGATCACTTTTATTCATTTATTGAAAAGTATTTCGTAGAGATAAATGTGTTCAAAGTGATTTTGCCTTACAATACATGGAAGAAAAACATGTTCTAATGTCTCCGCTTGTAATTGCTGAAAACTACCAGTCAAAAATTACTATTGTTCATAGAATTTTAATTTTATCCTAATATCGTTTAACTTCGAACATCAACAATAAATACTTGCAAATACGTGATATTTGATTATAATATTATTTTCATTAGAACATGAAAACTATAGATTTGATTATGTTTGAACCTTCAATCTCATCACTCTTCACTTACTAATGCATAAATCACATTATTTATTAGACTTCTAGCTAACTAATTTGATACTATCATTGACATAACACTAGCTAAAAACATGATCATTACACGAATGATGCACTGACGATGATATTATCATACAAAATCGATCAAGTTTGCGATCAGAAATTGAGAAACTATCACTAGTTTAAGACATGAAAACAAAATCAAACATATTAGCGAAGGTTTTGTCTTGCGCTATAAAATTAAGTCGCTACTTATTGATATCAAATAGAGAATAAAGTACATCTATATCATTCAACTTTTTCAAAATAATAAATAATATTTCATTGGTAAGTCAATGGAATGAACATTGTATTAATTCATCTTTAACTGTAAATCTGATATTTCTCATAAGACAATATATGCTAGTATATGTTGATTGTTCCTTCATGACCCTTGCCCTTATCGAAAAATATAATAATTCAACTCCACGAACAAATAAATGTAATATGGATTCAGTCAAATATGTTCATCGACGGATACTGCTTTTGTTTTTATAATAGGGTGTTAATAGTTCTTTCTTGCGATCATTTTTTCGACACATTCTATATATACCATTTTCTTCTCATCGTGTTGTCCCTTGCTGCACTTATGCAGATTCGTTCAAAATCTTTAAGACTTATAGACTAAAATCTGAAGAATATTGCTAAATATTTCGACTTCAACTCATAAGTGCATGCGAATCTTCAGTTCATCCATGGTAACCCATAAAAAAATATATTGATGTTTTTTTTAATTATTTATAATAAATACAACATTAAAAAGCATTTTTCAATGGTTATTGAAATTTAGCTTTAAAGTTTACCATGGTCAAAGCTTCAAGCATGTAAACAACGATTAATTTGCATTGAAAACTTTACTTTATTTCGGATTTGTTTAGATGCAAGTTTGTAAGAAAATTTCAATCTTCTGTAGTTGAGATTAGAATGTCAAGTTCTACTAATACAACTTCAAAATCGCTTTTTTATTTTAGATTCTCTTATTAAGAGATAACATTTTAATTTCAATTAAGACAAATATGTACATGTATAGAGAAAAAAGAATCACAATTTAGCAATATGGATCAACATTATTCATTACATTGTTAAAGCCATAATTGAATCTCTCCAGAAGCACATCGCAAGCGATAAGGTCGTTTAATCGTCGATTCATGTAGTTGTCGTCGAATTAGATATGAAAAACATGGTGTTTTAGTAAAAGTCCAATCAAAGAAAAAGATACGAAGTGAAACAAGTTGTTGCAAATCATCGGTAAGACAACGAATAAAATTAACAATACTTTTTGTAGATTTAATTTGACCGTCACGAGTACTTGCCGAATGCCAACCGAATCCATCATACGAATCATGGATAGAAAATGTAAGCTTTTTCAAGTTAGGTAATCGAATGGAGATAAGTTTGCAAAAGTATCGAACATTGGATAACGTTACGGTATAACCATCCATATCTAACGACTTTATCTAATAAAAAACAAATCATTATGTCTTTTTATGAGTAAAATCGTTCTACTAATTCTTTTAGTCTCAAAATAAAATTCAATTAGTTTACTTTTAAAAAGAATTGTGAAAACTACATATGAATAGAAAACAGCCAGATTATATTTAATGAGATCTCTCTTATAAATATAGAAATAATTACTTGTTGATTGACACGAGTTGCGAGATTATCAGTGTCATGTAATATAGCGGAGCATAAAATATCATTATCTTCACTTATTCGTAACTTATCTACATTACAAGACATTCTTAATATTGCTTCTAATTCAAATGCACTAATAAAATCACTCCCATCGATGAAAATTGTTGTTAGCAATGACCATGGAACCAGTGATGATATAGAGCAATTAGGATTACAGAGACGATGATGAGAACTTTCGCCATTAAAACCTTCAATGAACAGTTCATTAGCTTTTGGAAACAAGTCAATGGGATTTAACTGCGTTAGAGACGATCTAAAAAAAATGATTCCTATAAATTTTTTATACGCAGTAGAAACCCTTACACATACACTTGCAAATCTTCAGAAAAAAACTCTGTTTGAAGCTTTGTACCATGATATGGAGTAGTGAACAAGGCAAAACAATGGTAATCAAGACCGATATTCCAATTATTCCGTTCCTGAATAATTATTTTCGGTCTTCGTCGAGAAAAAAAAGCAGCTTTCACGAATGAATTGAAAATTCTTTTTTCTTCAAAGTCATTCTCGACACAAAATGATAGATCAAGAGCATACGACGCCACAGGTTTCAGACGATCAATACATTTTTGTTGGATAATATCGCCGGATATAGCAAATCGTCCACAAGCGGATGTATATAATTTTAATTTTAGTGAAAAATGAATTAATTGACCAAACACAGATGATAAAAGCACAATGGTTCGATGAAAACTCATGCTGGTCAAGCAGTTCACCTTAAGACGAACTAGGTTACATAGTAGACGGGGATCAACAGTAACGGGCATTCTAAAAAGGTCAATCGCATTCATACAATTGGTCTCAAATGATTGTGTTTTACTTACGAGAATCTGTCACAATTATCATTTTCAATTTCCTCTGGGTCTGCCACACCAATAGAGAGATTTCGAATGCAGGGTATACATAGCAGTAACTGTTGTAAAAAACGTGATGTGTTCACACCAGTGGTCAACGTATGAAGATAGGTTGTGTTGAAAACACTTGGCAAAGACATCAATGGTGTTGATTCAGATATTGGTAAGTTTTTATGACTTATCGGACTAAAACTAAAGGGAAGTCGACAAATATTTAGAACGGGCATGGATGAGCACACCTATAAAAAGATGAAAAAAATATATGGAAGTCAATATACAAAGAATTTTCTTTCAAAAACATCTCAAAGTTCATAATGAACTCGAGTAAAACGTGCTTTCTTACCTTAGCCAAATATGCTCCTTCTACAAATTGATGATTGAATGGATTAGATTCTTTAATATCAACAATTAAAGTATGTAATTTTTTTATTGAACGATTACATAACAATTTATCGAATTCATATGGTTGAATATCAATCAAATGAAGACGTTGAAGTAACATTGTTTGATAATGCTTCAAAGCTGATGAGACGAGTGACCATCCACCAATTGTATTATTGAATGAGATGCGTAATGAAATAACTCTATATTTTACTACCTTTAAAATATTTTCACAAAAATCATTAAACATCGATATTGACATACTGTCACCATCAATGCGAATACGCCACAAATACTCCTGCATAAGCATCGTGGAGAAACGTCTATTCAGTGATGCAAATGATTGAAGAATATCAGCACATGACAAATAAGCACATATTACAAAGAGAACATCGATAGATAAACACTCAAAAGTGGTGACCATTGTTTTGCTCATTTCTCTCATCGATTCCATTGAGCTGCTATTATATAGTCGCATGAACAATGATATTTGTCCGTCTGATTTGTTTGACGAGCATTGCTTTATAGAACGTCGTCCATTTATTTTAAATGACTCGATATGATTGGAGAAGAGGCAAACATTTATGAGTGTTCTCAGTGAAAATTTTCGCTGATTTCAATTTTTTCACTGGGTTGCTTGATGTCGTATTAGAAGATGCGTGCAACATTTCTTCGGTTAAACTGCAAGTGACGCTTAGAAACATTAACAATATAGTTAATTAGTATTACTGTTTGACAATTGTTTAAATCAAAAAAACAAACATCTGTTGAAAACCCAGTTATTATTCATTTCGAATTAGAAGCAAGATAAGTTATAGACAACCACTTATATTGTGCAAACTAGTTTTTTTGTAAAAAAAAACAACAAAATGATCGTTCGAATTACAAATAAAAATAACCTATTTATTACTTGTATTCCCCTTGAAACTCGTTCATATTATACATGGTTACTATATATTCTCTTGAGTCTATCTTATGTTACATTGTCTGCGTACGGCAAAGAATTTAATCAAATATCACTTTGTTTCATAGTGGAACTGACGCAGTCAAATCTATTTAATAATGCTTATTTTTTTTTGTCTGAATATGCAAGGAAGAAATATAATGACAAATATCTATATTACTCGTTAAGGAGGCTTTTCTGACGAATAATATAATTCATCTAATTTTAGAATTGAATGAAATCGTCTGTTTATCATTCGCATCAATGGTATGCTACAGATTGTTTTCCTCCGTTTTAATTCACACCTCGTGTATGGATTTTATATTTTTCTCTATGTTATTCCTTCATTTCTAACCATACATAGACTAGACTAGTTCATATAATTCATTGTTTTTTTTCTTTCCGCGCTTGAATTCTGTATGTTGTCTCTTCATATGGTAAAGTTCGTCGTATCCAACAACACATTAGTAAGTTAATACTATCGTTTTTGTATTTACCTTTCGCTTTTCATAGGCTAAATTTAATTATGGCGCAAAGTGTCCAAGAGCGATCAAAGATATTCATTAAAATGAATAGATCAAACATGATGAATAATATGAAATTCGTTTATCCATTATCTCTTGAATTTGAACGATTTATTCTAAACAGATCAAACAAGGATATCAAGGACACATTTCATCGTGTTTTATCTGATGAAAAAAGCGAAATAGACCTTCAGTTATCGAGGGCTGGCAAAGATCCAGAAAATGTCCACTTTACCTAAAGTCCTGTGAAAAGTCCTTCACCCTCAACCTAAAGTCTCGCCATAGGACCTTACTGGTGGCGGCACCTGTCCACAGGACTTTGGGTAATAAAAGTGACATTTTCTCGGAACTTTGCCATTGCTGCAGTTATCTCCGTTGTCAAAATGCTCTGGTTTTTATCGACTTAATGTTAAAGTAACAGACGGATCAGGAACAATCTTCCAAAGTACCAATGTAATAAGGTTATCTGAAAATGGAATAATCAACTACAAGGAAGATAAACCGGTCAATTTAAGAACCTTATACGTAAAGACGGAACAAACAAATCAAAATGTTCATAATTATAATTATGAAGAACAAAGTTCAGATGAACTGTATGAATTTTACCTCAGCGCACCTACACAGGTAGAGGCCAATCGTTTTCATTCTAAAAAACAAGATTTCTGTTTACTTTAGAGTCAAACTCTTAAATCATCTCACGCTAACACTGAAACATGAACATTGCAATATATATTTTTTTGAAGATATCTCATGGAATAGAAAATGTGCTGCATAAGCTGATAATGATGGAAGAAATGATTTATTACTCTTGTATTGTATTTTATTCAATTTTTGTGTTCAATAAAATCAATTTCCATAATTTTACACTTTTTGATCATAAAGTATCTGACAAGTGACAGAATAAGAACGAAATTTCAATGAAAGTACGAGTCTCTACGTTAAAAACTGCCACAGTAGTTTCACATGAGATATTATTGTAAGCTTATCTCATGAGGGCAATATGTTTTTGTTAACTAAAGTGAAAATAGAAATTCTTTACTGATTTCTTATATTTGATATAAAATGCATTTGTATGAGTCGAAGGCGATTGGTTACACTAACTATTGATTGATTGAACATGCACAAAGTAGTTTTAGCGCACCCTATCCTACAGCTCAATTTTCGAATGAAGATTTAAAAAAAAAATACATGGATAAAAATCAAGAAATTAGAATCATTTTCATAAACTAAAATGAAAAAGATACCGAGAAAAATGTAATCCATTTCACCTAGCAACTGCCCAGAATAAAATTCTTGTATGCTGATTGACCTTAATGTTGTTCTCTTTTTGCGAAGTAAATCGATTATTCTTCAGCTCTAATAGCATAATATTTTTATCTCATACATCATTCAACGACATAGTCATGCCAAGGTTTTTGAATTTCAAGTTTACCGTTAAATACTACCAAAAAGAAAAATTATATGGTTATGAAAATAACGACTTCTTTAGTAAAAACTTTACAACAGAAATAAATATCAAAGTTTGCAATAGTTAAGACGCTCAACATTATTTCTGAAGAACGCAAGAATGAATATGCAAATGCAAATTTATTTTATGTATTCAATAGTTACACAACATTATGAAGGACATTAATAATTCTTCTACTCCTCTATTGAATCATTATGAGAAAAAGCTTGCTGGTATGTTTTGAAAAAACCTATTTTGATTGGTAGTACAACTAACAATGTATACATAATGATCGATATTTTCCTGTAAAAATTGTAAAACATTTATCATTTTATACTCTATTGTGAGGATTTTAAAGTAAGAGAATATATAGATATAAGAGTGAATGTTACCTGTTATTTGATCTCATCTATTTCTTTTTTTTATAGAAGTTAATAATTATGATTTTTAAGAGATTGATAACAATGTAAGAGCAGATTATAGCTATATATATATATTGTATGAGAAATGAGTTGATTAAATTTATATCAATAAACTTTTTTTGTCAGCTATATTTTCAATGAATGGCCATCCCATCTAAGGAAAAAAGAACTCCCTTTAGATATCTATTAATATGTGTACTTTCATGCTGAATTCTTTTAGAACACACCCTCAATATTTATGAAAGTCATACATTGTTTCTAGGTTACAGCAAGCAATCATAATCTGAATGTTGATAACACTTTTCAAGGAGAAAAACTTTTATAGTAAAGTAGAATTTCTATGTGATAATATTGTCATAAATACTGATGTTAACAATTGGATCATTTTATATTGTGTGACTAGTATGTTTTTTCAGTGTTCGCCGAAACGGCTGATCACATTTTACATAAACATCATGGTTGACTAAGTCGTGTTTTTTTTTAGATCAAATATGTAGTTGAAATAGAAATCTTCATTGATATTCTAGAAAAAATTTATAAGCATAGATTTAACTGCAGATAAATTTAGTATTCCAAGAATTATCGTCAATCTACAAGCACATACTCAATATTCGAAAGAGAACCTTCCTAATAAAGTTGGTTGATTATTTCATTTTTTTTCATGTTCTAATATTTTCTTTTCATAATTAAAAGTGATTTTGTTCCGTATTTTCAACTAATCGATGTATTCACTGGTTAGAAATTATGGTAGAAAAATTGTCCGTTAGTGAATACTTATTATACCTCATCAAAAAGAGAAAATACGAAAATAAAAAAATAATTTTCTTTCGATATATAAATGTTTTATAATTAATATAAATGTTACAACAATTGAGTATACATTCATCATTGAATCATAAAGATACTGCTCAATTTTGTTTTTCATATTTGAACATGAAAAGAATTTTGATATGATTCCTAAATTTTGTTGACATTAAGTGAGAAATTTATTTTTCGACATCTTTTCATTTTCTATTTAATCATACGTATTTACTATAGTCATTAGCGAAATTAGATTAATGACAGAATAAATTACTGAGCTTGCAATACATACATTATTTTGTGAAACAAATTTTTGAAGTATATATTTATTTATCGTAACTTTCGATTTGGGAAAATTAATTACTTAATTATCAAATGAAAATTGGAGATTTTGATTTAGTAACAAGAATGAAAAAAGAAATTAATCGAAAAAAGTGAAATTTAATGGAAGCGATACATCTTCATGACAAATCACAGAACATTTTGCATACTATCCTAAAAAAGAGTCATTCATTTCTTCTTAGAGAAAAAATTGACTGCCAGATGTGCAAAGTTCATATGCTTCATTATGAGTGTAATTATATATTAGAGCTTCTAGTTTTCTTCATTATTTTGAATCAAAGATTAGGAGACATTGAAAAAAGAAAAACTTTAGCAATAGACAAATCGAACTGCTTTTAAATAATTATATAAGTATACATTTTCAGAAGAAACTAGTGAATAAAGATTTATCGCATGAGCATCTATTGAAATTGAAATTGATATCCATTAAATTGCCATCGAAATGGTAGGAATCTTTGTAAAGACTGATTATTCCACCATCTAATTTGGTAAAAGCCGATTTTAATCAATTATTTGAAACTCGAGAGGAGCTTTCATAATTATTTCAATTACCTAAAACTAAAATATCGATTTAACTTTAAAAGAATCGATCACTATAATCTCACAACAGAGCATCAGTTGTTTCTAGCTTTTCTTCGTCTATACAATTAAAAATTATATGTATTTATAATCTGTAGAACACTCAGTGGTGTTCTAAAGTAATTTTTAGTCTTGATTTCTTTCCTCTCCTCTGATCTTTTACTAAATTCTCTGATTCTGTTTTGTTCTTTCAATCCTAACTTCACGGAAAATGATCAAGAAGAAAGGTTACATCTTAATTTACGTAATATTTGCATAAAGTAAAAAAGAATCTGTAAGTTGATTGTTTTGATAATTATTTATAGATTTCTTGCCCTGTTTTTGTACAAAGTCAACTAGATATTTTTTTTCTTTCAATTGTTCATTGTTTCTATTTTGTTACTATGAAAAGATCTCATTAGATTCCTTTTAGATCTAGACATGATAGATTCCACTGATCGGTCACTGATGAGTCAGAATCCTTTGTCATCATTAAAACATTATTGTATCAATGAAATATATATACGAAATCATCCATATATCATTTCAATGTGTATTCAAAATTCTGAACAAATTCAACTCGAAATCTTAGTACAGCCAAAAGAAAGTGTCGATCAATGGAAATCGAGTTTTAATGTTCATGGTGAATATTTAGTTTTTCTTTATAATATTTTCCTTTCTATTTTATTTTTATTTTGGAATAGATATTGAAAAAATGACAGAAAAAACGGGTAATTTTAAATCATTCAATGTATTTGTTGATATGTTAGAAGATGCGATTAATCAAGTAATATGAGAAAAACTTACCGAAACTTTGTATGAATTTATTTATAAAATTGTAGAAAAATTCATCAGTCAGTATTGACTTATTTACTTCTGATGACCTTGAGTTTATACGTAAAAAACAAGAAGATCAGAAGAAAACTTCAACGACTAAGTTATCAAATAAACGTTATTTAATATTGATATATAATGTTGAATACGATCGAATTTATTATCCATTGTCTCTTCGCTATTATGGTAGATCTGATACACTTGTTTTAATCGAACAAATTCGTCAATTAACAGCAGAAAATGAATTATTAAAATCTCGCGTAGGTTTTTAGTAAAGATTTTGTTTGATTATTTTTGTTCTATCTATTTCAGCTTGGTTCATGTACTAATAATCTTGAGGATTCTCACGAAGAGTAAGATTCTTTTCCCTTCTTTTCCCTTCTATTATGTTTTGATTAGATATTCCAATTTGAGAAAAGAAAATGATAATTATCACCAACAGTTATTATTTCATGATGGAAAAGAAAAAGATCTACAAGTTGAATATTTACGTCAAATGATTCGTGCCAATGAATATGCTCTAATTAAAGAACGAATTAATTTACAGAGAACAAAAGTAAAAACAAATGATCATTATAAAAAACTCAATAATCAAGTTTGTTCATTTTCGTATTTCAATAAAATCAATATAAATATATCAACTTTTTCTTTTTTAGATTGAATTTTTAAAAATATCTGAAAGACAATTAAAATTAAAAATGAAAAATTTAACAAATGAAATTAGCTTACTCAAGAAAAAGTAAATAAAAATTACATCGAAGTTAGTCATTTAAATATACATTTGTTTTTCATGGAAAACATTTTCAATGTGTTCGGAATTTGAATTGTTGTTCCATAGAAACAGTAAAATCATTAATTGATAACAAATCGATTCAGATTAATTTAAATTACTTTATGAGGTTATTGTTTGGAAACAAGACTATCATCTCGTTTCGTCGATAATTTATTTTCCGATTTTAACAGGATATCAACCAGTCAGGAATTCATCTTTTTTTGAACGAGTTTAGATCCACTCAATGAAGTAGACGCTGATGCCAATGATTAAAGATATGAATGTAAGGTTCACAGAACGTCAAGATCCATAAATTTACTCATTCTATGCTATTCGTTTAAAATAAATAACAGTAAACATCACTATTCTTCATAGTTCTAAGTTAAATTTTGATTAACGCTGACTCTTGGACGTTTTCTATTTATTGTCCTTTAGATTCTTCATCGACGAATTAATTATTGTAAACAGGAACTATCGATAAAATGAGAAAAAATTCTGTAGATCCTCTGGGAGTTTTCTTTGATCAGGTAGTAAAACAGAATCCAACCAAAAACATAGCTACAGCTCATGATTTTAGTATTTGCATTTTCGAAACATAATATATAATCACTGTAATTAATGGGAAGTCTCCGTTTTTAAGAATACTCTTTTATCTACTAAAATATATTTTCTTAGGATTGACGGTTAAAAGTGAAACATTTAGTGTTCGCTGAAATTTAGTTTTCTATTGTCTTTATTGAAAAATATAACATTTATTTTTCAGCGCTTCACCATGCAATTATCGACCGAGATCGTCACCATTGGATTGTGCGAAGTCAACTGATCAACATCGATATCGTTCAAAGAGTGGCCCTAAACGATTACCATTGTCAACAAGTAATTTTCTTTGATCATTTTTCTAATTTGGTTTTATCAAAATTTGTTTAGATTCTCGTGCTCGTTTTAATCCCACTGCATACATTCATGAAAAAAATCTTAAATTACGGCATGTGGAATTAAAAAAGTATTAGTTTTTGTTGTTTGTTCTGATTAAATTAAAATAAAACGGAATCTTTTAGAACAACAGAAACTCATCAAAGATTAAATATTGATCAACAACATTCAGAGTCGGATTTTAGTGGTGAACTTGTTAATGTATAATTATCGATGATCTGTTTTCAATTTTTATGTCTATAGATTCAAGTTTGAAAGCTAACAATAATAATTGCGTTAAATTGAAATCAAGAAAAAAATCGAGGTGTCTTTCTATTTCGTTTTTGTAATGAAAGTTATTTTCTCAATTATAGTCGAAAGCGAACAAAAGAATTAACTCAACAAAAATTTGAAAGCTCCATCGATTCAGTATGTTATTTTAAATGATAATTAAATGAATAAAGACAACTAATTTTAATAATTCATAGGATATCGAACGTATTTCGTCACCAGTTGTTTTACGTAGGGCTGCATCAAATAATTCAACAAAAGTTTTCTTGCCTGAAAATTTTCATCATGATCAAATAAGTATTTATGTTTACGAATGAAAAATCCAATGATTTTAAATAAACTAAACTTTTAGATTTAAACTCAAACTTACAAAACTTCACTGACTCTGACAATATGGTCGATATTGATAAACGATTAAAATCGCTAGAAAAATTCATTAAACAAACTTTACTAATACACTAAATTCTCTTTTTTTAGCTTGTAAATATTCCTTTTTGTTTGATTAGAATTAGGTGTTTTTATTATTATTTATTATTAAATAAAACTGATCAAAAATCGATCGATAAATGAATTCTAATACATTGATCCATACGTGAAATTTATGCTGGTATCTCACAAACAGAAATTACTATTTTCAAAAGGAAATTACATCAATAGACAGCACGTTTTCAATCGAATAACACAAGAGAAAAGAAAAAGAGTTGCAATCCGTTGGTAAACAAAAGATAAAAAGTTCTTTAGCTCTAATCATATTTTATCGTAAGCTTGGAAGAAAATATGATATTGTAGGAACAACCTTGAAATAATGCACTTACACTATTAGAATATCGCGATGTTTAGAGATATCTACTTAGCAGTTTATTTACTTAATAAAGAAACAAAACAGATGAAACTTCTAATCTTCTATGGGAAAAAGACAATATGTGAAATTTCTAGAATAAACTCATAAAATGTTTAAAATCAGAGTCATTATTTATGTTTCTTAGAAAATAATGATAATAATATTTTCATAAACATAAAGTAAGAAAATTTACATGGTTAAAAATAAGCTTAAATAACTGTAACGAGTGATATTCTTTTTCTTTTACTGTATCGAAGCATGTTTGTGAGTATTCATATCGATTATTTCCAATTGAGCAATACTCTAACTCTTAACAATTGTTCGAATCGTAAAAAATCGATTAGGAAGATATTTTCTGCAATGAGAGTATTTTAATCATTTCTCTTTCTATTTATTTTTTCTTTCATCATCATCCGATTTCCAACGAAAGGAACTGTTTGAGATATTATAGATTTGATCGACTTTAATAAACCCTTCATTGCTTTCGTTTATACACCGGAAAGAAATAAAAATAAAAAAGTAAACATCCAAGATAAAAGCAAAAATTAAAGTTGACTTATGATACTTCATTTTGTTCTTGGTCATCTTCATCTTCTCGAACAAGAATAATTGCTTCAGTAGCTAATCGAACAATTAGAGGACCTAGAAGAGCCCCCCATGCTCCTAATAATTCTAGTCCACCGAAAATTGTTAATAATAACAATAGAGTTGACATTTGTAATGAACCCATTTTTGAAAAAAATGGTCGAAGTAAATTATCAACAGATCCAATAGCTAAAACTCCGACAACAATCATAATGACTGCTTTGAAGTAGGCTTGTTGAATAAAAAGACCAATAGTTATCGGAATCCAAACAATAGCTGTGCCGAGTATAGGAATTAATGAACAAAAACCAGTTAAAACACCAAGCGCATACCAACGGGGAATTTGTAAACATAAATAAGCAATAGCAGCAACAATTCCTTGGACAGCACACGTTAAACATACACCAATTAAAAGGCCACGTCCTGTTTCTTGAAAAGCATTTTTAAGACGATTCATGTGTTTTGCAGATAATGGACCATGTGCTACTGTCCATGCCCAAAGTTCAATACCATTTAACAAAAATGTGTATGTCGATACCAAAAATATTAATATACCAACGATGAACTAAAACAAAGAAAGTTAAATTTGAATTAATCCATATATTGATTTTCATCAATTTACTTGTACTGTAGCTCCAGCAACAGTTGACAAAACTGATAAAGCTTTTCCACCAAATAATTGTACAACGTCTGTGATTGCATCTCGTTGAATCAAAAAACGCTCTAGTATATTAAATGTCGCATTTTTTCCACCTTTTATAAAATCAATAAAACTTTCATTTGTAGAGTTTAATGATGATGACTCTTTTGAATTATTATGATCATTCTTATTCATTGGAGGTACAAGGAGATTTATTGCATTGCGAGCTGTTGTTGAATTCGATAGATTTGCAACGAAATCAAGTGTTGAACCAGTTAACGCAATTATTATTAATATAATGGGTAATATCACAACAATGACAAGAAAAACCAGTAAAAATGCAGCTATTGCCGAACGAGAACTTTTTTCCCGACATCGATTCATTAAAGGCCTAAAAATAATTTATGTAAATATTTAAACGTTATATTAACATATGAAATTCATCAATACTACCTAGCAAGAGACTTTGTTTGTTTATCTCATAGAACAAATCAATCAGATAGATTGGAGAAATTCAAAAGCATCGCAACGCTTTCTCGATATGATACAACTATTTAGTTTTGATGTATACATCCTATTTATTCTCGTTGAAAAATATCTTAGTTAATAAAGAATTCTTTATAGTATTTTGTTTATATTAAAGTACTAATCATACAGTTTTCTTTGAAATAATATGCATACTTTTATTATTTTCATTTCCATTCTTGAAATCTTAAATTTTTTACTAGGAGAATTCTGTTTGTTCGTTCTAAATTAAATTTAAGAAATAAATCATTTAGAAATGACAGTGTATAGGAGAAAAAAGCCATTGCTAAATCAATGTAAACAGTTAAGTAAAACACGTCATTTTCATAAAATTTTTCGAATAGCTGTAAGTTATTCTCTAATATCAAAATTCATTAATTACTAGAATTAAAACTAATTAAAATGAATCTCATGTCTATAACATTGAATTTATGAATTTTATCGCGCAAAATCTAAGATCATATTGATCGAACTGTTGGGAATCTTTATAAATTTTAGCTTCTAGTAATTTTCTATAGAAATCTAAATTTAAAAATACTTTCAAGGAACATTTATAATCCAATCAAACATGCCAACTGCTTTTCATTAATTCTAATTAAACTAATTGAAAGTTAAAAGTTTCTTGAGCGTAGAATTAGAAAGTAATACAAACTTTTAAATATTGAGAATCATTCTCAAGGATTAAAATTTACATTAGCTCAGTCTATTGAGGCAAATAGTTTGAACACTTATGTAAGTTAGTTCTAATTCTAATCAAATATTAATCTTGAATAATATTGAAAATTATCAAATGCTCAACTAATCACTACTCTACAATAGTTATTTTGAAGATAAAATTTCTTTATTTTTAAATAATTTTAATAAACTACTAAAATTCTTAAAAAAAAACACTTAAGGAAAGAAAACATCATATTTAAATTAGTACCAACTAATTGAATATTCAAAAGTATCTATTACTCGAAGCACGTAAACATTTCCTACTCACCTACTTTCTATTTAATCACTCGTAACTTTCCGATGTAGAAGAGAATGTCGACAATTTTCTTGTTAATAATAACAAAGAACGAATGATTTTTAAACAATTCACCGAAATGCTCAATTTTAAAAAAGTCTTCAAATAAGATTATCGCATTTTTAATTGTTTTAAAAATTATTGTTAATAATTTTATGAAAAAAAAGTGTTTCCATCGAAAAAAAGTTCTTCCTTAATACAGATCAATAAGATATACTTCAATTGATGTAAAATTTATATTTTGAAATGGTTTTGATCGATTGCATTTTTAGGAATTTGAAACTTATATTTGATTCTGTGTTCATTTTTAGTATAGAAATAAAATGTTCTATGAAAAGAAATAACGAGAGTACTAGAAAGTGGTCTTTTAAGAATTCAATTTAAAATAATTATTGAAATTTTTTTATTTTATTTTTAATTTAACTTACAAATGATTCACGAGCCATTCAAGAAAGGGCCGGCATATACTTGATAACCAAACAGCAAGAATTAAAATAGAAATATAACGCCATATTATAATTATTGTTCCAAGTGACAAAATAAATGCACACCATCTCATCAGACGTTGTTGAATTAGCATTTTCCGTGTAAATAACATGTCTGATTTGTTTTTCTTGTTTCGATCGTATTGAGAGGTTGTGATCGACAATGGTGTACTGTCAGTTATCAAATCAATTGTCTCATCTGGTGTCACTAATGATGGAGGCAGATTTTTTATTTCATTAGTCATAGTTCCCCGTGTTTGAAATGGACGAGTGTTATTTTCACAAACTCGTTCGCGCAGATGCTGATGTTTTACTCTCGTACTTCTAAGCTGTTTCTTTTTCTCGGTTTTTTGTTGTGACACGGCAAAGAAAAGAAGAGAAAAAAAGACGATGCAATGTTGTTCGGGGAAAAAAAAATGAATTGACTGTTTGGTGAATGTTGGTACCAGTCTGATCTATATAGAAACAGACAGAACGAAAGAACGTCGATTGACACAACATTGACAAAACTATATCTATTTTTCATAGAACTTAGTCATTCGAGTGCGTGATAATAAAGAAAAAGAAATGTGATCAATATATTATTATTACTATTATTAAACTCGATATGCAAGTCAATAATAACATATTCTTGTTAAATCAGCAAGGAACATTCATCATATTCATCATTTCTATGATTATTTTAGTAAATGCACAATGTTGAAAGATAAAAAATAAAGATTCGTTTACTAAAACGTCAACGATATACGATGATTCGAAAATGTTATTATTCATTTACATAAACGAAAAGACATTTTTTCCCAAAAAATCAAAACTAAAGCTTTTAAAAAAGAAAAAAGAAAACTTTTTTAACCAGTGAAGAATTGTTTTCTTCATCATCTATTTCTAACTAGCAAATGTCACACCTTAAAAGTTTCTTCTGAGTAAATATTTACTGTGTTCAAAAACAAAAAGATGTAAAACATGCAAAACAAAACAAAAGCTTCTGAAAATACGACTGTCAAATATTTGTATTATTGAATCTTACACATAAACAGGAACATGTTCGAAATATTTTCGTTTTCTATACTTTACAAGACAAAATATAATACTAGAAACGATGATAATCAAAAGTAAAACAACAATACTACAAAACAAGATTGATGTCCAAGAAAATAATTTGTTTCTTCTAGATTTTGATAGATCATTTTTGTCTTCATCGATTGAATATAAACTATCATGAGAATGTTGAACATTTATGAAAGGTGATACTGTTGATTGTCTAATATAAAGCAAAGACATTTTTGTTTTGCTAATCTTTTTCCTGTTTTCATTTTATTTACCTTCGATTAAAATTTGTCTGTCGATCAATTGTTTGATTAACAAGAAAATGAATCATATCAATGTCCATTGAATCAGAAAATACATCAATGGACGGTAAATCATGATCCGCATGATTGAAATGATTCATTAGTTGATTTTCATTTGTAAATAATGGAAATTTTTTACGAAAATATTCACTAATTACAGAACAATCACTGAAACGACATTTTTTCGTACATAATAAATTATCGCTAGAATAATCATTTGATTTTCTATTTAATTGAATATCAATAAGTATAAGTCGAGTACAATCGCATTCAGTCAGATTATTGATTCGAGGAAGAATTATATTTAACTGACGTTGATAATTATTATGAATAAAATCAATTAAATAACAACGAGAATCAGTTGTCATTTCAGATAAGTTGACCTCAGATAAATCAAAATGTTTTAAATGATTCTCTAGTGCATATAACACTTGAAAATTTATTCGACGAAGACGAGAACCTAATTTTAAATTGTTAATCTGGTGCGAAGCTAACAGTGTTCGCTCATGTAAATGTTCGATATCTAATGTTAAAGAATCTAATGATGGAATAAATTTATCAATTGATACTTCAAAATGCGGCTTAATTAATTCTAATCCACGTAAATTAGTATATAAAGGAATAAATGAATTGAGATTCATGGAATAAGCTTCCATTGAATAAATATTATACGAATAAACAGAAAAATAATATGGAAATGAATTTGAATCGATAGTATCAACATGACGATGAAGTGTCAATGATCGAACAAGACCTTTAAATACGCTTCTTAGATAATGCGGACCAGGAGGAATAATTGATCCATGGAAATGAAGTTCACCAATATTTGTATTATTGAAAACATATTCAAATGGAAACGATGATGAAAAAAGATCTTCCTTTGTGTAACTATATATATTTAAATGAGAAACCGTTAAGCCAGAAAAACAATTTTCAGAAAATTTGAATTGATCATGGCTATCAGTGAGATTGTTTTCACCGGACACAATCTAAGTATGATTATTTATGAGAAAGAGAGAGAGAGAGAGAGAGAGAAACAAACACAAATATATTGCAAAAAAACTTACTTCAGCATCATTAGTTGTTATTGGAATAAAATGTAGCCATAAATGCTTCTTATAATGTTTTCTTTGAAAGATATTTGAACTTATCGAATATTTATTCAATGTAATATGAGTAAAGCCAATAAATCGAATGGATAGTTCTACATCTACATCGGCATTCGTTTGAGAATATAATATTGATAGAGAATCAAATTGATTTGAACGAATTTCAACTTGATTTTTAAGAAAAAATTCTATTGAAATTGTACGAAAACGTTTTTGATTTTGAAAATCAAATCCAAATGGTGACTTAAAAGTTTCTTCATTCAACGAATTACCTTGACAATATAAATGCGAATAAGTTTTTAAAGGTAACGTGAAATTTAAATCGAAATTCGATTGAAAACAAGAACAGTTTAATGATAGAAAAATTGAGCAAGATGTTGCACTATTTTTTACTGGATAAATAACTATTAATGCAATTATATTTAATATAATGGAATTGAATATGCCGATGTACATCTTAAATAGGTAAATAACTTAAATAAGGATCTATCTTGAACAATGTGATACGATCTTGAGAAAAAAAAACACAGAAAAAATTCCTATGTAAGTCAACTTTGAAGTAGGATAAATTGAGATTTACTTTCCATTAGATGGTATTAATTTTAATAGTTTTCTTTGTTTCAACGAAAGAAATCCACATTAAAATTTGTAGATGCAATCTATTATCAAAATAATCTCACATGTTCAACAAAATAAATGTAGTTATTCTATACTTAATTTACAGTTGTCCAAAAATTATTTTTTGTAGTGTATGCATAAAATTATCATTTCTTTTGTGTACCATACTAAATAATCTGAATATGCAAATGGCGATCTCGAGATTGATAAAAAATATTCTGGTAAATAATTACAGAAAACAATCATCACCTAAACAGAACAAGGTCTCGCTTTATCAACGGAAATCAAGGCAAGTGTAAAAAAAAGATTATTATCTCTAGACATTTTTTGTTTCTTTATCTTTTCGTATATTTCTTTGATATACTTCGACTATCGACTTTATTTTAAATTTACATGGAGATGATCTAATAAAAAATATAAATGAATAATAGGAAAATTTCTAGCGTATTCTTTTAAATAATTTATTAAATGTAGATTTATTCAATCGAATCTATTGAAGTCTCTCATAGATAGTAGAACATCAGGCTTTTTTCTCATCTAGAAAATATTCTTTCTTTTAATCAAATAAGATTTCTATGGATATCAGTTATGATTAACCCATATTTTTCGCTTTTATTGTCTACTTTTATTCATCATATTGAGTGATAATATTTTATATTCAGAAAAAAAATCAATAGTTTTTACCTTATACATAAAATTATCTGATCATTATAACGCGTAAAAATGTTCCATAAATGGCTTCAAATAAATAGTTTAATCCAATACAATATTGTTATTACATCATAAAATACATCGACGGATGATTTCATTCTGCTAGAGAGATAAAAAATAATGAAAATAAAAACAAAAATTTTTCAGTGTGCATTCAGTCGTGCAACATCATCGTAGAGTCATTTATGCAAGTTTTGTATAAATAAATGCATCTACACAAAGACTAGAAGGTCGCATCTCAATATTCTGCTCGTTCGTCACTCTCATAGTAATTTTATGATCATTACCATGTGAGAAAAGAAAAAACGGATCGACGATTTTTTAAAATACAAGAGAAAGAAAAATTTACATCTCTTCTTCGAATACTGCGAAGCAAATTATCAGCAATTATATCAAAGTAAAATATTTTGTTTCGTTTTCCATTTTATGGTCTCTATCTAAAATCGTCTTAAAAAACATAAAAACTAACTTTCCAGCGTCTTGTCTTAATAAAGATGACGCATAAAATTGGAATAAATTCTTTCATAGTCTCTCTTAAATATTGGCTGACTCAAGGCTGATACACACTCGTTTTTCTTTTCTTTTTGTAACTTTTAAACGACACGTGTTCTTCCAGTCGGGAACGACAAAAAAGAAGAAAAAAGACTAAGGACCAAGCTGCTATTTGTGCATGTGTCGCCTGTGCACGTGCATTAAATAATCTCTCGTAAACGTTGCCAAGTACTGTTCTTTAACCGACTAACAAAATAAAAAAATTTAGTGTTCTATTTGTTGATACTTCTTTTCTGTCGCGTTACTTGTTCTTTAACGAGAAGAAAAAAAGCCACGAAGAGAAATAATGAATGAATGTTGTCGATGTGGTCTAGATTTCTCTGAGGTCAACTATCAATATCTTCAAACAGTAACCATATGAGCAAATGTTTACTGCAAAGTGAAAAGCATATTTGACTAAGAATCGTTCATGAAGCTTAATAAAATATTAACTTGAAGTTCTATTCCATGTAAACGAGTCGAAATAATAAAAAACAAAAGGTTTTCTTAACGACTAAATTGAAATCATCAATTGAAAGAATCAATCAGTACAAGCATATTCAATCAATTTCTAATGAATAGCGAATCTCTCAACAGCATGTTGTCGTTATCTTTTATATTGTTAAATGAATGGTAAGTAATCAACTATTTTCTTTCACCGTATATTACATAGCGATGTCAAATGACGAAATTATCAAATGTGATTAAAGACGTGATTATACGATATTCATCTATAAAAGAGATGAACAAATTTGTAGCTCATTAGAATGAATACAGAAATGATGCAACCAGCAGATTATCGTCTTGTACGTTCTCGTATAGAAGCTGGAATAATGATGCCAATCAAACGACATGCCTTTCCGAATACAATCGATGTTTATTTTTCTTCCTGGTTATATGGTCAAAGAAAATCAACTGAACAAATACCTGTTAATTTATGCCGATTCGGGCCTTGTCTGATATGTTCGAATGGCAATTTAAAATGTGAGGAGTTTTCATTACTAACCGTAGATTTAAATTCGTTTTTACAATGTCTACCTTGTTTGAATAATGACGAACTGTCAATACTTTATTCGTTGCTTGACGGCGATCAACAATCATATCAATATGCTATTCGACAGCAATATCAAGATTATAAACAATTGCTATTAGGAGTTTTAAGTCGAAAACGTAATGATTAGTATGATCTTGTTTAATGTATTCTATGGAAATATGTAGCGACTATTATTTTAATATAAAATAATGAATCAATTGACGGTTCTATAGTCTAGTGGTTAGGACATTGGATTCTGACTCCAGTAACCCCTGTTCAAATCAGGGTAGAACCTTCTATTTTTTTTCTACAAAACTTTATATGTAATTTTTTAATTGATTTCCATTCAAATTGAAAGCTGTCACTTATGTGTTATTGTGGAATAACACAAATTGCATGATGAGAACGTGTGATGTATAAAAGGTAACTGTTAACATCAGGAAGTTGTCTTCTTTTATTTACAATGAACTGATGTAAAATTATTTAATCGATCATTAAGTACACTAATATTTATGTACAAGCTGAATAACTTGTATTTTAATAATTCTACTAACACTTCAATGTTTTGTTCTGTTGGATTATTTTTGGTTGCAACAGCGCGCATAACTAGTATTCCATTAAATATAGAATAACTAACTTTTATGTCTTCATCATCACAAATTACTTTATGACAAATTGAATTCATACAAGAATTGCATGCATACATGCGGAAAACATACTGTTTCCCATTGATTACTTGTAGGTTCGTTAAATCGATTTTGCATTTGTTTTATTGAATTGAGTGATTGATCCCAATGAAATAGCAATAGTGAATGAAAACGCTCCAATGTCTATATAATTGGGATGAGATAATCCGATCTATAAATTTAAAAGAACTCTTTGTTTTCTTCTGTATTGATCTGCATCGAAAGAAGATATCCTATAAGTTGTTATCCGATTATTAGCTTTTTTCATTGCTGAAAAGCTCAATAGGTCACTCATACTCAGTGCTGAGAGCAACAGCAGGTAAACGAAGTCCTTTGAAATCTTGATACAAAGGATTAACTGGAGAAAAGAATGATCTTGTTGATATTAAATAGAACGCTTACTGATAATTCTTTTCGACTTCTTTTTTCTAGATCATTATTTTACTTTCTTAAAGTGTGCAGATTAGTTTATTATATGAATCACTTGTACAAAATAAAAAGCAGTATAGATGCAGGAGAATATATCTGAATTAAGCGAACAAACGATTTGATCAATACAAAATTTTAGATTGTATTTTCTAGTGAATGTTATACTTTTCACGGTAAAAAGTCTGTTTGAAAAATCTGCTTAAAAAATCTTCTTATTGCGTTTTACTAAATCATCAACTGTTCAGACTGCACATCTTTGACTTTGTTCGATTCCGTTGTTATTTATCTTTGTCACTTAGCCGTCTATTCATTTTAAGTTTAAAGTTCTTTCACACACATACAGTTCCATTCCAGTGAAATGTGTTTCACTAATTCGAACAAGGTATGTATTCGGCGCGAATGTAATTTTATTTACGAAGGTTCAAAGCTGTAGATAGTCTATCATGCATCAGGCATTTTACTTTACTTGAGACAATATATGTTCCACGTTTAAGATATTTTTGTTTTTGAACTAAACAATGGCGGGCCCAGATGAATGAATCCGATCGGATCTTATGCAATCTGACGAGCCGACAAAGTCCCATGAGATTCCGGATTGAGCAACCACTAACGGATCCCTAGTGTTGGAATCCGATGAACATTCGACTCAATCCAACAACTGAATTCGATAGGAATTTTAGAAGTCGGATTCCAACGAGATCCTAAGGAAACCTATCGGGTTTTCACTGGTTCCTGCAAGAATCGATCGGATTCCAAAACTTGGGATCCGTGAGTGGGTTCGAAACCAGGATTTGTTTAGAATCCTGTAGGAACCGATCGAGTTCGGTTGGATCCAGGTACCGAATTGTTCGTCTTGGGGGATCATCACGCCAACTCACCCGAAGGATACTGCGTGAAACAACATCAGAAGTAAGATTGCACATCATATTAAATTTATCGATGTGAAAGAAAAAGACATGTAACCTTTAATATTTTAGAATATCGACCCAAAATCACCGAGAGAAGTAGTTGAACTTCAAAATCAACTGGCGTTTAACAATGCCGACTGGCAAATCCAGGTTGTTCAACTAACAGCAACAGTGGAGCAAATGCAACAAAACAATGAACTATTAAATGATACACTTGCACTTGAAATGAACTATACTATTACGACACTGTTTTCTGAAATGACTGGTGCAGTTGAACGTGAACTCAGTGGAAAATACAAAAAACAATCGCAACATACAAAAGGATGCAAAATTAAAAAAGCCAAGCTCAACTTATCTTAAATTTGGCTTATACTCAACTTCATTAATTATACGCTATCATTTATATCTATGTTAGGATATTACTTCTTGGCTTTGTTTAAATTTACTTGTACTTATTGTGCCGATATTGATTGCACGCTTCGATGATTCTCCTTCCTCTTCCTTCTGTTCTCTTTCCATTGGTGTAATATCTCTCTCTCNACGCTAAAATGTGGATACCCAAATTCGGATACCCAAAAGTGGATGCACCTAATGTGGATAGTGTAGTGTGTTTGTGCTAATAAGTCGTTACCGGGTGTAAGGATATTATGACATCACTCTATAATTTGATAGATTCATGTAGCATTTGGATTATGAGAATGTAAGTCTTTTAATATGAGTCTATGCAATTTCAAAAGAATCTTTTATCTCCACTGAGGCTTACGAAGATATCGACTTCGAATTCGATGATTTCAACTGCTGGATGTCCATTTATATTCGAAGTCAAAATAGGCAGCTAGTTATGAAAGCCTGCGAATCTTGTCAATACATAAGGAATGTTCGAAATCGCAATGAGTTTTTTCTTTCTGATTCTTTAGAGTGTTACTTTCATCTAGCCCATGTGATGAAAACCGGACAAAAACCGGCGGTTAATCGCGGTTTTACCGGTCCGGTACCGGCTCCCAAAACCGCGGTAAACTGGTGGTTTTGTCTGGTAAATCAGCGGTTTTGTTAAATGAACTGCGATAAAATACCGTAAATCGTTAGCTTTTTTTCCCGGTAAACCGCAGCTAACCGACACTGTTGGAGTCTTGGTCTCAACAATATTTGTTTTAAATTTAAGAATAATTTTTCAGTTAACCTAATTTATTTCACTTACAAATATACATAAAAACAACAAAAAAATTATTTTAAAACATAAATATGAAATAATTAATATCAAAAAAAATAAATTTAGCATATTAAAAACTTAACCTAAAGAATGAAATATAAAAAGATTGAATTTAAAAAAAATGAGAAAAAATAGATCTAAAAATTTACTATTAAAAAATGAATCTGAAATATAAGTGTTAAAAAATAATCTAAAACTTTACTATAAAAAAATGAATCTAAAAATATAACACAAAATTTAATTTGAAGTTTTTTTAAACAATAATTCAGAAATTAAATTCAAAATGATCTGAGAACTAAATATAAAAATCAATCCAAAGAAGAAATCAACATTAAAATATTAATAAATAAATATGTAAAATTATCGGTAAAAACAATTATAAATTGAATCTCTTACTATTTTCTTGACTATTTTGTCTAACCACGCGAGCAAGTAAAATAAGCGAAAGACTGAAAAGCACATGTATATATACTTACTTCTGCTTTCGTTCTATCTCCATTCGCTTTCGTTTCTTCACCAGAAAAACTATCGGTAGACCGTGGTTTACCGGTCAACTTTGTCAACAACCGCGATATCACTTAAAACCGGCGGTTTTCAGAACTACAGCGGTTTACCGCTAAAACTGATCCGGTTTTTGTAACATGGGAGATTTTATTTTCCACGCATACTTCTACTTTAAATATGAACCATTCACTGAAAAAATAAGGTTCCTAATTTTTGGAAACCGAATGACTCAACCAATAGATATAGGTAGCTGAAGTTGATTGCCTAGATGAACAACTAAAGTACATAATGCAGGGCAAGTTTAACATCGTGAAATTGAAATAATTAAATTTTTTCACTAAAGAAAATGGCAAAATATGTGTCAAATTTTCTTTCAAGAATCGAGTTCATAAATTAAAAAGATTTAGAAATGAAATGTGGATAGATGTAATTTCATGATTAATTGTCTTTAAGTTCATTACCTTGTTCTATGATATTCTTTCATAATACAGCCAAGAACAATGAACAGAACTTTTGTTTTTATCAATTTAGCTTCATTTAAGTCATGGCAAAATATAGGTATATTCAATCATTTGCATTGTTGATAAAAAAAAAGAATTATAAATACCATCGAACCGATAGAGTTATATTCAGAAGTAATGAATCATTTAGCGAATAGTTTTCATTATAATTATGCAGATCCGTTAAATGTGTTCACGAACAGAGTAAACGATAGCAAGACTCCATTTTTACTTATTTCGATCAATTGATTAAAGCCACTTATATATATGGTTTTAATTGACTTGAGTTACAAGACTATGGAATAACTTTAAGGATGTGATCTAACCATTTATTTCTCGACATTAACCACTTAATTTTAAGGAAAGAAGTTGTTAGCAGAAAAATAAAAGATAATATTGTGGATGTGTACATTTTCCGCGGTTCAATCGCATTGCCTATTAGTTTGAGTGCCGTGAAATAAAAATAAAAATAATAGAATATTCCTTCGTCTCATTAACACAATATCAATATATTATCGATATTAATCTTATTAATATTCAAATACAAATACGATTATTTTTATCAACTTTTATTTTTCTATTTGATAGAAAATGTTTATTAGTTTTACAATAAGTGAATATACGAAATTAAATCAGAAGCTGAAAGTTTGTAAAATTGACATATTAATTGTAATTGACCTTAAACAACATTAATGAAGGTCGCTTGCCTTGTATGGACTTATATTTCCAATGTCAATCTAGTACGAGAGAAGAAGATCTTTCGAGCATCAATAACAGCATATTGATCTCTGTTTTTTTGCTGACGATATGTTCTGTTTTCTCGCTTTGCTCGATTAATCGCATCGTGTCTATATATATATATATATATATACCAGCGTTCCTTTGTTAGATATCTGCGATTTGTTTGATCTCAATTTCTACAATCAATCGGTATATTTCTTCTATTTACTAAAAATGCGTCCAGCTCTTGCAGGCCCAGGATCAGCAAAATGGAAACCTACTCAAGATCCAGGCAAGAAAGCAGCTAGTGCAAACTTAAGTGGTAAATCCAGTGGTGGTGATGCAAATTCAGCGTCGAAAGGAGCAAATACACAGCCAAACAAGAGCGATGGAGGTGGTCATTAACACTTATATTTTATAATGATTGAATGTGTGAAAATTTTTCTATATGTTTTATTATTTAATCATCTAGAATAAAATCCTTAGTTTGTAGAAGTAAAACACAAATATTTGTCTACGAATTATTAACTGATACAATTGGTTTGCTAAATCTCAAGATAAAATTATTTAGTTTGGTCGATAGCAGATATCATCGCAACGTTTTTTTTTTATAGTTTGACCAACAATCATTCGTGATATAATAATTATACAGAGATTACAAAACAAAAGGAAAGAAAATCGGAGAAAACAGGAATGAAACCGTATTTGATTAGTTATTTTCTTTTATTGTATGATGCTGACTGTTTACCGTTTAGTTCTCTGTACAGTCAGTTTTTTTAGTTTATATTTGTCATTGTTCTGTATCGCTTTAATATCTTATACTTTATTCATAAAAATCCTTGATTTCGTTATCTAGCCTTATATTCTCTCCTAATATTATTTATCCTTCTCTTTTAGAATCTTTTGCATCATTAACCAGGCGTAAAAAGAGTAACAAAGGATGAGAGAGAATATAGCTTGGAAATAACCAATTCTTAATATCATGTTATTATTGCTATACCATTCAGCAGCTATGATTAGCATTAATGCAATAAAAATCTCCTAAAACTAAATGATATATTAATTTATCGGTCACAGCTTCGTTGATGGATGCATGACCGATTGGTTCATAATGGCGAATTTTGATGATAGACTTTTCTCTCTATCATTGTTGCCTAGTGATAAAATGATAGCTAAATTTTGGACATGAAATATTGTAACTGATCAATTCATTGTTAAATTACGATTTGTAAATGCATATACCACATATATATAATTATATATACAACAGATTAATGCAAATAAATTATGGTTTTGCGCTTGTAATTTAAACTGTATTTTTTTCGAATGTCACATATTTACTATTGAAATAAAGTTACAGTTTATCAGATTAATTCAATCAAAGTGCGATGACAGATCTACTGGTCAACTGGAATAGAATTACTTGGATAAAAATTTGCTGTTCTGATAGTAGCTATATACTTTAAAATCTATCGAATCCTTATCTATACAATTTGATTCTTATACGGAATGAATGAGTAAGAAAAATCAGACTTTTGAGGAAAAAATAAGTCAAACTTTTTCGATATGAATTAGTCCTAAAATAAATAGCTTTCATTGAAAACGGCAGAAAATTTATTAATTACTTAAAGATTCAATGTTTATAGGCTTATAGCAACTAATAAATATCTATCATATCATAATAAATTGGTATACATTACAATTTTGCGATTAATTATGAAAAACATCGGGATATTATTGGAATTTATCGGATTTATAAAGATCGTTGGAATAAAATAATATGAAGAAGGATTAATGTTGTACTGTAGTTCATCCTATATATATATATAGAGAGAGAGATACAGGTATGAATGCATTCTAAAGTTGTGTAACAGGAAAAGCAGAAAATAATCAAAGTAAATGTGAAATTCCATTGAATGAATCATCTTTGTGTGGTACGTGGATTGTGGACAAAAATTAAAATTAGACACAACCATTATTTATTTATTTATTGAAGTTATAATGAAGATTAAAATTAAAAAAACTGTAAATGAATTAGTTATTTTGCAAGTAGTACACGACAAAGTTGTCGTGCACTGATTAGATTTTGATTATTTGTTTTCTTTTGATCTTAAATTGAATATAAAAAATGACTCAGGGACAATTCCAAAATTATTCTTCTTCGATCAAATTAATTGGACTAGATCTTTTGCCAAAGCTTAGAATTCCTTGATGCCGTATACGATAAAAAATTATGACCGGTATCAAAATGGAGAAAAGAGTAAAGCTTGATAGGTTGAAAAATAGTTTTTTTTAGGATAATTTGCGAAGATTTGAGAGAGAAAAAATTTTAAATAGACATTGTTTAAACCTTAAAAAGCTCTATATTTTCTCTTAATCAAGAAAAAACAATTTCTATCAGTATTGAGTCTGTATTGATTTTATTTTGTTTTGTGAAATTTTCAAAGAATGATCGTTAGGTAATGAATAATCTATGCTTCCTGATAAAAGAAGTAAAACTTGCTCAAACCTAATTTAGTGAGCGTGTTTTGCTTATGTTTTTGGTCACTTATATTTAGTTCTTATGTTCGAATCTCTAGTCATTAAAAAATAAATGCTTTTTTTTTATCATAGAAACACAACATTTTTTTACTTTCATTTGATCACAATGATGCTAATCCTTGCATCGTAAGTATATACATAAGCTTCAATGATTTGTACTCTATTTGAAAAAATACATTGCATTTAGAATTGTGCAGAATATACTGAAAGTGTTCTCATACTTGTAAAACTTTTACGAAAAATATCGTTTCATTTCCGAAAAAAAAACTTGAGTTTTTCGTTCATTTTGGTAACTTTGATATTTCTTCGTAGTATATAGCAGCTAAAAACTTTGAAATAAAATGATCTTTAATCCATGTACACAGATTTGAAAGAGAAATTTTTTGATAACAAAGGTAGTCCGATCAAGTTTATCAAACAGGAGAAACTTTGGAAACTTTAACTGAACAAATTATCCTAGGAATATTCATTAATAAATCGTTTGTTATGTGTTTCACATCAGTCTACAAAATATGATAGTTTTCAAAGAGAAAATATCCAGACAATCTCACAATATATATACATCAGTTACTATCATGCTACATACATATCTTCACACTTACAACCTTATAATCACGAAATTTCCTACACCCTTGAATACCATTTTTTCTGTTTTTCTTCCTTCGTATGCCGATACTTCTATTTTTATAAAATTATATTCAAAATTAAATGAAATTATATTAAATAGTTGACAGAAGACTTCCAAGCATATCTCATCAATGTTTTTTCTCTCTATTTGCTCGAAGTAATTAATTAAGAAGAAAAATACATAAAAATATCTATTTGATAAATGTGTATAATTAAGGATCAAAAATTGGAGTCAATTGGAATTAAAAGAAATTGGTTAAAATTTGAGAAAACTCGCTAATTATTTAAACGTTTAATAACTTCATGAGTGCGGAAGCTAATCATGGTCAAATTATCATTATTATAATAGATGCGTTATATTTTTCTCAGTGTTTCTCAAAATAAAAATATTTTTATCTTTATTAATTTTCTTCAGCATAGATGTCGTTTAATACTCGGAGAAGAAATCAACAAAAATGAATCGATGATATCATCAATATTGACCAAGATCAACGAAAAAAAGATCTAATAATATTACAAATGAACAATTTCAAATGAGGATTCATTGATTGAAATTCTATTTAAAACAAAAATCTTTTTATTTGTATATATGTATGCATGAACTGTTGAGTTGCATAGTCAATTTTACCAATGCCAATATTAACGTTTATCCATTCAGTAACTTACAACGAATTGAAAATAAAATTATAAAATAATTAATCTTATACGGTGTAATCGAATAGATTTAAATGAATTAACCTAATGATGACACCTTTATTGTGTTTTTAATAATAAAACATTTAACATATTCATTTAATAGCTGATCGATATATTTGTTTCACAATACGTGCGCATGCTATCAATGACGCATTGTATACTATCAAATAAATCCTATTAAACAACTAAATCTCAAGTAACTATTTCTATTGCTTAAAAAAACTTTTGTTAACATTTAGTAACAAGTTTTTCATGGTTTTGAGTTGACTAATAATATCCATATAAAACAATGTTCAAATAATTAAAGGAAAACCATTCATCTGTGAAAACAAACCAATAATTATGGCTGATATTATTCAATTTGATCCTAAAAAGAAAACTGTTTTGTAATTATTACTACAGAATTGTTTGTCTTTAATCTTATAATATTCATTGTTCAACGAGAGATAGCAGCAATTGCATATATAAATTTTTGTTGTAGACGAACCAATATATAATATTCGTAATTTGATCAGTTAGATGAAACAATGTTTATACAGAGCATTTTGATACAATTACTTTAAAATTTAAAAACCTAAGCTTACTTTTCGAAGGACTCAATTGTGATGATGATCATCAATGATTTGTCAATAATCTGCTAGAGATATTCAAATAACTATTTTGATTATAGAATATGTTTATTGATATAAATAAAAGAAAATCTATTTATTCGAAGGAGAAAGATGAGGTAGGTTCTTTGTTGATGTATCTGGTTTCATACGATCAAACGTTTGGGGATAAATGGATTCTAGTGCTTTTCTAGAATCTACCGGATTTGTTGATGTTTTCAATTTTTCAAGTGCCTCCACATATTCCATATGAAGACGACGCATTTTTGCAGTCGTTTGTTCAATGTATGAATCTAAATCTAAAGGAACTGATTCAGATTCTGAGGATGTTTTTTTAAGCCAATATTCTTTTGAATAGGTCGTTTCAGTGGTAAGAATACTCTTTGGTAAATCTGTTCTGGATAATGCTTCATTATCATTGTTTATTCTAGAAATAAAAAGGAATTATTTAATATTAATCTTTCACAAATACAATTTGAATTAGTTTATTCTGATAATACGAAATAAACAAAAATCATACATACATTTTTTTAGTATCATCAATTTGGACAATTGCAGATTCACTCATTGGCTCAATAGTGGATGATGATGATCTGAAAGCATTTATTGGCATTGAAAACAATTGGCTAACCATCGGAAGACGATTTGTTGGCTCATCTTTTGTTTGAACTTTTGTTTCTACCGATGGTAATATTGAACAATTCGATGATGAAGCAACAAATGCATTAGCAGGTAATGAAAAAATATGAGCCACCATAGGTAAACGATGTTGATTTGTTTGGTCTTCTTTCTGTTTCATGTCCACAGATGCAGGTAACCAAGCAGTGCACGGTAAGATTTTAATCGAGTCAACGCCAGTTGGACATACACTTGTCGAAGAAAAATTATCAGATACAGAATTAGAAGCAAAAATAAATGAGCCTTCTTGCGTTGATAGATGGAGAGAAGATATTGCATTGAGCAATGATTCAATCTGTGCAGAATCAGGTGCTATTAAACATGGTTCGACTCGTTGCAGTTCAAGTAATTCTTTCTCTTTGGTATTGAGTTTGGCTCGTAAAATAGTAAACAGTTTTGAAACATCCTAAAAAAGAGCATTATTATCTATAGACATGCCAACAAAGAAAAAAATTTACATCTTTCATTGACAACATTCTTTAATCAACTAAAAATCAACGATTGTTTTTCTTGATGTTTTCGTCGTATGTTTCTGTTTACGTCATCTCTATTGCTAATCGGATATCAAAAGTTTCTGGCGACATCTTGAAATCAATCGAGCTATAGCTCGATTTTATTTGTATGATTTAATGTGAATATGAATTCAAATTTAAAATAAACTTGTCGTTTAAAAACAATTGAAACATAAAACTTTTAGGTAACATAAAACTAACGAAAAATATAAGTAAAATATTCTGGAATAATGACGTCATTCAAAAACAAAAACAAATAAAATAAAAATATACTAACTTTTTGGTCATGTGAATCGATGTCCATGTCTGAAGCAGCTGATGTATTAAATGAAGAACATTTTGCCTCAGTCATTTTTTTTATATTTATTTGCTTATTTTAATGTTAACCCTCGTGTTTTTGCCCTGTTGTTGCCTTATTCGTTGATAATACAGAAAAGAAAAGAAAAGAAAAGAAAAACAGAAATAAATGACGTTGTTGTTTGACCCGAAAGAGGGCACAGTATTGCAGGGGAAAGAGGAATGAAAAAAAAGAAAGAAATGGAACTTTGAAAGATTAGAATACAAAAAGTATTCAAGTAGCTGTGACTCTAGTAGTTACTTATCATATTGAATCTTAGCGTTTATTTCTTTTCCTAAAAAAAATTCTTCTTGTGTCGTATCAAAATGCATGTTTACAACAGTTGATTTTCTAAAAGCAGTAAATGAAATAAAATACTGATGTCATTTAACAAACAGAACCCGAAAAAATATAAGAAAACTGTATTCTTACATGTTATTTTGATTTTACAGCATTATTTTTTAAAAACAAAGGTACTTAGTACTTTTCAATGTCTTGATTGTTTTTTCGTTGTTGTACAAGATATACATAAAAACATCAGAAACTCATCTATGAAATCAATAATCTATCTTTTTAATCGACTGGCAATAATATGTGCATAAGCCAATTGAGCAAGTCGATGATAAAACTAACAGAAAAATGTTTTTCTTTTAAATATGTGAAAGTAATGACATATTCAAAAATCTGCTGAGCAATTGACACCTTACTAAATAATCACAGTAATAATGACTATTTCTTTATATATGATATTGCTATTGTCACTATTGAATTGACATATTTTGTGCTTCGTTTTCTTTAGTTTAAATATCTGTTGATATATATTGTTGTGTTACGATTTATATGTATTTATGAATATTCTTATGCTATAGAAACAGTTGTAGTTTGTTGAAAAACACCTCCTGTTGATTATTATGTTACGTTAGTAGATAGATTCAGTTTATTATCATAATTATTGAAATATTATTTTTCATTGATGATATTTATTGGATATAGCGATTATTGTAAATTTCATGACATCAGCTGTAGTATGTTACCACTTAATACCTTATTTTCAGCGATTAAAATGTTTGACACAACATGAAAATTTAGAACACCATTGAACTCGATAGAGAAAAGTTTGAGAATTGTAACTAGAATAGCCATTGTCAAGAGTATTTTGGATTTAGCTACTCTATATTGCTGTTAGTTGTATAGCTTTATTTCTATCATAGCTATACAGTAACATAATATCAGAGAGCGAGAGAGATACTATGACGTTGCTCTTGTTCGCGATCATTAATTAATACACATTACAAAAGCGACAGCTATATGAAATAGTGAATTAATGAAAAAATCCAAAATATTTTCACATCATATAATTCACAACTGAGAAATAAAAATAATTATCATATACTCATTAGAAGGTTCATTCGAAATTTTGAATGTAGTGCATAACTGAACCAGTAGGATTTCCTGACAAAGTATGAGTCATATTGTATCTTCCTGTGCATCATCAGTTAAAAAGTGAATAGAAGCAAGAGAAAATAAATAAATAAATAATGAAGCAATAATTTCTGTCAACCGAGCATACGCGAAGAAGAGACGAAATTTCGTAATCCTACTTGAATACAACATAAAACAATTGAGTCGAAAAATTTTGGTTTAAAATGGCATTGGAACGATTAGCAAATGAATTATTATTCGATGTATTTGAATATTTATCGTGCGTCGATTTATTTCATGCTTTTAATGAGTTAAATTATCGTTTCAATAGTCTTCTTATAGAATATTTTCGAAATCAAACATATTTTGACTTCCGATTGATGTTCAAAGAAGATTTGAATATGATCCGTCGACGATATCTTCCATCATTTATAAATGAAATAAAATCAATTTGTCTTTCTGATGATGATCAAACGCCACATGAAATTGATATATTTATATCTCGTTTATATCCTCTTCATCGATTTCAAAATCTTCAATCGATATCATTATTTAATATTTATTCAATAGAAAAAATTAATCGAATTCTTGATGATCTACAGCAAATACCTTATTTAATTAATCTTAATCTAAAACAATGTTATATTAAATATGATCCAAAAAACATTCTTATTATGATGAATAATATATGGAGTTTAGTTAATCTTATGGATTGTTGTTTAGATGTATATTTTGAAGATGTTTGCCATTTAATTCCTCCAAATATAATATCATGTTCTATAAAACACTTGTCATTATCAAGTTTTCAATGTGATTTAGATAATTTATCACTTTTACATGAACATACTCCATACATTGAATCGCTGTCTGTCGATATATGGAATCCATATGATAATCATTGTCAATTATCGTTGATATCGTCATTGACTACGTTGAAAATAAAATGCGAAAGTTCATCAAGAATCATTCAATCTCTTTTAAGAAAAGTACCAAATCTAGTGAATTTAACAGTTGAAACAAAAAAGATTAATATGGATGGACATTTCTGGAAAGAAATTCTTAACAAATATTTATTGAAATTAAAATTATTTAATCTTAAAATGGAATTTGCAATTAATGCTACTGATAATATTGAACAAGAAATAGATCGAGTAATCGATCCATATCGAGATCAATTTTGGATTAATCAAAATAAATGGTTTGTTCGATGCTTTTCCTATGTAGAAAATGATCTTAGTTTAATCTATCTTCATACATTACCATATTGTTTTAAATATTTTTCTATTAATATTAATGAAAATGTTTTATTCAAATCAACTTGTACTACAGATAATCATTATTTAACGTATAATTACGTTGAAAACCTGAACTATTGTTGTACTACATTGGAAGATATAAATTTTCCTAAAATTCAATTTTGTAATCTTCAACATTTAACATTAACATTTCCTTATGATGATAATTTTCGATGTATAGTTCCACAATTTAATAATTTAACATATCTTGAAATAAATATGGTCAATTTGAGTCATTATGATAATGATTTACAACAATTACAAATTATATTTGATCAAGCACCAAATCTCTATCGTCTAAAATTTCATTCATGGTTATCAATTCCATCAAAATTCGAAAACAAGAACAAAAAAGTAATCATATCTAATAGCATAAAACTTAGATTAAACTATTCGTTCACTATCCATATTATTTATATTAAATTAAAGTCACAAAGACGAGTATATAATAGAGAAATAAATAAACCATTTGAAGCTTTAGTGATTTATTTATAATTCTCAAGATATTATCAAAAGTTTAATTTATTTTTCAACTATTTTGATGTAAAATTTCGTGTTCGTGATTAATTAAGTTAGACCAGAATAAGAAATTTTATATTAGATCTTTTTCTGTAAAATATCAGTTATCTCATGAAAACCTGTATTTCATTTATGTATAATTAACAAAAAACTAATCTTACTGACAATTGATATACCTATATCAATATTTTCATTGATTAACGAAATTATTGTTTTATCTTAAGTTGAACTAGAGTTAATTAGTATTTTTGATAAGATTCAATAGAATGATGAAAAATGAACGGAAATATTTAGAGTTTAAGTGAATTGATTTGATCATTAAAAAAATATTTTTGAGATATATTTCAAAAAGAATTCTTTAAACTATCGTAAAACTACTTTAATTTCTGATATTTTTTATTTGTTACAATTTCGAAAAATATTGCTAAGAAATTATATGAATTATCTTTGGGAATCAAAACAAAGAAAGCCATGAGTGTTTTATCATTCTCATAGAAAGTGTTTATTATATCATCCAATTTGTCTTTTTCTCTTAAAAATAATCAAATTCATCTGTCATATGTTTTTAAGTTTCACATTTGACAGAAAAAAACTTCAATAAAAAGCGACCACGAAATTAAAAAAAAAGATTTGAAATTCTCTAATAATATAATAGTTGATCTTAAAATCGTTTAGAATACTGTTAATTGTTTAAAAGAAAAATTTATCAATAGTTTCTAACAAATAATTAAGCCTTTTTGTAGAAGAAAATTTAAAAACTAATCATTTAATAATGCATTAAAAATTATTTTAGACTTCAAATCAAACTGTTTGGACAATGCCACCATTTTCCAGTCGAAGTTCATCCGTTCGTTATCTTGATTTACGGGGAATAAATCAATCTGGTCAAAGTCAATATTATAATGATCAGCATTGTTTATCATTAATTCGCTCACCGTTAGGTAGCCAATGTGAATTTCTACGTATTGAAGTTGAGAAACGAACAAATATAATTGATCTAGTTAATACAATGAATCATCTTCGAACGTTAAATGTTCGTTGTCGTGATCGAAAAATAAATGATGATTTAATTAAATGGTTGCAACCCCGTTTACCATCAACATGCTCATTTGCAAAAGACTCAACATCTCCTAATGATATCCGATTATGGATTCGTTAAGACATATTTCACGCAAAATTACACAATCAGAAAATCAATTATCTGATGATTTCATCACAAATTCAAATTGGTTTTTCGTTTTTGTTTTAAAGTTGTTAATTTTTATAAGAGCTATCCAACATTAGATTTTAGATATTTTCATTGTATTGAGATGTTTACTAGTTTTAAATTGGCAAAAGAATTTTTTGGGATTCTTTTCAAAACATTGAAACTGATTATTATTGGCAATGAAATTCATGTTCTAATTCAAGTTAAAATTCTTCAAACGTACATTTATAAGTAAACTTAATACGAAAATGAGAGAAAAACTATAGCAAAGTAATATACTATTATAGTCATTTTAACTTAATCTTTCTCAGATAAAAAAATATAAAAGATGTCCACTTCATACTTTTCTTGATACACTGCTATCATATATTGGTAGTATATGTCTGCAGATACTTCATTACACTACATAACTACGGGTTCAGTTTCCTTTACTTCGTTTTTACTTTTATTTTCTCTAATATTATTTTGAAAAAGGCATCAAATTTTCATCTATACTTCGGTTGCTGATGAGAACTTCTATGTATATGAATTATTTAAGAAACTTCGAAAGAGCATCTAAAGTTTAAATATTTAATGAATATTTAGAGACAAACCCTTTTCACGACTTGAAACTCTTATTCTAGTCTTTTTCGTGAGAAAAGATTGAATTTTATGAAAGTCACATAAATCATGCGTCTGATACAAGTATTGTTTCTAGAGATTTTAGAAAAGCGAGAATAATAAGAGTTCCAATTAAGAAAAATGGGTTCCTTCTTAAACACACATTCTATAGTTAAAATATGAGTGTCATAATTTAAACGGTTTTGGAGAAACAAGAGTATTTTGACAAAACCTTTGCTATCTTAATTTGTTGAACTATCGCATTATTTTTGTTTTTTATTCAATGAAAAATCGAGATGAAACTACTAATAGCGGCAAATGCATGTATACACTTTTGTAACATCGCACCAAACCTCTTTCGGAGTTTTACTCTTTCTGTCACTATTTTAATATGTCAACTTCACAAAAATAACTCAATTTTGTCTACTTCTTAGAAAAACTGAAAAAAAGAAATTATTAAGAAAAAAGTCAATTCGTATTGGTAGTTATGTAGTGCACAAAGACAGCTATGCACTCATAGGATTCCAAGTATATTATAATATACCGCAAGGAAAATGTGACATATTCATTTTTTAAATTTCTTTTGTCCGAGGGAGAATTTTTGACTCATATAAAACTTTTAAGAATTTCTTTGTCAAAATTTATAAAATCAAGGATTGTAAAAAAAAATTCTGAGATCTAGTTCCCGTTTAGAAAACAGTTCGAAATCAGATCAGAATGAATTTTTGGTTGAAAAACTAATGGAAATTGTGCCATTTGAATCGAGATTTCCCACTGTACATATGAAATTCATTGTATTTTCGTCGTTTTAACCTATAAAAATCAAGTTACATTGATTTTTATTAATCATACATTAAAATATTAAAAAAAGATAAAAATCAAATGAAATGTTGATACAACGTTACAAGAATCAAATTAATATATTACTCGTTTTAGTCAGTGTTTAATTTAAAACAGTCGACTTTAATCTGAATTTTAATCTTGTTTTTATTGATAGACGTTTTTCGCAATAGGTTTTCTAGAATATCAACTTTTATTTAAATAAAAATTTCATAAAATTAAATTTTTTTCCATAAGGTGGACCCTTTACTGAAAAGTCAGATATTTACTTGAAGAATTACAAAAGACGGAGAGAATTCCTGGAACAACTTGTTCCCAGTTCTATTACACTGATATAACATTGTTCAAATTTTTTTACGAAAGGCTCTGATGACACAGGACGATGCCTTATTCTTTACAGGTATTAAGCTAAACTCGACTAATTTCAAATTCAATAAAATACACTTCAATGTTCTAGTATAAGCATAATTTTTCATTGAACTTGTTTTTATTAAACTTCTTTCTTCATGCACATAGACTTGAAATTTTTGAGCGTAAAATTTATTCATATGGAGAATTCTTGAACTAAATACTAAAGAGTAGCTTGATTAGAGCACTTATTAGCGCTTATCTATTGCAAATATAATGTTCTATCGATCTGAAAAGTAGCCTTGTAAAACCAACTTCTCTCGAATCAACGTGAGGTGACGCTCAAATTACTTGATTAAAATTGAGGAAAAATAATACCTGAGGAACTCATTTTTAATGAAAAAAATTTCAATCAGATCATATTCTTTTTAAATAACAGAGCAAAACTTTTTGTTCTGCGGATTTTCTCGTTTGATGGGATTTATCAGATCTAATAAGTTACCTTACTTGAAGTAAAAAGAAAATGAAATAAAATTTTACTCTCAAAATATTATTGGAAGACACTGATGGCAGATAAATAGAAAGACGATGAAATGCAAAATCAAAATTGTCACTTGACTTTTTTCTTTCAACATTCAACCCTTCTAATTTCTTTTTTTATACATTGCAACACGAATCACATTTTTCTATTGCCTTTCAATTAGAATAGTCTGTTTGTTCAAATAATTTATCTTTGTTTTCTTTTCGCCAATGAGAAGAGAATCTAGAAACCAACAATGAGTCGATAAGTGTATATATACAACGCCGACAATAACATTACAGCTATAATTAAGATGACTCAACATAACGTTCGGATTCTTGATCTTCCTGATGAAATATTACTTCTCGTTTTGACGAAGCTCGACAATATTGATGTTCTTTACTCTTTACTCGGTATTAACAATCGTCGACTTGATGTTATAGTTCAAGAAAAAATCTTCACTGATGTTCTTAGTTTTGTTTCCATATCAAACTTAACTGAAGAAATTTCTCCAATTTCAGCCTTAGCATTAAATCGATTTCGTAATGGCATATTACCAAGAATCCATAAAAATGTCAAATCGTTCATTGTTGAGTCTGATTCTTTCGAGTGCATTCTTGGTGCTGCTACTTATCCCAACCTCACTCAACTTAAAATTTTCAATCTCAACAAAGCATTCATTTCACGTTATTTCATGGGTACGTTATTCAAGTGAATCGATTTTTGAAAAGACTAGCATGGACAAATATTTAAATGGTTAAATTAAATTAAATGTTTCTTTTAGACGATTCTCCTCTTCAACATATTGGTAAACAACAGATTACGGACCTTATTCTAATCAGTAATGAAAGCAATAATGAAATAGAAAAAATTGAGTATACCAAGAATGTTTATGCAACTGTTTTTAATTTCTTTAAAAATCTAAAGCATTTGAGTATTGTGCAATCATCTATCCATGATTATCCACCTTTACTGTTACATAATTTATCACCAATGACTTTTTCTTCTTCGACACTTACTAAATTATGTATCAATATAAATGATTTTGATGATTGTCTTGCTTTGCTGGATGGTCGTCTCAAAGACTTAACTATACTTACTGTTCAAATTAGTTCTATCCATGACTTCGCATCAACATCTCACAATATGGTAAGTTAAACGGTACTTACTTATTATTCGTTTTTTAACTAGTGTTTAATATCGAAAAAAGAGAAAAACTTAATAAAGAAGTGTACTTGATATCGAAATTTGGTTCGATTAATAAATATCATATTCTAATTTCGATTATTAGGAAGAAAAGTTTCAATTTTCTCGTTTTCTAATGAAATATCATGTTATATCAATATTATTATCTTCAATGGTTTTTCTGAATATATTTTCAGTTTCAATCTTCTTTTCGAAATTTAATATTAATCTTCTTGTGAAGTCACCGTTGATGTATTTAATTCTCTTCCGCCTATAACTATTTATTGTGCGAACATTATGATAGCCGCTTACAAACGAATATTAGTAATACATTTACTCTATTTCCAAGACGAACGCGATATTCATCATCAGTGTCTATAGCAAGTCGCTCAACTGTATAACCATTATTGGTTTTCCTACGAATTTCTTCACGTTTTCTTTTCGCTCGTAGCTTTCCTAATGAACATGCATTAACTTGCCTTTTTTCAATTCCTTCATTTTGTGCTGTTTACTCTTGAGATTCTTGTTATTCATTCTGAATATTACAACTGTGGTGTTGCCTCTTAGCATTCACCGTAAAGTTATCGTCATTTTGAAAAGAAAAATATCAAACAACACCGATATGCCTTGCTCACATTTCATTATTTTTGCTAATTCTCAGCTTTTCGCTTCAGCTAAAAATTTTTAAATATTTTAATGTATTTTTTTTCTAAGACATTGTTTCGTAAGAGAGAACAGTAAAATCGATATTTATTTTTCTGTTGATGCTATTCGAGATTATTTCACAATTATAATTATATTACTTATTGGAAAATATTTAATTAATCTTTGTAGTTACTAAAATTAGATAAAAAAAGACTTGTTAATCATAGTAGAGTGATTTATTGATGTAAAACAAGAAATGCGAATGTTTCTAAAATAAACATTTGAATTAATTGTATTTCTTTCATAGTTTCATATGCTTTCATGCTATTGAAACAAGTATAATTATTTAGGAGAACTACTTGTTTTAATTTTACTGTTAATTTTTCTTGTAAATTCTATATAATAGATCATATTAAATGCTTTGTAATCTGCTAAAAAATTGATTCTTATATAATATTTGATAATTCTATTGAGTTGTTCAGTAATTCTTCTGTGCATGTATATTAAATAG